GAATGGAAAACAGCCTTCAGAACTCGATATGGACTATTCGAGTACTGTGTGATGCTATTCGGGCTCACTAACGCATTAGCGACGTTCTAAACACTTATTAACAACGCGTTAAGGAAATATTTAGACATTTTTTATGTCGCTTACTTAGATAATATCTTAATTTACTCTAAGATCTACGAAGAATATATAGAATACGTTACGAAGGTACTAGAGGCTCTTTAGGAATACTAACTACCGGTTAAACTTAAAAAGTGTAAATTCCATAAAGATAACGTTAAATTTCTAAGATATATAGTTATTAGAGAGGGACTTAAGATAAATCCCGACTATATTAAAAGCGTACTAGAATAGCTAGAATCGACTACGCTAAAGGAATTATAATCGTTTCTAGGATTCGCTAATTTTTATTGAAAGTTCATACGGAATTATTCGCGAATTACTGCACCCCTAATAAATCTAATAAAGAAAGAAGTCGCGACCTTTACTCTAATAGAAGAAGCTAGGTAAGCAATTAGAAAACTTAAGGAAGTCTTTACTAAGGTCCCGATTCTTACGATCTTCGACCCGGAGCAATAGACTTTTCTTAAAACCGACGCATTAAACGGCGCGATTATCGCAGTCCTAATATAGAAAGAATAGAACGGAAAAATTAGGTTAGTTATCTACTTTTTAAGAAAAATAATAGAACTAGAGCTTCACTACGACATTTATAATAAGGAATTACTCGTAATAGTGAAAGCATTAAAACACTAAAGAGTATACTTAGAAGAACTAAAATACTTAGTGAAGATCTATTTAGATCATAAAAATCTCCTTTATTAGAATATAACTAAAGCACTCAATAGAAGATAAGTACGATAAGCGGAAACTATAGCCTCGTATAATTTTAAGATCTACTACGTTAAAGATAAAGAAAACGATAGAGTAGATACTCTAAGCCGACGACTAGATTACGTAAAAGATATTCGACTAACTTCGATATTCCTTCTACGAACGGAAGGAGACTATATAACCTACGTATAACTAATGTTAGTAATAGTAAATATTAAAGGTCCGATCGAACGAGATAACTACGAATACGAACTAAAAACTAACATTAAAGAATATCATTTCGTAGACCGAGTACACAATGAAGTCGCACGACTTAGAGTAATAAAACACTATCATAACGACCCACTAATGAGACATTTAGAAGCCGATAAGATAATGGAGCTCATCACCAGGCACCACGATCCCTAAAAGTATATAAGAAAAGATATTTAGAAATTTATTAATCGATGCGAAATATATATATAAACGAAATATATAAGATATAGACCTTACGAACTACTATAGTTCTTATAGACTTTAGAAGAAGTATAAACGTCGATTATATTTAACTTCATTACGAAACTACTAAAGTCTAAAGAACCTCTTACGAAAGTAACTTATAATAGTATACTCGTAGTATATAATAGATTAATAAAGTTCTCTTACTTTAGACTATACCTAGAGAAGTTAACGGTAGAAGAATTCGCCTACGAATTTCTACGAACCGTGTTTACTAATTACGGAATACTAAAAGAAATTATTATAGATAGAGATAAGTTCTTTATATTTAAGTTCTAGAAAACATTAATAGAATTACTAACTACGAAGTATAAGCTATTTATATCGTTTCATCTATAGATCGATAAATAAATAGAAAGAACTAACTAAATATTAAAATAATACTTACGGATGTATATAGATTATAGTTAAACTAATTAGATACGATTACTATTAATAACACAATTCTACTTTAATAATCACAAATCAGCAATAGAAATAAACTCATTCTTTACGAATTACGAATTTCATCCACGACTCGAGGAGACAATAGATGAAAGCCCGAACCTTAGAGCCCTAAGTATAGCTCTTACAATAAGAGAACTCCACGATTAACTTAAATTAGATCTAGGATTTCTCGTAAAAAGAATAGTAAAATACGTAAATAAAAAACGAATCGAGAAATCGCTTCTAGAGAAGAAGAACCTCGTCTATCTTTTACGAAAAAACATTAAAATAAAACGACCAAGTAGAAAACTAAACTATATAAAATTAGAACCATTTAGAATTAAGAATAAACTTAGAGAAGTTATATATCGATTGGAACTACTAAAAAACATACGTATACATAATGTATTTCACAAAGCACTTCTTAAACTAGCACTAAAGAACGCTAAACTAGTTAAGACACTATCGCTGAACGAGGAATTAGCACCAGAGAAATACGATATTAAGAAGATTCTCAAGAGACGCGTTATGCGTAGAACCCCTCAGTATCTAATTAAATAATTAAGGTACGACGAATATAAAAACAGCTAGAAACCAGAAACTAACCTTTCGAAGGAACTCCTAAAGAAGACGCGAAGAGATCACCCGGAGTAGTTTTAGTAAATATAGCCTTCTAATTTATCTACTCAACGTTCGGCGCGTCGAACTAAACGAAGTTAGGCTCGGCTAGGGCCACTTTCTCAGTCGTAGATATCTAATTAAATACCCCCAAAGTCTACATCTCTCGACGTAATATACGGCTAGAAATCTTCTCCAACCGAGATAGATTCTCTTATAGAGTTATATTCTCCTTCTCCGTCTTAAGAAGTAAACGTCTAAGACGAGTAATCTTCTTTCGTTTCGTCCGAGACCGGGACATTAGTTATTTCTTTTGTTTCTCTACTTTTCGAAACTCCTCTATGGAAAATATTCCGTTATAGTTTCGTTGGTGACGCAGACACTCCGCGCAGCTAAATGATTACTCCCGATCATAATAATAAATTACTCCGTGGTTTACACACTCGCTATAAGCAACCATCGTAATATTATTAGAATCAGAGGAAATGGAATCGGTAAGCTCGTTACGACGACCGCTTCGAGACTTTTGAGATTTAGAAGAACGACGGATCTTAGTAACACGAAAGAACTACATGGTTAACTATAATGAAGAAAGAAGAGAGAAGAAAAAGTCAAACCTAGAATACGACCTATCTTAAGTACGTTAAGAACAACGAATAAGTCTAAGAGAGAGATAGTATTAGACATAGCCTTAAAGACCCGCGAGTAGAACGTAGAATAAACTAAGAAGGAAGCTCAACCGAATAAGGTAGCCTCGGGAAGTAAGGCTAAAAGAAGTCACGTAATGTCTAGGATAGGAAAGAAGTGGCCTGTTAACATATTGGACTAGAATATACCAACATATTAACATACCGACCCACATTGCTCTATACGGAAAGCCTATACAAGTATATAGCTACGCTTATTTCCCCTAGATAGCTTATACTCTCTTCGTAGCCAACTCATGTTAACTATTGAACTTATAGTTCTTAGTGACAAGTGACTTCTCATACCTTGCGTTCTTCCCAACCAGTTCATACTATCAGGATTGTTACTAGGAACCCTAACCCAGTTAGGCCCCGGTAGGAACCTTAACAGATAGTTCGGCGCTTAGCATTCGGTTCCCTATTTCTCCCACTCTTAATTCCACTTTCACTCCTCTTCACTCGCGCTCTGGCCCAGCTGAGTTTGAGTCTTTTCGTCCGTATGCTATATTGCTCTAATTCCCTAGAATAGTCGAGTCGAGTCGATTCAACCAATTGTGTCCAGTATAGATGTGATTTCGGATTTCGGCCACGGACTGTCAAGGTTGAGAGGTGCGATAGCTATTGTGAGAAGTATCCTATTGCCGCGGTCATATCACACGCACATTACGTTTACCTCCTCGCGCCCCCTTCGATAAAGGATCCCGTCTCTGTTTAGTAGATCTATAGGGTGCAGGAGGGATGCGCGCGATCCCCCTGTTAGACACAGCCTTGGGAAGCCCGCGGAAGGCACGTGGGGCACACAGGGAAGGAAACTCAACCGAGCACAAGGATAATCTTAGTGGTAAGGCTGAGAAGGTTACGTGGCGCCTAGAAAAGGAAGGAGCTGATATGGTGGTATGCTAAACTAAAACATATAGTCGCGAGCAAAAATCCAAAAAATTGGCAATTTAGCCGAGCACCACAACACCATATACAGCGCTTGTCTCAGTTCTCAGACCCATCGGCTCAATTGCCATAAGTGGGCAGCGCCCACTGTGTTGCGTAGCAAAACGCCTTCGCGAGAAGGGTCTAAGCTCTAATACGTGGTTTTAGGGTAGAAAAGCGTTCGTGGTCTTAGTAAAATGCGCGAAGAGTCCATATATCAGATTAACATTCACTCCGTTCTTTAAATAACTATCGAACGATTAGTCTAAATAAAAAACTTTCTATACATAAATTATTCTAAATTTAATTCTTTATAAATCTATTTATTTAGATTTTTAATATCTCTAATACTTACTAAGATATTTAGAAAAAACTACTTTTTAAGCTTTAATTCTCTATATTTAAAGTTTAATAACTTTACGAAAAAAATTATTTACTTACTTTAGTTAGTATAGATTAATAGAGAATTTTAGTTCTATATATTATAATAGAGCACTTCAGGGTTCGGCGTGTACGTGCAACAACGCATAGAGGCCTATCCAGTAAATCGGGAATCGAGAACGCGTTTCTGGTTGATACTGACAACAACACTACTAACACCACCCAGAGAGGCAGCGGCTAGAGCTACGAACACCTAGCACAGCGGCAGCATCGAGGAATAGAACAGGACTGATAAAACACTCAGGAATTAGGTAGACGGCGCCAAAAAGCCATGGAATTCATGATACTCTGCTCAAACTGTAATGAATGGCACACTGCCAGCACTGTAAACTGTTCCGCACCTCCCTCTCTGCCAGCCCATTTAGGTTTGATATGTGACTAGACAACTTTTCCTCCCTGCCACCGCTCTACCAGCCCAGCACAGCCCATCACAGCACAGCCACCTCGCCTTGTTACAATATAAAGCTCTGTGTTCCCAAGTTCTGAGCTAGATTTCTAGTCCCTAACTGTCATCGGATTCTTCTCGGCCAGTTTCACTTTCTGACTCGCATCTTATACCTGAACCTTTGTTGCGAGATGCCGCTGATCGAGCTGGCGGCTGTACGCCTGCATCCTTCAATTGCCTTTGGCCTTCCTGATTCATTTATCGCAACCTGGACTAACGCCTGCAACCTCGCCACTTCTGCTGCCAATGGAGTTCCTTTTCAACTTTACCATTCCGTTACTCCGACTAGTAAGGATGTGTACTATCTGGTCGGCGGCTGGCAGAGCGGAAACGACCATATTGCGTTCCTCTCAACTCCCGATGCGGTAACCCTGGCCAGAAGTATTGGCGAATACATGACTGTTGGCATCGTGCGGCATGTTGATGGAAATATCAGTGCTCTGTACCAAGACCATGGAGGAAGGCCCCGGGGACTGAGGGCCACAATTTACAAAGTGCCTGAATCAGTGGTTGACAACTGGGCGACGAAGTGGAACAACAGCCGACTTGCAGCTGCCGGAGCCGGCGGATGGGACATGAGCGGATCGGTACAGAAACAGCACAAGGCCTTCAAAAGCATGGGCGAGGCGACCAATAGCGCTGCCGCATTCGGCCGGAAAGACGAGGGCGGGAGCAAAGCCTGGGTCTGGCTCGAGAGCCTTGGGAGGGCTGGAGAGATCGAAGGATCTCAACACCCTTTGGAGGGGTTTGATAACATCGACGCTGAAGTGTTTGAGATGGAATATGTATTGGGATAGCTGCTGGACTGTTGGCTGTGGGGCACAACAAGTAGTGCGGTGTGATAACCCACGCAGGTCCTCATTCTTCCCACCTTAACGAACCCCGGGAAGTCTTCAGAATCAATGGTGACAAGACCCGGTATAGAAATTCTTTGGTGCTGCGTGTAGGACAAATGCGGCTTGGCATCAGTTGCAGGCAGGATAAGCTCTTGTGCTCCACAACGATACCGGTATTGGTGCTGACACACGCTGCAGGGCGAGACAAATCTTATGTGCCAGCCAGAGTCCTGGTTGTTCGACCAGATAAGCTAGGTGCATAAATGGCCGAGCACTTGGACGATTGCGCCCGAGAGAATTTGTCTGCTGGTTGCCCTTTACTTTCTGCACAGGTCATGCGGAGTCCTTCCCGGTCGAATCTCTATGATGAGAAGCCATTCTTACCATTCGCGGGCCAAGATCGTTGGGGAACTGGAGGCTTTCGTTTGAAAGGTGAAACGCTGGAACCGGACTCTCGTCGGCTGATTCGGATGATTCAGCGCTGATTACATTCGAGATCGGTTTCTCTGACGCAAATCTTTGTCACCCATCAATTTGACGCAGGACTGGTTGCCTCCAAGAAGAGGACGGGCTTCAACGAAGCAGTCGTTCAATCCAAATCCATGCCCCCATTAGGTACGGCGACCGGTTGCGGATGGTTAAGCCGATGATAGTCAGCCCAATTCTCCATCTGGAGTGTTCCCGACAACTGGGGCTGGGCAGCTTCTGGGCCAGGTGTGCTCTCAGCTCGCAATACCTCGTCGCCTTCAAAGGCCATAGGCTGGCATCTCAGATTATGGAGGCAGGTTTCCCAGGTTCTGCCGACCAGCTTCCCTTCCAACAGACTTTCGCTGAAAAGGAAGAAACCTTCTTGGCAGCCGACAAGGTACGCGTCGAGGCCAGAGTTCTTGAGGAGAATCTGAGCACCATGAATGTACCTAGAATAGTGGTTGTCCAGGTATTTTGCCCAACCTCTGGCGGCAGCCTGCAATGATTCGCTTTCCGACTCCATCTTGGTCCAACCGACACCGAGCGCAATAGTCGCCTCATCAAACTCTGGTCGATCCACGGCGGTCTTTGGCGGACTAGCTGGCGCCGAGGCGATGTTGGTGTCAATTGGGAGGCGGAGTGATGTCTGAGACAATCTGACCGATTTGCGGCTGGTCGGCAGCTTGGGCCGAGTGTATGCCGCAGCAATCTCTTCCCTGAGTGCTTTCTCATCCGCCTTCTCTTCAAACCATGTGCCGGTCTGGCTCTCCGCCGACACCGACAGGCCCGTCTTCGGATTGAGCAAGACCATGCCTTCGCCATAAATGGGCTCCTCTTCGGGAATTGGTGCCGGGGTGTCGACCGAGGCAAAATAAGAGCCATCTGCTTCGACGTCGAACGCGGTCTCGTCGCGAGAGCGCTTCCTCGAGGGGTTTGTTGATATTGGAGTCATGCTGTCGGCTGGGGTCCAGGTGGTTGAGTGATTGGGATACGATGCCGAAGAAGCTTCTTCTTGTTCCAATGATTTGGGGGTATCGGAAGGAGTGGGAAGTTGATGCTGTTCGTCAGAGACAAATGACATGTTTTGCAATGGCGCAAAGACAACCGGCACGAAGGACAAATGACGTTTTTAATTCCCTCCTTCTGTCTAAGCGACGGAATAAGGCTGGCAAAAGACAGCGCACAATTGACGGTCGGATTGGGATATGCGCCGCAGGGGACCGACAGGTCAGTATAAGGCAGCGAGGGCGTGAATGCTAGATGATGTCAATATATAATGGGTGAGGAAAAGGTGTGTTCTGGAAGTCAATGGTAGAGGAGGAGGAGGTGAGCAAGAGAGGAGAGTGGGTAGCGGGATGAGCTGAGGTATTTGAACCACGAAAAAGAGAGGCGAAGAGGAAAGAGGCAGGGTCCGTCGCAATGCTTGGGAAGGCAGCTGGAAGCTGGAAGCTGGAAGAAGGCAAGAAGCGAGACAGAGCCAGAAAGCTAGAAATCTGGGGGACTGCGGTCTGCAAGATTCCTCTGGGAGAGAATGGTGACGGCGTGCTGTCAGTGGTCAAGCAGTTGGTCCACGGCCTGGGAGCAGATGCGAGGTGTGAGGTCTGAGCGGCGGCTTGACGGCAACGGGCAACGATGCACAAAATTCGGGATGCCTTTGTAGCGATCAGCCGCCCACAAGCAGTAAAGCTCGCACGGATTGCCAGGAACGCTGCACTGATCGGGCAGTGGCCATTGGGTGAGGCGTGAGCTGCATGCCATCTGCATCCTGTATCCTGCCTGTAAGCAAAGGGCTTTTGCTCGCAGTATCCGATCCACCGAGCCACCTGAGAGACAGCGCAAATCAGAGAGGCCAGCGCAGCCGGCAAATGGATCTGTAGGGCCAGAATCAGAATGGTGGAAAGGGATTGGAAAAGAAAAAGGGAAAAGGAAGCGGGAACAAGGAGCAGGGACGAGGGACCCCCCCCCCCCACCAGCCGCCCAGTGAGCCAGGCCTCTTGCGAACTTTCTGACTGATCACCTTTTTCTTTGCATACGTGATGCGCTTGGTTGCGGCAGCCGAAGAACAATACAGTAAGAGGCAGTGTGGGGAAATCCACGCCAGTCCCTAAAACCCGCAACACACTCGAACTGGGCGCCTTTTAGCGGCTGGAACCCTTCCTGGTGGATGCCTGTGGGTGCCTGGTGCCCCAACGCCACCCGCTGCCAGCCCTGGAGGAACCATTGGGTGGTTGCCTTGCCTCCTCCAGCCTGCCAAGTGCTTGTTGCTCGCCGGTGGTCCCGCCAACCCGCCAGCCTGCCAACCCGCCAACCCCCGGGCTTCCTGCCGCTCTGCCACATGCAACCTAGTAGGTATGTGTGCTACGCTGGTCGCCATTTCAGCTTCCCTTTTCCCCCCTCCCTCCACCAGCCTCTTTCACTTGCCTCATCCCGCCAACTATCTCGGTCAGTGTCGTCATGAAATGTTGGAAAGTGCTCAATTTTCTTTGTCGTTATTAGGTACGTAGGTAGGCATGAGGGTGGCTAACTAGACAGTGCCTGAAAAATCTCCAGCAAAGTCCCCAACAGGGTCCTGCGTTTTCTACCATTTTGCCCTGTATATCCAAACTCCTCGACTCTGTCACAGCAATATCATACAAGGATACAATGTCTATGTGCTGAAACCTTGGGAGAATGCCGACTTGTTCGCAAGATTGTCACCGCTGTTGCAAACTCAATCGACTGGGTGATCCAGCCCGTGGATTGAGGAGCTCCTTGTCGCTTCTCTTTCCGAATTCCTAAAGCATTAACTTCTCGTTCACGACCCCAGGCCGGTGCTGAACATATCTTTCAGGTTCTTCGTCTGGGAAGGTGCATACGTCGGAGCCAGTCCACCAAGGAGAAGGAAGATAGTAAGAAGAACGAGTGCAAAGATCAGTGCCTTTCGCATTGCCGGCTTCTGAACCCCGAATTCGGACCACGATCGACCAGCCTGGCCCACGTATTGCTTGAGTTGCTCCGCTCCCAGTCTGTAGTACAGAAGACCACCAAGCGCGATCGAGTAGCCGAAGAACTGGGTCTTGGTGACAGGGGTGCCCCAGATCATCATGGAAGCAGCCACAAGCAGGATATCCTTCAGGATTCCACAAAGGGTGAGGACCAGCGAAGATGTCTTCCCAATCTACCCATTACCGTTAGAGACTGTGCGGACCGGTAGTAAAGGCTCCGTTTCACTTACCAGGAAAACAACCGAGACATTAAGGAGGAAGGCGACCATTGCATTGGCCACCAGCAGGAAGATGCCCACATCATAGACGTTTTGCATGCTCATGCTGGGGATCTCAAGCACCATCGCCGTCACACCGTTCATGACGGCGCACACGGGTGCAAAGTAGTAAAGAGATACCAAGGGATCCATCTTGAACTCGGCCGAACTGAGGAGACGTTGGACGAGGACCAAGCGGGTGGCCTCAAAAGTAATACCACCGGCCTGGTACATGAAACCAGTCAAGTTGAATTCGATCGCGCCATATGAGGCAATGACAACGCCGATGACGATGAATGAGACGTTACCCAAGGTCTTCAAGCTTGGAGGGGAAACACCCATGGCCCAAGTGGTCAGCAACACCGCGACTGGCATGCAAGCCTTCGCCAGTTGTTAGCGCCGTTACCCATTCTCTTCATATGTGCCTCAACTCACTTTCAGCATCTGGATGAAGGCGACACTTAGGTAGAGATATGCTTGGTTCCCGCAAATCAAGCTCAAACTAAAGAAAAATCCGATGGGGAGGATGGCACGGAGATAGACCTTGCCGGTCATTTTGACGGTTTTGCGTCCATCGAGGAGGGTCGTGGTTTTCGACAGGAGCTGTGTCATGAAGGTTGCAAAGAGCATGTGCCTGAGGATACGAATCAGCTGCAATATCTGTGACTGGAGGCGCTGTTGAGCATACCATGCTGTCAAAGTGATGGGGAATTCTTGGGAGGGGTCAGCTCATTGTGTTGCACGGTGCGATCATGGGTAGCCTACTGAATCCAAGAGTATCCAACAACCATTTGTTGAACAGAATCACACCCCCGCTGAAGCCAATCCATGTTCTGCAACACCATCAGTCAAAAGACCCATATCTTGGACAGGATCCGTACGCACATGACGTAGAAAGACGGGTGCAACGAGGGTTTAGGAGGTGGAGGCTTTTCGGTCGTGGGTAAGATACTCGCTGATGAAGCGGGAGCAGCTGCTGGCTCATTGACTCTGGCCTGTTCACCCGACAAGCGGGCCTTCTTCTCAACGTCGGCCATTGGAAGTTGTGGTAATTGAGAGCGAGCGAGGAAGTCTCGAAAGGAGAAAGGGCTGGGTGACCCCGAAAAAGTCTTGGGGCGCAGCACGTTGGCAAAGAATCAAGCAGACATAAGTGGAATGACTTGACAGGCCTACGTAGACCGGGCTGAAGCTGTAAATGCAGGGCAAAGAGAAGGAGGGAGTGATCGTAAGATGCGCGTCGCGAAAGTATTGGGGGGATTTACGATGGAAATTTGAGATGGAGACAGATTGAGATTATCGGGAACCAGAAGAGCATCGCCGCAGTCACAGTCGCAGCCGCAAGAGGCAAAAACTCCTCCCTGAGAATAGGAGCCCACAAAAAAGGCAAATAGGGCAACTGAGCCGAGCGTTATCAGCAGCCAGCCAATAAAGACATGTGCTGCAATCTAATTGAATTGGACCCTGAAAGGGTGCAACTCACCATCTGGGCACGGAGAAGATGCCACCCTGCTTCGTCCTGGACTCCTGGGTGGCATCGGATCTCCGCTGTCGCCCAGTACTGTACCTATGAGTACCTATTGTAGATAGGTGCATGAACAGAGTAGTTCACCGGACACCTGTTCGCCTGTCCGATGAACTGTTTGTGACCTTTTTCTTCCCCAGGCGGATCTCATGTCCGGTCTTCGTGATGCGTGAATAGAACGTGATTCAACGTCATTAAGATGTCGATATTATCCGTCGGTCATGAACACGTGCCATTTCTTGTATGAGCAAGCAGTACTCCGTACATCTAGGTACGAGGTAGGTATGTTAGGGGTATGTGAGGGTATCAACCCCTGAACGCAAGGCTGCAGGGCTCCATGGCCCCTTTCTATCTAGAGGTATACTACACGCGCACACAGGTACGAAGGATCACTATTGTAGTCCACTTTTGTACTATTCAGAGAGACCAATTCCACTACGAGGTATTACGCCCCAACCTCGTTACGAACGGGACGAGATACTTTGTACGAGGTACTTCGGGGATAAACTGTAGTGGTGCTTAGTATGTAGACCGTAATCTGAATTTCGGTTGTCTATCCCCTGCCAAGCCTGAGTCGTCGTGTATCGGAGCCCTCCATTGGCCCACCTGCCGAGCCGCAGTGTGCCTGCGCCTGCGCCCCAACTTTTTTTGTTCGGGCGCATTGAACTCGAGCACTAGAGGGAGTCCGATGCAGGACCAGCTGTCTTCTCTGCCACGGTTGCTGTGATTATCCCGGCGTCAACCTTGCTGTACAGATTCTGCAGGTTATATTTCCTGTTTTCCACATTGCTTTGGCTACACTCCAAATTTTGGCCCTCCCGAACATGCCTGATATGTACGCCATCCTTCCACAACTCCGTCACCGCTCTCTAACGTGCCTCGTACAGTTCAGTCGACGTTCTGGTCATAGGTGCTGGCCCAACTGGCTTGGGTGCTGCCAAAAGACTCAACCAGATCGTATGTGCCTCTTGCGCCCGTGAAAACCCCCCCGCTGACCGCTCCCCAGAATGGCCCATCATGGATGATTGTTGACTCCAACGAGACCCCTGGCGGCCTGGCCTCTACAGATGTGACTAAGGAGGGATTTGTAGGTCACCTGAAACCCCATGCAAGAGTATTCAGGCTCTAACCTCTAGAATAGCTCTATGATGTCGGTGGTCATGTCATCTTTTCCCACTACAAATACTTTGACGACTGCATTGACGAGGCGCTGCCGAACGAAGACGATTGGTACACCCATCAGAGGATATCCTACGTTCGGTGCAAAGGCCTATGGGTGCCATATCCATTCCAGAATAATATCTCGATGCTGCCCAAGGAAGATCAGGTGGTATGCATGGATGGGCTGATTGACGCCGCCATGGCAGCAAGAGTCGCAAACACAAAGCCTCAGAACTTTGACGAATGGATTCTTCGCAATACTGGGGTTGGCATTGCAGACATTTTCATGAGACCCTACAACTTCAAAGTCTGGGCTGTTCCCACCACGAAGGTGAGCTTGCTACAAACACTACGTTCGGCCCCGGGCTAACCCCTGCACAGATGCAGTGCCAATGGCTGGGGGAACGTGTGGCAGCTCCTGATCTCAAAGCCGTCACCAAGAACGTCATTCTCCAGAAAACTGCAGGGAACTGGGGCCCCAATGCTACCTTCCGATTCCCCGCGCGAGATGGCACTGGTGGCATATGGATTGCCGTGGCCAAGACTCTCCCGGAAGAGAAGAAGCGCTTTGGAAAGAAAGGCACTGTCAAGAAGGTCAACGCCGACAAGAAACAGGTTCTCCTGGCAGATGGCACCACTATCCATTACGAAAGACTCATCAGTACCATGGCCATTGACTTCTTGGCCGAGGTCATGGAGGATGAGAAAATGATCAGCTTGTCCAAGGGCTTGTTCTATAGCAGTACCCATGTCATCGGCGTGGGCATTCGAGGTTCGCGTCCCGAACGTATTGGCGACAAGTGCTGGCTCTATTTCCCTGAGGACAACTGTCCCTTCTACCGGGCGACCATTTTTTCCAATTACTCACCATACAATCAGCCACAAAAGCATGTCAAGCTGCCCACGTTACAACTTGCCAACGGATCCCGGCGCCAGAGCATGCAGGCTAAGGAAGGTCCGTACTGGTCGATCATGCTGGAGGTGTCCGAATCCAGTATGAAACCCGTCGACCAGGAGACTCTCCTCAAGGACTGCATTCAAGGCTTGGTCAATACCGAGATGTTGAAGCCCGACGACGAAGTTGTCTCGACCTACCATCGCCGTTTCGATCATGGCTACCCAACCCCGACGCTGGAGCGAGAAGGGGTGCTCAAACAGATGCTACCGGCTCTTCAAGAGAAAGGCATCTACAGCCGCGGCCGCTTTGGGTCCTGGAGATACGAAGTGGGCAACCAAGACCATTCGTTTATGTTGGGCGTCGAAGCTGTAGACAACATCATCAACGGAGCAGTCGAGCTGACACTCAACTACCCCGACTTCGTCAATGGGCGGCAGAACACAGAACGAAGGCTGGTGGAGGGGGCTGCGTTGTTTGGCAAGAAGAAAGCAGAGAATGGCAATGTTGTGGTTGGCCGTCGCATGACCGGCGGCAAGACGGAGCTGGGTGGGCGCATGGAGACGAGTGGAAAAGAGGCATTGAATGCCAGCGGCGGGACCGCGACAGCCATGAAGGACGGCAACTCGAGAGTTCTGAATCGCAGTTGGTGAGGAGGAAGAGCGACTCGGTCACGAGATTTCGTCATTTTCTTTTTTTTCCCCTCTTTTCGTTCTTTCCGAAAGCATTGGACATAAGTACATATTCCCCTTGCCATGCGAGCGGCATACAGCTAGAGCGAGTCATTCACGTGGACCAAGAAGACGGGGGTTGTTGCGCATGGTACCCGGGATCACGGGAGAGAATTGGACGGTTTAGAGCGGCTTCCCTTTGCGAACACTACCAACTAGAGGGGACGGTCGAAAAAGAAAATCACTTCCAACTCCTGGATGTTCCTCCGTTAGCACATCTCTCAAGGCCCTGATGATGGCGGTTTTCTGCCGGTTAAGCGAGGGACAACCCAGTAGTCACTCACCCCGCAGTGTACGGAGTAGTTGTAACTACCTCGCGATCTGCCTACCTAGGCATATACCTACCTAGTCTGCTAGTTGATATGATTCCTCGCGTCCTTGGTGTCCCTGTTGTGTTCCGGGACGTTGGAAAAAGTGCGGGGAACAACGCTTGTTACCTCCCCACTCGTTACCAAGACTCGCTACACACTTACGACTAAGTCCTCAGTCCTATTACGATTGTGGAACTCTCTGACTAACACCCAACTCGGAAGTCCATGAAAATTTTTCAGTGCGGTCGGTCAGCTGAGCGTGGCTATGGCAGGCGGCCGGATCGTTGTGCCGTAGGGGTGATACATGGCGGCGGTAGGAAAAGGATGGTGAGGATGCTTTTTGGGAGGAATGCAGGAATGGAGCCATGAGGGAGAAAAGCGTGGAGAAGGGCCTAGACTCACAGGTACATACAAGTATGTACCAAGTACTTGGTACTTAGTAGTCTGTGCGCTTCGTACTTGAACATGCAATAGGCGCTCGGGAAGTAGCAAGCTAGTGGCAGCGGACCTCACATGTTCGTCGTTTGATTTCCGTACACCGTACTCTGTACCCAGATGCCCTCCCCTTTCTTACCTACTTGTACGAATACAAACAAGGACTTCAGCTCCGCTGTGGAGGAGGAGAAGGAGAAATGCCTCATTGTTGTTGTCTGAATCTCGCAGTGGCGTCGTCAGAATTGGCCGATGAAGTCCGGGCTTTGCGCGCCCAGTCTTGCCATCCCACCATCGAGGTAGATCGATCTGGCACTCGTCTGTGCGTTCTCTTCTTTTTCCTGTCAAGTCACACCAGGTCCATCTGTTGTCTTGTCCTGCCTGGGGAGTTCGGGCGCAATATGGTCGAGGGCTGGCGGAAAATAGAATTCCGCTGGTCCGTGAACTGTTTGAAGAACAGCTAAGTTGGTTGTGGTTAGTAGAGTAGTCAACATAATGACATGAACATCTGGGCGGGGAGCATCTGCAAAGAGCAGGCCAGCGGTGAAGAGGTGTTGTGCGCGCTCGCGATGCATGTTTGTTGAAGACGATGGGTTTTGTATCAGCCGTCGTTCCTTGCTGCTTTTATGTCATGATCAGCGGGGACACAGGAGGAGCTAGCTTCCCTTAGATGACCTCGTATCGCAGGGTGTGGAGGGTTTGTCTTGCGTGTCTCTGTACTTGTTACAAGGAGAGATTTTGTCAATCTCTACTTTGCTTCTATTCCGAGGTTCATGCTTGACCATACCGACTCATTCACACATGCTTTCTCCTGGATAGCAGGCAGACTCCGGAATACGAGTGGAGGGGTATTTTGTGCGCGACAGTGGGGAGTGGATTGCGTTGGGGCTGTTGTTTCAGTTCTGATTCTCGCGTCATTGTCATATGATGTCTTTCTTGATGATTGAGTTTGCCAGGCGATGAATGGAGCAGAGGGACTCGATGGAGCGTAATCGAAAGTGAAAGTGAGATCCACGGTGCAATCGATCGAGAGGTGTTCGTAAGGATCGAGGCGAGGGAGGTCGAGGGAGAGACGCATAACGTCAGTGCACGCAGTAAGCACGCGGCAAGCACACGGCACCAGCACAGAATTGGATGTGTTCCTGGATTTTCGCCTTGATCACTTTGTCCACTTTGTCCACGGTCCGCGCCAACTGCAAGCAACGGGCCAGTTACACCAATCATGGCCAGCACCATTGGACAGAATTTTGTGCTCATGGGCATTCCGGGCCTAACCGCATGCAACACTTGGCACTGGCATCAGATGCACCAGTTGTTTCTGCTGCATGTCGTCTGACTCGCCAAAAAACATCTCAACACATTCGTTCGAACCTTGCAAGGAAGGAAGGAGGGGGGAGGCACCAAAAGGACCCCGAAAGCGCCTATAAGAGGGAGTCCAGGGAGTCTTGTGTGTCGAAAAGGACCCCGCTAGGTGACGCCCATTGAGGATTGTGGCCCCTATGGCTGCATCACTGCCACCACCGAACTGCCACCCGTAGCCGGCACTATTCCTACGTCAGCCTAGCATTTTTCTCACCCGCAGGGGCGGTGACGACCTGCTCACTGTTGGACCAGTAGCCTGTTAGGTGCCACTAGCCACCCGCCTGGAATCATCGTCACCAACAAAAGACTTTTCGTGCGCTTGTGACCCGTGACTTTTGCCCCGTGAACCCTTCTAGGCATGCCCATGCCCATGCCCATGCTCACACCAGGCCCACGCCTACAGGTAATCATCGGGGTTCGGTGGGCTGCAGAACCAAGCAGGGCCCAACTAACTAGCCGGCAACTTGTCAACCTCCTGCTTCTCCACGATTTACCACGACTACCACGCAGAGTCCTCGAAATCCCAGCATACAAGAAAAAACACCTCATTGCCCTCCAACCTCGACCTGTATCACGATCTGTTTCCTTTTCCCTGACAATTCTTCCATATGCTTTCCCCCCATTGATCTCAACCAAACCTCCCACCATCTACCCATTCCGTCATCTTTCTCACGAGTTTCCTTTCTCTCGTTTTCTTTGTATCTTTCTCCAAAACGGTACGTAGCTAACTTCTCCAATTCCAACCCTTCGAGTTCTTATCGTCAGAGCCTCGAAATATTCCGCTCGCAAACCTTGCTCGTCTGCTGGGGCGGTGAGTGGGATATATCTCCCGAGACAGTGCCTGTTTATCCCTTGCGCCCTGTCCGACCCCGATTGCTGTTCCTATGCTAACGTCGTCCTGGCACAGTCGACGTCAAGCATTAATTTGCCCATCATGTCGGCCGCTCAAGTCGCTCCCAACATTCCCCCTCGTCCTCTTCGAGCCCAGCAAGCTGCTGCCCATGGCGCAGGGAAGCTGCCTGATATCCCTCCGCGTCCCATAAACAAGCGTCTCGAGCGTTCGGTTTCCCCCTCCAACTACCCTCGATCCCCTCTGAACGAGCCATGGTCCGCCAATCTCACCCGTCAGAAGACCAATGAGCAAACCTTCGCCGAGGGACTGCCCCGCCGTCCCAGCGTCCAGTACCTGCCATCCCTTGGCCAAGAAGGCATGGAATATGGCGAAATCATGGACATGGAAATGGAGATGCAGATCGATAATGTGCAAACGAACCAGCAGCCTCCTGTCTCGGTTCTAGCTGCGGATGCTGCGGCGCAGACTAGGAATATTGCCCAAGACCTCCATTTGCATGCTCCAAAGCCCTCCCTTCCCAAATCAAGTGCGGCTGCGCAGGTCCAGGCTGTCACCAGGACCGACTCGCAGCAGGCCGCTTCCCACGGCATTGGGAAGCCGTCCACCCCTTCGCAAGATGAGACTGAAGGGTTGCAGCAAGTGAGGACTCGGTCAAGTTTCTCTCGGCCTTCGTCTACCATCGCGGGCGAACGTCGCCCCTCAGTCTTTGGAGATGAAGAGTCGGGTCCTGCGGAATTGGGTCTCCGCGTCCCTATCAATCCTCTCTTGGGAGACGTACAGGCCCCCTCTCCGGCTCCAGGTCTGAGTCCTGCTCATACCGGGGCAAATGGCGACAAGAGACGTCCCACGCACTCGCGAGCAAAAGCTAGTAGGGAGATATTCACTCCTCCTGGCAGCTATGGTCTTCATGGCCACGGCGTTGCTCCCCAGGACAAATTTGAAAAGGACTGGTACGCCAAACACCCCGAGGTGGCCCAAATCGAGGAAACCCTTGGGCACGGAGTCTATGAGAGTATTGGAAGTGGCCGCGGTGCTTTCGCCTTGAGTAGCGATGATCTGAATAAGATTGTACGGGATACCGCCAGCCGCGGAGCAGGATTCGGTAAGGTGCATGCTGTGAAAACATGGCACGATCTAACTCATTTGTCCAGGAACGTCAGGAACCACCTATTCATATCCTGATGAACAGATTGGGTATCTGGCCTCAGATATCTACATCTCAAGGTCTCAACAAACTACTCCCAACAGCCTCGCGAAGACGGTGACTAACACCTCCCAACCGGCTCTCGAGTCTCCATTGAGAAAGGCTAGTTTCCCGGCGGACGAGACCATCCCAGCTGAAGTCCGTCGCGGCCGCCTTTCGGTTTCCAGCAAACATGACGATCATGATGCCCTCGAAAGTGAACAAGAGGGAGAAATCCATGTTCCGGCGGGTCGTCGTTTCAACAAGATTACGGGCGGCGAGGAAACTCTGAATGAAACGGCAGAAGCTCGGCTGTTTGGCCAGGAAGATGAGTATCTCCAGGAATACGGCTACACCGTGCCCATTCTGGCAGCAGACGAAGTCGCCAAGGAGGCGGGCATGGAACATCTTCAGCCAGCAGTTTCTCCCAAACAGGAACGCCGTGGAAGTCTTGAGCCCGCGAGCGGCGATGTTACCCCGGGCTCACGCCCGCCGAGCAGACCGACCAGCATGTACAGTCTTCACAGTGCCAACCATTCTCTATCTCGATTTATTTCACATCCCGAGGAACGAGAAACGATGCACACTCCACTGGAAGATGTACACGAATACGAACCTCTCTTCCCTGAAGATGACGACAAAAAGCCAATCGATTACGCTGAGCGATTCAAGCCAAGACCCAACACTCTCAAGCAGCGATTCCCCAGCCAAGACATTTGGGAAGATACACCAAGCAGTGCTCTTTACTCCGCCACCGTCTCTACACCAGATCTTCCTTCTAAGGTCGAGGATGCGACTGCTTCCAAGACATTTGAAACTCCTGAACAGGAGGCAGCCCGAAAGGAAGAAGCATCAGAGAAAGAGAAGGCTAAACTGATGCTGAAAGAAGAAAAACTCGCGCAATCCCGCTTTGCACCTCACCTACGTGACGACATGCCGACCAGACCTGGAATGGTACCTAGATTTCCCAGCCAAGATATATGGGAAGATAGCCCTGACAGTCACCACCTTGTCACGACGATCACCAACCTTCCAAGAGATTATGAACCGGAACCGGAGACCTCACAAGAAGCTTCAGTTAAGCCAAACATCCCTCCACGTCCTGCTAAGAACAGGTTAGGGGAAGGAGCATCGTCCGCTCAGATCGCGCCGAACGTGCCACCCCGACCAACAAAAGCACTTGGTTCTGTCCCTCCTTTAGGTCTTCCCCCAACTGACGGGACGAAGTCGAAGGATGCCTCCCCGACGGAGCTTAAGAAAGTTCCCAGTATCCCCGATCGACCAAAGCCTCAAATTCCAGCTCGCCCAGCAAAGAAACCTGCCGGAGAGGGCCTGACAAAGACTCTTTCCGGCGGTCCGGCAGGGTCAGTTGAGCAGGAGAAGATTTCGCCTCCCATTGCCAAAGCTAAGCCACAAATCCCTGCCAGACCTGGTGCGGGCAGTAAAATTGCCAATCTGAGAGGGAACTTTATGAACGATCTCAATCAGAAACTTGGATTGGGACCGCCCAAGGAGAAGGAGAAGGAAGTAGACCCAGTAGTAGAAGAGGCGAAACCTCTGGAGGATGCACGAAAGGGCAGAGCCCGAGGTCCTCAGAGACGGGCGCCTGCCAAGTCTCCGGCTGCGATGAAAACTATGGGATTCTCCATGTTTGCACCGCGATCATTGTGGACTATTGACGATGTCGACGAGCTAAATGTCACTCCAAGCGAACCGGGAGCACCAGCATCCACATTGAAAGCGGAAGACGAACCTTCTCAGCTGGACGTTCCGGAGAAGGCTGAGCAGGTCAACAAGTCCGTTCCGGCCGACACTACAGTTGATGTAACCGAACCTGCCGAGGCTGAACCCAAGCTTGCAGAGGCAGAGGTAAAGGCTGAGGATGAACCAGCACCAATGGTGACCGATTTAGCCACGAACACTGCCGGAGAACTCGCAGACCCGGAACCCACGATCGGGACGCCTATAAAGGAGAAGTCTAATCCTTTGAGTCGGAATGAATCAGCAGAGAAAGACGACAAGGAAGGTGACGAGGTTGACCTCTCGCGACGCACTACGGCAAGCAGTGGTCAGGTCTTGGGGTCGGAATTGGAAAGAGAAGACCTCGATCCGAACACCGATGCGATTCCTGCAAGCAAACATACCACAGCAAACACGCTTAGAGATACAGCACCCTTAGAGAAGAGCCAAACCCCAGAGGAGCAGAGGACGCTGAGAAATACACTGCCGGAAGGAGAACCAGGAAAGGCCAGCATGGAGGAGGTCTAGCAGGCAACGGTTGGCCAGCAGAATTGTAGTGGGATCTGCTGGAACGCAGAGCACGGGGATTAAAAGGCCATGGTATACGTATGGGTAACAGCAGCTCGAGCTGCGTGGCTTGTGCTAAGGATACGGGTAAGACAAATGGTAGCAGGTTGGAGACGGGAAAAGGGCCGCAAGAACCTCCCTCCAAAAAGCAAGGTCTCCATGTTTTTTTATTTTCTCAGCCTTTGGCCTTGGTTTTCATAGAATAGCGAGAACCAATTCCTCTTTATTGGCTTCATTCTCTCTTTTCCCCTTTTCTTTTCGAGCATACTTCACCTGTTTGTGGATCACTCACTCAAACATGTCATCAAAATCCACGGCTTTGGGCCGGATCCTGCGGCCCTGAGACGTCGTCATCACCGTGGTCGAGGGGACGGACGCGGGTTTTGTCGCACGGTCTGGAGAATCTCCTTGTGGTTGTGCTTGCAGTCGTGCCGCCATCGCTAGTTTTGCTTCTAGTTCTGCTTCCGGGGCCGTCTTTTCGTTGCTGCCTCCCTCTTCTTGCAGGGGTAGCTGGGACTCCTTCTGTCTGCGAGCTTCTTCTCCATCTTCGTGTTCGTCGTCGCTGCTGTCCGCCATGGGCACGCCGTCGATATTCTCGTCCGTGAGAACTGTATCGCCGTCGTCGTCAAATTCGACGTCGACGCCAGCCTCAGCTTCGGCTCCGTCTCCGTCGTCGTCATCGGCCATGGGCGTGCCGTCCATGCTCATTTCCACATCGCCGTCGTCGGCTGCACGGGTTGCATGGGCGAGTGCAGAAGTAGAAGGTATGGGTTTCCCGTCGATTTCAACACCGCTGTTGCTCACAGCATCACCCACGCTGCGCCATCGGCTCACACCTCCAACGGCGGCCTTTTCTCTCTCCTTTTCTTTGTCTCTCTCGGCCTCTTGCTCGGCCTTGGCCTTCTGTTCTTGTTCACTCAGAGGCGGATGCAAGAATCCCTCCACCATCTCCTTCATTCTCGCTTCCTCGAATACGCACCATCCCTCCCACAACCCCAGGACCACCTGCACCTGCCTCTTCCACTTCTCGGCTTTGAGCTTGCCCCATTCATACTTTTGCGGGAGTTTACCCAGCACGGGCAAGACGTTCTGGGCGAGGAGCTGGTGTTGTAAGAGAGAGCGGTAGCGCCATGCGTGCCGCACACCCGAGGTCGAAGACGCCGAGAGGATATCGCTGATGAGATACAGCCCAATTAGCGAAGCTGGGGTTGTGTCCATTTCCTTGGCTTTGGAGGGCTGGTTCGGTTCTTCTGTCGTGGAAGGTTCCTTGTCCCACAGGTGCTTTGGCGTGCCATCGCCGTTCTCACCGTCATGATGGTCATCCCCCGCTTCTGTATCTCCTTTTGGTCTCGTCACACAATAACAAAACGGCCTGACCACATTCCTCGTGACTAATTCTGCTACTTCATCCGCCCCGGCCCCAGCGTGCTCAATCGCAAATCCCGTCACTCGTGCAACATCGCCCCTGCGCAGTTTTGCATTTGTCTCCGGCAGGCGACTCAGTAGGTGGATGAGTTTCGTCTTCGCGAGTGGGTTAAGATAGCCTGTACCGTCATTATCGGCCGTCGAGTCATTGACATTGGCGACTTTCTGGTGATCATGATATCGTCTAGCTAATCCACCCCCTCTGTCGTCATCAATGTCTTCTTCGTCCGAAGAATTGTAGTCTTCGTCAGAGATAAATTCCTCCAAATGAGTGGTATATTCGAATTTGAGATCTTCCTCGGGCGGGATCCAGGTTGCTTGTCCCTCAAACAAAATGTCACCTTGCGGCTGCCGCGTACCGTACGCAGTATACCGTTGTTTGCGACGTGATTTGGCGTCTGTGAGAATCTCCCAAAGGCGCCACCGATAATACACTCCGCCCACTGACCGTGAGTTCCACAGCCAAGCCCACCGTTCGTCGCACTGAATCTGCGGTCTGGACATGAGCAGCGCTTCGAATTCAGGACCATATGTCAGAAGAGCTTCGATTGTTTTGTGAATCAAGCGTAGTTGTTTGAGGTCATTCGGGGCCTGCACTGTGACTTGTGTGGGGGGCAAGTTATTCATCGGTCGCGGACCATAGGACGTCGACGAGGTATATGAGGCCGGAGGGGCGAAGCGATGACCTGTGGAGCCCTGGTTCGGGGGAGGAGCTCGGGATAAGGACGTGTGTTGAGGAATCGGTTTTGCTCCGAAGGGAAGATTGTTCAAATTTGCAGACGGAACATTACTCCCGAGAGCACTTATGCCGGTCAAAGCTGCGGAAGAGAGATGGCGAGATATCGAGAGATTGAAGCCAAACCCGAGGTATTTATTCTGGAGATGCGAGACCACTGTTTCAATATCTGCCGCCGGGGTTTCGGCAACGAGCGTGACGATTGCGGAGATGGATTTCCTTTCGGTGGTTGAACCTGGCCCGGGGGGGAGAATGCGGACATTTTCGACGGTCAATGGGGACGGAGTGAACAGTGCCTTGACGACGGCAGGAGATGTCCCGGGTGGAAGGGAGGAGAGGTGTAATGTCGGTTTCGCCGCGGCTTTGAGTTCATCGGTATCCCTTGTATCCTCCTCGTCATCGTGAGCGAAAGCACGGGAGTCTCTCCTGTTGTCCGCATCTCTACCGTCACTATAAGAAAACACCCTGTCTCTCCTGTCTCGGTCGCGGTCGCGCTCTCGATCCCAATCTCTCCCCGAGTATTCATCATAGTGTCTCTTTTTTCCGAATCCCGGCGCTGATCCCAAGCTACCTGGTCCACTCTTTGGCAAAGAAGGACTCGGACCCAAGGTGCCGGGACCACCCTTCAGGCCCGAACTTGTGAAATGTCGCTTGCCAGGCCCAGAAGGACCATAGTTGCCGCGAGCAGAACCAAATCCGCCTCTATTTTCGCTTCCAGTTCCTCGCTTCGAAGGGAAGCTCGATGTCCGGTTCCCATCATCTTCAAAACTCTTCACGAAATCTTCAAGGACAGCAGCTGTCTCCGCCTTCTCTCGGGCCTTTTTAGCTTCTGCCTCCGCCTTTTGTCGCTCGAAGATGGACTTCTTCGTGGAGGCGCCGACTTTAGAGGAAACGCCATTATTGGAAAGAGGCATTGTGACGACTTCAATTTTAAGGATCGGGGTGGCGAGGCATGTCTCCGGTCTGGCTCAAAGATATGTGGTTGAGCCGTAAAATAATTGTGCAGGATCGACGGACACTCACCGCGCCGTTGAAGTCGGGCGGGTTGGCAAGGCTGAACTCGAAGTGCCAAGGGGCGGATTTAAATTTATCCGATTGGCTCATAGATGACCTTCAGACTATCTGTCACAAACCTCAACTACTGCAGAGGGTCCGGTAGAGATTCGAGAAGTGCCCTCGCTGTTTTCGTCAGCACCTACTGTCTCACGATTCCTTTACGATATAGCCATCCCGACCACTTGAGCTAATGACTTCCCTCTCTTCCTAGCAGCTCTTCCCATCAAGCGACAAGCCTTCTCGTCACCGCACTGACCTTCCCACTCTCTTACGTTGATCTTCCACATTCCACGAAGTGAATGTTGGCCACCCTTTGAGAGTGGGCAATATAGAGGAGAAAAGTCTTGAACTAAGCTCCATCTAGCAGGAGAGAGGCGCAAATTAGCCCTCTCTTTAGGTTGAGGAACCTCTTTACCTAGACATTTACTCCTTGATCTTGCGCTGATATAGATTATTATCCAACGTACTCAGAGACCATTGAACGCCCATCCAACTCCAATAAAAACGAGGCTAACAGGAAGATTAGAGGTCGCACATCAGTAGTCGATGCTGTGTACTGCGCTCCTCTTCCACATAACTCGCAACTTAAAAGGCCGGGCCTAGGCAGCCGGAGCCTGTGGCATGGCGAGGATGGCTCATAGGCTCGATGAAGAACAACGGCATTGGATGATAGATGCAGATATGGGAGCAGCGGACCATCTGACCAATGTGCCACCTCGTATTCATGCACACCCTGCTTATGGCAACAAGCACTTCCGGCGAGCTCACAGCTGCAGTCGGGCGAGGGATTTATTTTGCTGTATTTCTCCGATTTCGCTGCTCGTCCCCAAGATCCATCAATCCGTCAATCCATAATTGTCCTCTTGCTTGTTGCCCCTCAAAACGTGGGTCATATACATGTTCCAGCCAGCTAATTTGCCAGTCAGCCTCGCCATTTTGTGGGTTGCATCTTATCGACATCCAAAACTTAACCAGGTGTTCGAATTGAGCTCGCACCCTTACGATGAGCTGCTGATGACCAACATTCTCTTACCTATCCGCGACTTCAGAATCATTCAGGCTATTCTCATCTTATGTCACTGGCCCAATTCCGGATCGCGCCAGGGCCAGGATCCAAGCTGGCCATATTGCGGGATTGCCATGAACACTGCGTTGCAAATAGGCCTGTATTAACCAGAGCCTGAAACCTACTATCTATCCCGGAATCAGCCAGCTGCTTGCATTGCACTGACACCGCCATAGTCTTCGTGAATGGCTCGGAATACGGCCACATCTCTCATCACCTTCGCAGTTGAACACAACTTCAGCGATGGCAAAAGAGCCAAATGTCCCCCGCTGGAAGGGTCTCGACTGCTTCCAGTGGATGTTGGATGACAGGCTCGTCGAGATGCTGAACTTATGAACTCGCGGTCGAGAAGCCAAGTGGGGGAAATCACTTTGAGAGCTCTGTCGAGATCTGTCGTAAATTGTGGTGTTGATACTTCGTCCGCCAAAACCCCCTTGAACAATGAGACATAGGAACTTCAATCAAAGAAAGATCAAGCCTGCCTACACGGGCCTTCTCACATGTCGACACCAAGCGTGAATTTGAAACTCTAGACACCTATCTCGACCAAAGACATGACTGTATTACGCATATACCCCGTAAAGGAGCCATGGCTGCGAGTGCTTAGGTAGGTAGATCCAGACGCCGAGAAGCGCTACTGTAGGAACCAAGCGATTTTCGCACCAGCGGCCTCGCGGCAATCAAAGCTGCAAGGCCTACCGAGTACCTTAGTGCGAACTTCTCGCTCCGAAGAGCGAAACGCGCCCAGAACCTGGAACAATGCCTAGCCTACCAGCCGCAGCTCCCCAGTTTCTAGAAAGGGGGGATCTTTGCGTTTCAAAGGGACTGGTCAAATCCCGTGGCACATGCTAAACTGGGGGGCCGCTTGGACGCGTGCTCTCGTATGTGCCTCAATTTGGAGAGACTGGATGAATGCATAGCTAAATATGTTATTTACTTTATTCTTTATACCTCAACCGCGCCCACGAGGCGGGTCCTGGGTTGAAATGGCTGTGAAAAACTCTTACTCCGTACAAATGCATTAATACAGTGATAGTGGCTGCACAGCTGGCAAGCCGTCTCATTTTCATAAACCAGATCTTACAAGGTGTCTCAGTTCGACTCAGTGGTAATCGCGGTCTATGGGTGAAAGAAATTGGTATCTCGAGATCTACAGTGGCTCTTTCAGTCAGATAAATAAAAAAACGCCTCATTCATGATATATTCTTTTCCCGTTGTCCCCTTCCTTTCATGCGTTCGCGGAATTCGTCAGCCGAAGACTCCCCTGATCCATAAGGTAGGAAGATCCTCCTGCGCCTTTCGTGACGAATATATATGGCACCTCGGTATCTATTCTTTCTTGCACCATCCTCCTCTGCCTCCGCAAATCACCCGCTTGTCGTTCTGGGGGCGTTTGTTTACACGCGCGAAAGTGGCGACATGGCAATCTGCTCCGTGCTGCTGTCGTGGACCTCCTTGTACTGGCTCAGGGATGCCTTCTTCGTCCGGAAGTGGAAGCCGGCATCTGACCATAATTTTTGTCCCAGGACAAGGCCCGGGTGCCAGGCAGTCAGGCCCGTGACGGCAATGATGATCATGGGTCCCTCGAGGATCATGAATGTGACTTCGTCGTTGGCGAGCTGGCCGTTGAAGCCGTCTTGGAGTTCGGCGAGGCGGTAGCTCGATCGTACTGTAATGGTGATGACGGCGACTGCGATACCTGGATCGGGGCGGAAAGGTCAGCGAATAAAGTCCTCTCTCTTTATCGTGTCTTTTTTGGGCGGCGGGATTTTTGTCAAGACTTACCGATCAAAAAGCCCTTGAAGCGGCGCGTGTTGCGAAGAAGAGCATGCTCCGGGTTGAGCTTTTGTGGGTTCTTGAACACCTTCCAGGCAAAATGGCCACAGAGGGCGATAAAAATGGCCAGCGAAACGACCTGCGACGCCAGGCCTGCGATCATGACGTTGATGCCGAGCTGGTTCGTGTTGTCGTCATTGGCGGTGGACGCAATGGCGCCGCCCGCCGCTTGGAGGACCAAAGAGATAAAGTCGCAGGCGACGAAGATGCAGGCGATGGTCCTGGGCTTCAACAGGCTCAGCTCGAGCGCGAAGATGGTGATGATCCGGCTTAGGCACAGGTAGATGGCCGCCGTCAAGAAGGCGGGCCCGATGGTCAACCCGATCAGGTAGATGATGAACGAGTTCTTGTCGAAGATGTCGTTGTAGAGCATCAGTCGCCCGATGTAGCCCACGATCTCGAGCACGATCCCGCATGCCATGCCCACCAGGAAGCCCCATGTCCTGTACCTGATCCCCAGGAGGATTTGCAGCAGCAGGAGGAGTCCGAAGATGCTCGCGTAGATGGCATTGCCGGGTAAGCTTGGGATGTAGGCGATCTGGCCGTATTCTTTGACGGAGCAGGTGGCGATGGTGCAGTTGTTTGGCGTCGACATGCTGATATCAGGTGGAAGGGTGTATTTCAAGACGTCGAGGTTGAGGTTGAGGTCGAGGTCGAGGTCGAGCAAAGGAAGTTATAGAGCAGACAGCGTTGGAACAGGGTTGTGCGATGTGATGCCTTACCGTTCCGACATTGAGCTTCTATCAGGGTACTTATAGCCACTGCATATGCTCTCCCCTGTGCTGGAAAATTGGAAAGGGGGGCCATATACAGCCTTGCCGACGCAGTGCTGCGCCTTCGACAATACGTTGGTCTGCATGGTTGGAACAGGCAGCAGATGTGCGGTTGCTACAGTGCTACAGTGCTGGAAAGTGATAATTGATATTTTGAGACATGAGACAACGGGTTAGGAGCATGGCAAGCCTCTTCTTGGCTGGTATCGGTAAGCTTCGCAGTTCGCAGCGACGTACCCGAAGAGATTAGCTTGGGAGATGGCGCTTGATGGAGGTTTAGGCCTCCCGACAACAGCCCTGTTTGGGGGGGGGCTGACAAGGCAGTGTTGCCCTCGTACTTCGTATACTTGGCTGGGACTTGCTGGAGAGCTCGGACAAGTGCAGCGAATGCGGTATGGCAGGATATCCACAGTGCCAACCAATTCAATCATACTATCTGTCCAGTGTCCATCTAATCCCAGGTATGAAATCCATACAGATATCCCCCCCAATCTCACTAGCCATATGTCTCCCTGCTTCCTTCAACTCTTGCTTCTGTTCCTGTTTCATCAAATCGACCTTGCGACCCCAGCGCCCCAGGCTTGAAGGCCACCCATGATGCGATTCCTTGACCAAATTCGACCCCAAGACGCCTCCGGCTTGAATGACAAAGGCTAGTGCGGAAGGCTTTCCCAGACAACCAACTGCGCTCCCATTTCCAAACAACATCCCAGCCCAGACTCCCCTAGTTCCATCCCAATGGACCTCAGACCACTTCTGTCTCCCTTCGTCCAAGTTCAGTCACCCAGATATAGGGTGTGCTTCTTGTGTGCAAGACGAGGCCCGTCTTGTGTTCGGCCTTTATGACTTGCTAGGCTTCTGACTAGATTCTGACTAGACCAAGACATCTAGATCCTCGTCGGACTGATCGACAGCTTCAAGCACAAACTGTTCTGCAAGAATGACTAGACTTCGGACATCGCCAGCCTCAGGCGCAAACTCTCCCGCAAGAACGATTAGACATTTAATTTGAAGGACCAACTCCTCATCGGACTGGCCGCCATCCTGAAGCCCAAGAAGTCGAAGCAATGCACCGCGGAGCGCCTCATACCGTCGGTTTACGTCGTTGTACTGTTCGTATGCCTGAACGGCCACAGCAAGATGCCCTCTGAGTTCTGATGTGGCTTGTGAAATTTGTCTCTGGTGGTAAGAGCATAGGCAATGGCGGGCAAGCCTTTCCAATTGCTGATCAGTCACGAGAGTTGGGGGATTCGCACCCATGACACCGAGTAGATTACGAACCGCCGCCGCATTGGAGGGAGATTCTTCCCTGATGTCCCAAGCACATCGAGAATGAAATCTTCGAAATGTTCGGCCGATACAGATAATGTCGCCCCTGACACTGTCGGTGATTCGGAAGGTGGCATCGGGATTCCAGACATATGTTGCCATGTTTGCACAGTAAGGATTTCGATCAGGTGTTGGAGGAACAAGTTTGTTGAATAGATGACAGATTATTTGGTTGCGTTGTTGAGATGCTTCGATCCAGAGGAAGGGGTCTCCTCTTTATAGGGCTGTTGGAAACACCACACGAACGCCCTGCCTCAATCGAGCAGACACAACGAAACGTCATCACAGCGCACTTAGCACAGATTCAGCCAAAAGCAGCCGCAGTGTTTCTCGGCAATCAATGTAAAGAAAGGAATGTGGGCGGGAACGAACAACATTGCCACTGCAAGATGGAGGCAGCAGACGCCCAGCATCAGAGCAAGAACCCAGCTACCATGTTTGCTAAGGCGAGCAGTCCGTTTGGTTTTCTTTCTGACATTGCCAGTCTGCGCGTGGCATGTCTCGCCCAGCGAGAGACTGTACCGGATTGGTTTGCAATGACTCCCCCTAGAATAGTCGAGGAGACAAAGCCGGATTATGATCCTGCCTGAAGCAGCCATGGTAAGTGAAATGTCTCTTTCTGAGCTTCCTTCACCCTTAACAACAATGCCTTTTAGGAACAGTGAGCCCTGATACGAATTTGTGGCCTTGCGAGATGGGTGAAGCCAGATTCAATTTCTGTGTCTGACGAGAGACAGTGGCTACAACATGATAGCCTAGCAGGGCATTTGAAGAAGGACATCGGCAGAGTCATTTTCGGACCGCTCAACACCCATGCGTTCCTTGTAAGTGATCTCGGTCGCCTGGTCGCCTCCTTGCGGCTGCATTGTTTCACCAGGCTACTTCCCTCCCATTATACACATTTGGACCTTCCACATCCTCCCACCCGGGAACATGTATGGCTTTACATTTCCCATTGTCCTCTTTTGTGTTCTCGAACAGAATATCAAGGGTGGCTTTTGCTCCAACCTCGACCGGCAGATCAGCCCTGTCCCCACCCATGTCGGTCTTCAAGTACTGCATATTCAGAACATTTGAGTCAGTCGTGCTCATGCGACAGGATAACAACGGCAAGAATCAGGAGAGCTCAACTTACGCCGGGGGACACCATCAGGAATGTAAACCCTTCCTTTCCCAGCTCCAACGCATATTGCACAGTCAACATATTCAGAGCCGCTTTCAAGACCTTGTAAGATGGTGTTGGTGCATACATGAATTGGGGAGCTATTGCTACGGAGCCAAGGGTAGATGTGCTGCATTGGTAATCACATTTGTCAGCCATGATCGCCGTTGACATGCATTGGGATGTCGGTCCTGCTACTCACATGTTCAACACTGTCTTCTGTTCACCTTTGCGCAAAAGGGGCAGAAATGCTGCCGTGATATCATGGACGGCTTCCACATTCACTTTGAGAGGGTAGCCAAGGTTATCCATGGTCTCGATGCCATCAACGGAAAGAAGCAAGACGCCAGCATTATTAATGAGGACATCAAGCCCCTTTCCAGCAAGGGCCTTGTCGATCTGAGACACCGCTGCCTTGATGCTGTCCTTTTCAGTGATGGCCATTGGCACGTGCACGACCCTCCCCTTCGAATGAGCGATAAGCCGTTGCAGGGCATCTGAAGGATCGGATCTCGTTGTTGCGAAGATAATCGAAACTGATCCCGAGGGGGTTTTGACAGTTGGGAGGCGAGTTCGAGTCCTAGCCCGCGGCCGGCGCTTGTCACAAGATAAGCAGGCATTGTGATCTTTAGTCAATTTTGCTGCCGGTCAACGGTAAGAGCACCTTGGCTACAAAGGTAGAGTGGATATAAAGGGGGTTCACGACTCGAGAATCCGTCTCTCTAGCCGGTAAGTGTCTGCATTTGTATGCCCCATGTTCTGGTACCCGACGGACCAAATCTATGCATGCTTTTCTCTAGACAATACCCGTAGCTTCTTCTCAGGAACAAGCTTGTTGTCCACTCCACGGTCCTTCGGAAGCATCTCTCGTAACTCCTGGCTTGGCAGCCTTGCCCCCTTGTCAAAGCGACAACCCGCACCATGATGTGAGCCGAGCGGTGGATTCGGGATAAACTCTCGTCCAATCCCGTGTAGCAGGTAACCGGGGAAGAAAGACAAGACCTGACTGCTTGTTCTGCCCCAGAAATCAGGATTCGGTGCTAATATCTAATTGATCATCTATATCATACCCTGATTCAGGCAAATCGCTGTGGCTACTGGGACATTTGCGAGTCGGCAATGTTCCACATGGACGATAATTACAAAGCAATTCGTTATTGATGACCCCTTTTGCTGGTGGCAGGAGGGACAGATCAACTTCTCTTCCCGAGTTCGAGAATGTTGTCCACCATCAGCTGGCTAGCGCCCAGGTAATTGGCCGGGTCACAGAGGTCCTTCAGCTGTTGTTCCGACACGTATACCGCCACGCTGGCACGGTCCTTCAAAACGTCAAACAGTGCCATGTCCTTCTCTATCGACTCCTTGCAAGCCTCGTAGACTAGGTCGTGAGCCTGTTGTCGGCCTAGAAACGGGGCTAGACCCATCATCACGGCTTCCCCGACGATCAGACCCCTGGTCGATATAAGGTTCTTCATCATGGCATCCGTGTTGACGACGAGGCCTCCCAGCGCAAAATTGGTCTGATGCAAGGCGCCGACGGCCAGGACGAATGCTTCAGGCACGGCTACCCACTCCAGGTGCCAAGGGCCCGAGGCCCGCTCGAAGTCGGTCACCATGGCGTCTAGTGTCAGGCCCGCATTCGCACGGAGCAACTTTGAAGCAGCAAGGACGACTTCGCTTGAGATGGGGTTCCTTTTCTGCGGCATGGTCGACGATGCACCGCGGTGGGGGACAAATGGCTCCGCCACTTCGCTCAGTTCATTGGACGACATAAAGATTAGATCATAGGCGATCTTGCCGAGCGAGCCTCCCATGAGGGCAAGGAAATTGACGATTTCAGCCACATTGTCGCGGGCGACATGCCAGGTGATGCTGGGGTTACCCAAGCCGAGCTCTTTTGCGAGTTGTTCTCTCACGCGGAGACCGGCGTCGTCAGATCCTAGAGAGGCCAGCGTCCCGGCCGCGCCGCCGAACTGGACCAGAAGGCATCGGTTTTCAATTTCCTGGAGACGCTCGGAATGCCGAAGGATGCTGGATAGGTAGACGGCGCACTTGTACCCGAATGTACATGGTAAAGCATGTTGTAGATGTGTTCTGCCAGCCATTGGCGTGTCGCGGTACTTCTTCGACAGAGTTCGGAGTATGTTTTCTAGTTCTTGCAAATGGCGTTTGATTATCTGCAACCCATTGCGCATCTGAAGCATGGAGGCAGTGTCCATCTGCAGCAACCCCGGGAGTTAGAGCGCCGGGTAGCCAACAAATGCAGATATTGGCCCTGTTCTGTCACATGGGGAAGAGAGGAGGGGAAAAAAAAAAAATCTACGTGTCTAGTTACAGTCTTGCCAACGTGATCGACTTACAATGTCTTGTGTGGTGGCTCCCCAGTGGATATACTTGCCCATCTCACCAGAAGCATGTTCCACGAGCTGCCGCACTAGAGGAAGGACAGGATATCCCACGATCTCTGTCTCGCGCGAGAGGCGGTTAAAGTCAAGACTAATATGTAACAAGCAATCGAATGAGCGCGGACGTTCTGGGTCTGCAGGAATTGGGCGACAGGTGGGCCAAAAACACTGACCGAAAGCCCTCCTTCTCTCTGAACTTGTTGGCGAGAATTTCTCCAGCCTCAACCGGGATGAGCCCAACCTTGGATTGTGCCCGGGCTAGAGCAAGCTCGACATCGACCATCTGCTGAGTGTATGCCTCGTCATCGAAGACAGCGCGGATCTCTTGGGTCCCAAAGAGGTTTTGGAACAGGCGTGAATCAAGTGCCGAGACTGACATTTTTGGGGTCTTTGGGACTGAGTTTGGTTTGTCAACTGCTTTTGTTCGATGTATTTTCGTTTGGGAATATGGATCCAAGGGTTTTATAAAGATTCTAAATTCTCTCTGTCTCTGAGAACGTGGCCGGAGAGTCTCCTGGTGGTTTTGAATGCTCTTGTTTATGCCTTGCGGGGTCGTAGCCTCGTGCGGGGAAGGCTGAGGCTTGAGGGGTTCAAGGCGAGGAAGGCTCCCGAGTCTCCACAAGTCTCCATCACCAAATTGCTTAGAATTTTGAACTCTGTGGGCGCCAAGCTTGATGTCTATTTCAAGCTAGACCGCCACTGTCCTTGCCCGTCACGTGCCGGACAGGTGAATTGCGATGTTCGATGGGCAGGATCATATTTTTTTGAAAGAGTCTGCATTGATTATTATCGGCTGGTTTTGTGATCATGATTATGGTTTCACAATCGTGAGGTGTTTGTGTGATGTTGTCGCCCTTTTTTCATAGAGAGGGAGTCTAGAGAGAGGGAAGTCTTGGCAGTGCAGACAGCACTTACACTGCCCCGCCTGCTGCTTTTTCACTTGGATTCTCAACCACTTTTTCGAGTCACTTTTGCAACACCAAACTCACAGCCTCCTTCGTCCTCTCCACCATCTCACAGAATTCATCCTCCAATCACCATCCGCATCTGTTCCTCTTTCGATCTATCTTCTATCCTTCGAAAATAGCATACAGCTCTTCTCCAGTCAACCCAGGTCGAACGAGATAACTGCCTCTCACACACTGGCCCAAGCTCGTGCTCGGTCTCCGCCACTGTCGACTCATAGCCTGACATTCCTCAGTCACAAGTCACTGCCGGTCTGAGTCACGTGTGTTTAAATATGCTCCTTGTGAGAGTGTACCACAGACTAGATCTCCTTTGTTCCTCGATCCATCCCTCTGTGTGCCTTTGAACGACCCCGCTACGATGCCGCCAAAGCCCCTACCGCCCAGGCCTCGCGCTGGCCAACACCGCCGGCCCAACTTTCGAGGCCGCATCGACGGCTTAGGCAGCCCAGCACCCAGTTCTCTGCGAGCGTCAACTCCTACGCTCGTGCGAGCACCCACGCCAGTCAGCCAGCCCCAGGCCCGCTCAAAACCCCTGTGTCCTAATCCCGACTGTCCTGATCGGTCAAATGTCGTCTTTGGTGATCAAGGACTCATCTGCCAGAGTTGTGGTGCCCTAGTCCAAGAAGATTCCGGCCTTGTCAGCGAGCAGGGCTTTGGCGAGACCGAGTCTGGCCGTATCACTGCTCTTGGTGTCCAGGTTGGCGAAAACCAAACTCATCAGAGGACCTTCCACGGAGGAGCTTTTGGGACTGCTGGCCGCGAGGCCCCGCTGAATCGCGAACGCTCAAAAGCTCAGGCCAAAACCGTCATGTCCTCCTACATAAACCTTCTTGGCATCAGACAATCGGAGGTGGACGCGGCTGAAAGACTGTTTGAATTGGCAAACAGCAATAGCTTTGTCCAAGGGAGAAGCATCGAAAGTGTCGCTGTCGTCTGTCTCTATGTCGCTTGTCGCCGTAAAACGGAGCAAGTCGAGGGTCAACTGAGACCCTTGTACAGCTTCATGTTGATTGACTTCGCCGAGAAGATGAACATGGATGTTTTTGCACTGGGCAGGGTGTACCAGGACCTCGTCAAAAAGCTGTTTCTGACCAAAGGAAAAGGCTTTCGACCCGATGGCTCTGCAGAATTCTGGGGAATGGATCCGGCCACGCTTGTACCCCGGTTTGTCGAAGAGTTGGATTTCGACAAGCACGACCAGGACAAAATCAAACGCGATGCTATCAACATCGTCAAGAGAATGAAGCGCGACTGGATCAGCCATGGCCGTCGACCTTCGGGCATCTGTGGTGCTGCGGTCATTCTGGCCGCTCGCATGAACAATTACCGTCGTACCACGCGCGAGGTTGTGCTGACGGCAAAAGTCACCGAAATCACCATCAACAAACGACTGGAAGAATTCCACGACACACAAGCCAGTAAACTTTCGGTCACAAAATTCAGAAACGAAGCGATCCCGGTCCCCTATGTCCCGCATCCTCTCGATGAACAGCATCCGCCTATCTGGAAAGAAGCACAAAATCCGAAACCCAAGAACAAGAAGAAAGGTCGCCCTAGAAAGCGTGCTCTCGCAGAGACCGCCGCTGAGATCGAGGACGATGCTGCGTCTCCTGAACCCGAAGCTAACCAAGAATCGGACGAAGGGCGACCACCGCCGGCGAAACGAGTTCGGATTGACGCAGAAGGTTACAAGATTCCAGAGATCCCAGCTCGACGGACGGTCATTGATCCGGCTCTGACTTCTGGCGAGACACCTGCTGAAGCACAAAGCGAAGAGGCAGACGCTCTGCGAGGGGAGACGCCTGCATCGTCACACGACGAGGACGGTCAAGATGTCTCGAATGCCTCGCAGCCTCCACATCGGAAACCCAAATCCTCGCATTGGAGAGCACCGCCTGCATCGGCAGCCGAAATTGCGATTGAGAACGAAATTGAAGAAGGCATCGCAGAAGCACTACGAGACAACCCGGAACTCGACCCAAACTACCGACCTCTGCCTCCAGGTGAAGAGGAAGGATCGGTGCAACAGCTCGGTGGTGGTCAAGCTGGAGGACAGCAACCAACAGTTATAGATCTCACCGCTGACCCAACCCAGACTGTTCCTCCGCACCCGAGAGACAAGAAATGTGGACCACCCGCGAACTCGACAATTGGTAACCTTGGCTTCGTCTCCCTTTCTCCGACGCTCAAGCCTGACGAATTCGATTCCGATGAAGATGTCTCAACTTGTCTCTTGTCTGAGCAAGAATCCCGTATCAAAGAGAGGGTATGGGTGACCATGAATGCCGACTGGCTGCGACAGGATCATGCGAAGAGGATAAGGAAAGAGTTGAAGGAGGCGGACATGAGGGCAAGGGGCTTGGACCCAGAGCAGGAGGAGAGGAGAAAGAAAATGGAGAAGGGAAGGAGAAAGGATGGGACGAAAAGACCGGGACGCAGGGGAGACGTTAGCTATTTGAGGGAGCAACGGGAAGGGAGAAGGAGAGGTAAAGGTCAAAGGGCCGTGGGCGAAGGTGAGGGTGGAGGGAAAGTGGCGGGTGCAGAGGGCGACAACGAGGGTGACGAAGGAGAAGGAGAGGAAGGCCAAGACAGCACCACAGTCGCTGGAAGGGAAAGAAGCGCAGCGAAATCCATGAGATTGATGCTCATGAATCGGCGAACTTTCTCGCGACGGATCAACTACGACGCCCTCGAAGCTATCTACGGGATGGCATCGACCAGTGAGGATAGCGAATCGCGTAGCCAAACTGGTGAGGGTCGAAGCCGCAGTGTGAGCGTCGCACAAAGCGAGACTACGGCGACTCCAGGACCTGGCGGGGAACAGGAACCGCGGGAAGGAAGTAGGGAAAGCAGTGTTGTGAGCAGTACCACTATTGGACCTTCAGCAATCTTTCGCGGAAGAAGAGAGAGAAACCGAGGCAGTCTTGCTGCCGAGAGGAGGGAGATGAAGAGACGGGAGAGAAAGGATCTTGAGAAGGCAAAGAAAACTGCTGCTGCAAGTCAAGGCAGCGAGGGCGAAGCGAGCAGGTCGGTGTCGAGAAGTCGAAGTGCGAGCACTCCTGCTACGGAGGGAGAAGGGGAGGGCGGGAGAGGACGCGAGGTCAGCGGACCGAGTCCTGAACCTGAATCTGAATCTCAACAACTGCAACCGCGGCAGCTTCCCTCTCCACTGAGAACACAGTCTCAACAGATACCTAGAATACAGACCTCGACTGTCACAACGGGCCGTTCATCCTCGGTTCCGGGAGTCAAAGTCACTGATAGATATTCAACGAGGGCGCGACAAGGTGTCCCGGAAAGAAGGGTAGACGCCCAACTGGAGGATGTGGAGATGGACGATGGAAACAGGGAGGATAACGATGAAAATGAAGACGACGGCGAAGAAGGGGAAGAAGAAGAAGCAAGCGATGACTCGGACGACGACGATGGAAACGGGGACGAAGACGAAGACGAGGACGAGGACAGGGACGAGGATGGTGATGGTGGCGATAATAGAGAAGCCGACGAAGATGTCGACGCAGCTTTCGAGGGCCGGTATGTCGGTCGATAGCCAAGGTTGATGAATTGAGTCCTGTCCTCGTGATGCGGACCGAAGAAATGCCGAAACGTACTCCAGGTTGTAGGAGAGAGTGAAGATTCATGCCCATATCATTGCTACCTCCCCCTGAACCGAAAGACCGACTAGACTGAATGAGGGTGACCTGCTCTCAAGATGGGGTTATACAACGAGGCTCACAGGCCATAATACTCCTTATGCGTATTACCTAAACGTACAGGGTACAGCCTCGCAAGCCAAGCAGGTCGGGCACCAACAAAGACCAGGACTGGCGAGGCGTCGCTGGGCGTCTAACAGCGAGTGTCCAGAGAGGCGCACTGTTCGCCTGCCAATAGGCTAACTTCAGAGCATGTGCGAAGCCTACCGGCACCAGCCCAGCGGAGGTGGTAGGCAGCAAGATGGTCAGGCGCTTCTGTCTCAACCGGTCTCTCCCTCAAAGCCATGACCATCGAGTTTCCTTGCACTTGCTTGATTATTCTGTCCTCCTTTGCTCCTTAGCTACACTATCCTTCCATCCCTACATATTACTTCATCCTCTGCAGTAATGTCTGGTATCGAGGCCGTGTTTGGCGTGGTCACTGGCGCTGCCGGCTTGGTTTCGCTGAGCATCGAGCTCGGCAGGTGCGCCGTGAGGCTGGGGAGAATATATCGTACCGCAAGGGAAGCACCACGAATCATTGAAACTTTGGTTTTCGACCTCGAAACTATGGCTATATGCCTAAGGGACCTCGAACAACACCGGCTGCACGACACCCACAGCGGAGTCCTTCTTGCGCGTTGCATCACGAGCTCTCAACAAAGGACAGCTGAGATAGTGCGGCTGGTCGATAAAATGGAGCGTTACATGGCGGACCATGTCAGCGTAAAAGGGAAACTATACACTGCTTTCAAAGAACGAAACGTGAAGGAGCTACTCGATGACCTAGAGAAGGCAAAGAGCTCATTAATGCTCGCCTTCTCTATGTACTGCTCTGCGGAGCAAAGGCAGCGAGCCCAAGAGCACAGTAACCTCCTGAGCGACATTCAGGCCCAGCTTTTAACGATTCACTCTCCACCCCAGTCCCAGATGCTTATCTCTTCAATAGGAACCACTGTGGCAAGTGGATCAGCATGGACGGCTACGCAGCAAATGCATAACACTCAGACGCTGAGTGTCCAAGTTGATGAGCAAAATAAACCGGACACTCACTGCACGGTTGGGCCAGGCAAGCGCAAAAACAACAAAACGCGCTTTCTGATTAGCCTTCGCTTCCCAACACAGCTGTGCTCTCGCGTTTGGAATTTTGCATTTACTAGGGCTCAATGTGGCTGGGATATCCAATTGCGTACATATAACGTTGTGCCATTTCATTCACGCATCTTTCGTTGCTGTAGGAATGGCGATCTTGCGGGAGTTCAGAGACTCATTACTGGTGGCAAAGGAACACCATTGGATGTTTACGATCGTGGCGGAAACAGATGGGGCACTTTACTGGAGGTAGGCATCTTGGATACTCCGTGCATCCAGAGTAACAAATCTGATGATCTTGACTAGCAAGCTGCCCTTTACGGACAGGTAGAGGTCTGTCGCTATCTCCTCACCCACTCGAGTTGGTTGGATCGTGCAACGACGTTGAGCGACGCTCTCGGTTATTACGCCTTGTCCACCTTTTCGGATGACCACTATAGGGCGGAAGAGATGTATCGACTTTTTATCGAAGCCCCTGGTTTTGATGCCGACCTCTATACCTCTCCCCTTCGGTATGCATGGATATATGGCTGCCAAAGCGAACGATGTCTCGATATAATCCTGACCAACCAGTTTTCGGGGTTCTGCCGCCTGCCACTCGAAGCAAGGTTTGAGCTTGCCGTCCAGACTGGCGTCCAATCTTGCATGGAGCGCGCCGGGTTTCTCAAGTGCATAGGATTGGGAAAATCTGATCAAAGGCTTGCTAATCTGAGAAGCAGTGGTGGTTTGACGATTTTGCATTACGTTGCCCGCCGTCTTAGGACGTTGGTGACGTATTTCTCTTGCCCTTACCACAGAATAACAGAATGGTTTGATCTCGGCGTGAGAGTCTTAATAAACGGCGCAGATCCTTATGGCGTTGCTCCGGGAGATGATCAATCCTCGGTCAGGAGATTCTTCATGAACCAAGACGTCAAGCAAGAATACTATTGGCAGACCACGGCCTTATTAGACTGCATGGGCATTGCAGATTTCGAGGTATTACGGTACGCCGGCGGCTGGATTTACACGGAAATGATGGACGCCCTGCGTATATGGATCGAAATGGTGCAAAAAGCTGGCCTTGACCTCTGTGAATACGGCGCCAAGGAGAGCCAAATCTGGGATTCATTAGTTCTTCGAGGGCTCGAAGAAAGACGTCGTCATGGGTCAATGCCCGTGGAGCAAGATCGCCTCGAGTCAGTGCGAGTAGAGCGACTTGTATACGGACCCACGCCCGCAGACTGGAGTCTCAAGGTTTCCTACTCGCAGACGCTCTACGTGCACAAGCTCAGTCTCCTTCCCGGAGCATTCGGTCCAAAAAGCAGTTTGCCGGATCAAATCATATGGTTTCCAGACGAGGAAGAGGAGACTGAGGGCAACTGGACGATTGTTCAGAAGAAGAGGTTGGTTCCTGCAGCCGCAGATCTTAGAGACCTAGTTCCTTCGTCTTGCGGACCATTTATGGAGCTTTTGGACGAAACTCAAGATGATTCGGGCGTGATTATGCTCATGCAGTATCGAGCCTCCCGCTCTCCAGGCTTAAGACCTAGGTCACACAGTGAACCCCCTCATCTACGAAGAAGAGAAGTAGATTACTACGCTCAACGATCAAGCCACAGACGATATTGGTTAGGGAAATGTCATCTATGCCCTTTCGACTCACGGTGGAAACTTGGCTGTGTTGAAGCATCGGTTGAGGGCCTTCAACATTTGCGGGACTATACGGCATGGCACGTTTTCAATGTTAGGGGGTGTGCCAAGGGCCTATCTAGCAGGTGCTATTCAGTTCAGGAATCGAGGCGTTGGCGGGCAAACAGTTTCCTCAGGGAAATTTCTGATTGTCAAGACGGCTTCTGCCAAGAACGGTTTCTAAATGATGCGCAAAGAAGCCTGAGGCACACGTTCACGCAAGACTGTCCCCAAGGTTGCAGCAAGGTTCACTTGGATCAGCTTCATGTGCCAGAGGCGCTTCGACACTGGCATCCGCAGCGGAGCTATGAGGACCTTGACATGTCCCAATGATTAGGACGTTACCTAGGCAAGGTGTTGCGAATTCTACCAGAACATGACACTAGGTATTTGATCAGAGTCGCCGGGGACCCGGAGGTTATTATCGTTAAACAAACAAATATCAGGACTTGATCTTAATGACTTATCTATCCACGAACCCAGAAATAGGAATGATAGACCTTTGCGCTTGAGGATTTATTATATATATATTTATGTGTGTGTGTGTGTGTGTGTGTGTGTGTGTTTTCACTTCATGCCTTCCAGCCCTTGCGCTGCAATGCAGTGCCGTGCCGTGCCAGCATAGGTATCCCAAGAACATATGTAGATAGACACCTACCTACATTACTCCTAGGTAAATATGTAGGGTACGTGGTTAACTGTCTTCGTACCTCCTCATCACCAAGGTTGAGGCTGGCTTTATCCCCCCTCACAAACAAGGTAGATTGTGACGATGCCACGATATCGCAATACGTATCAAGAGGTGGATTTCCGGTATAGTATCCGATATATTGTAGGTCCCTATGGCGTGTCGGGAGCTTGAAAGGCATGCCCGATCTCTTCTGTTCGCGGCCGCCTCCGTGTATAATCCATCCCTAGCGAGACAGGTAGGTAGGGTACCTCGCGCCTTGGAGATGGAGAATCGATAAGCTTCCAAAGTTCAATCCTCTTTTCGATATCTGACGTGGCGGCTTGCAGCCCTGTATCGTATCATTCCAGTCGGGTTTGGAATCTACTGTACTACTGTACCACCGTACCGTAACATAAGACTGATCCTATCCTATCCTACCTAGGTATTCTAACATTGTGAACATGACATATTCCCATCCTTCCAAGGTTGTCTCACTCGTAAAAATCATACCTCATATCGGGGACTTTAATGGTCTGTCTCTACTAGGTAGATAGGTTCTTCACCTGCCTCTTCTCCCTGCTCCCTTCTCCCTTCTCCCTTCTCTTGCTCACCTCGCCTCTTTCGATGTGTCGAGCGGACTCGTTCGCTCAGACAAGCGTTGGGAAAGCGGAAGGGAGAGCGTATGGCTTGGGCAAAGTCCCTGGAAGAAGGCTTCAAGATCTCGGGGGACCGCCGGTTTGTCCTTTCAAAGGCTTTTCGCCCGTCTCAGGTAGAATGCCCCTCGACGATCGCCTATGTTAGGCGGCAAAATCATTAGATTCGCCTTTTCGCGCTCGGCAGAGTTTCTCTGTGTCGGGTAGTAGGACGCAAGGCGAATGATAGCTCGCACGTCAATGCTGTGTGGAAAAGGTGAGCCGGCGGCGTTGCTTGGTTAACATGCTGTGGCCTCTGAAACCCTGGGGTGGTCATTGGCTCTAGTCGTGGTCGTCGTGTTCACAGTCGTTCTTATTAAAATCGTGCCATCCCGTCTCATCTCAAATTTATCCGTCGTGTTCATGGGATCTATTCATCTGTGGAGTTGTCGTGCCTTCGGTGGTAGGGCTGTATATCGTTATAATTTTGCGGTCTCAACAAGGCTTCATGTCCTGCGGTCCTCCTCATCCTCCATCTCCTCATCTTTCTCTTCTTCTATACTCTGCGCACTTAGCCCCCTTCTGTGTCCCTTTTGGCCCTTGCTCTTGTCATTCCCGAGCTGATCATCCTGCTCTGCCCGACCCGTGCCCATCCCAATACCGCCGCTCATGAGATCTCTAAAACTCACCCTCCTCGCCCGGTCACGAAGGCTGGGTGCTCTCGGTCGGTGTTCTCCCCTGGCCCGTCCGCCCCAAACAGGTATTTCATGCCAGATCCGGCGGCCAATGTAGTACAGGACGTCGTAGAGGATGGCGAGGAGCCAAGGGGCCATGTTTATGAACGCCAGAATCAGCTGGCAGCACATTAAATCAGTGTCAGAGAACAACGTCACCGGGGTGTCAGAGCACGTGGAGACGGGTTAGAAGGACATGGAGGATAAGCATGGGAAGCGGCGCAACTTACAAATGCACGTACAATCCATGTTTCGTACACCGTCAATTGCGCCGGGAGAAGAGAATACCACGCCATTGTCCTTTGTGGATCGCACAGCGTCTTTCGAAGCGGTGAATCCCTGAGCTTCTGACGACGCGGAGTGTCGACTTTTCCGACCGAAAAGCGACAAGAAAAATGTCGCCACCCGCCGTTTCCAGCCCAGCTCGGCGTCCCGTCACGATATTACTCGAGGCAAGGGACAATTGGCACCGACATTGTTCAACCAGACGCCCGAACCGGCAGGTCGAGCGGTTGCAGCAGTCGTGGCAGAGAAGCGGGTGGTCAAGGAAGGCGCCAGCTGGATTTGGAGCATTTCTCGAGTGTCGTGTTTCGATGTTCGATGCGGGTGCGCAGATCAGTGCTCCATGCTGGCTACTGGGTACAGACTTGCGTGCCTTGGTATCTTCTCCACAACACTCACACTACGCATAAACCTACTTAACGAATGACATCATGCAAGCAACCCTCCCTTATTGACGGCATGAGCTGGGAAACAATTGATAGACAAGTGGGATTATTAATGTCTAAATCTTTAATTGAAAGAACGAAGAGCATTCTACAAGTCTCTATGCGAAATCTTTGGAGAACGCCAAAAAAAAAGCGAATAATCTCGTCATCAGCCCTTTGAAAAGCAAAGAGAGAGTGAACAAGCCAAAGTCCTCGTTGGAGACGCTCTTCCCCTATTCCGATATCATAAAGCTCGCACATTCTCTTTTCCCGAACCGGATTGCTCATTTTTGTTTCGTATTAAGTCGAAAGTCAATTGAATTCCGAACGCTGAGAAGAAAAATTGGTCTCATGGTTGCGAGGGCACTCCGAAAAAAAAACAAAAAAAAAAAAACAATAAGCCCCCTTTTCTTCAGCTCGACGCCGGTATTTGATCCATAAACCCGTACATGGTTCGTCCCAAGCGGACGACCGCACATGAGACATGGAAAACGAGACCATCGTGTGTCGTCGTCATTTCATCAAGTCATAAGCCTACGCTTTTTCTTCGCAGGAGTCACGGGGTCGGAGGCCCGTCCATTGTTGGGATCCCGCATCCGCTGGACAGGCGTCACTCCTTTGTAGTGGGATGAGGTGTATGGAGAGGCATGATTCTTCTTCCTGCGGCGAGAGGGTGCTGGTGTAGCAAGAGGTGAACTCATGTAATCCATGTCCAGGAATGACGGCAGCTGGCTCATGGCCGCAAAGGATGGATCAGCATTGCGTCGGAAAGCCGTCACGTTGCCATTATTGAGATGGGAGAAATCATGACTCAACAGGTCCTGACTGGGAGGCATGAAAATGGGTGACGTGGGCCCGTCACTATCTTCGGAACCACTGTCGAATTGTATCACGTCGGTGAGGCTGATCACATCTTCCCCAAGTCCATCCGTCGGGAAATCTCCAGCTAGGTCACCATGGTCAACAGCAAGATCATCGAAAAAGAAGTTATTGGTAGGGTAAAAGGCTTCCAAGGGGCCAACCGCCTGTCCTTGATTGAATGGGTCATTGATCGCGGAATTGAGGCTGGCCAGCATGATGTCTGCGCTCGGGCCAGCCAGCAGTTCAGTAGGGTCGCGATCACCAGCATCGCTCTCCTCAATGAGCTCGGCAAAGCCCACGTCTGGACTGGACGTTTGAGATGCTCCATATCGACGCGCAAACTCTTCTCCGAGCAAATGGGGATTGGTCATGAGAATAATCTTGCCCGAAGGGTCGAGAATGCCCGATGTCTTGTCGCCTTCATCGATGAAGATGCCGCGAGGGGGCCCTCGACGATGAGCTGGCTTCTTGCCCGATTTTTTGGAGGGCGGAGACGCCAAGGGGGACATTTCTTTTTCGTCGCCGGCTGCATGGGGTGTGCTTTGGAGGGCCTCCTCCGGCAAACAGTCGTCGGTCAGATCAGCTGCAGGGCGTTAGTCATCATCCACACGGACAAATCACGTTTCAACATACAGTCGTCCAGATCATCGACCAGCCCGACAACACGTCTGTCAGCACCGTGGCGAGAAAACCCGGAGTCTGGTAGTGCCGAAGGCAGTAGGGCACGAGTAATGGTGGGCGACTCTGACATGGGGAAGTAAATGGTCGGATCGGCATCCGTGACAAAGTGCACCCGTCTCTCGGGAGCGGTTTCAGTGGCACTGTCACTTCCTTGTGAGGAGGCAAAGCGGTAGATGGAACCCTCGCTTTCATCTCCAAACCCATAGGCGGACAAGCCGTCGATCTGGTTGAGGAGGAAGTCGGCATCGCTCTGACCTTCTTCGGAAAGCATTGCGAGCAGTTCCTGCTGTTGGCCCTCGACTTCGTCGTCAGAATCGCTAATGTCATCGACTGCCTGATAAACATCGTTGTCATCGTCTGATTCTGCAAAGACCTTTTCTTCGAAACGCTTCCTGTTCTCTTCGGGGGAGAGAGTTGGGTCTTCGTCATCCTCATAGTAGTCTTCAAAATCCCCGAACATACTATCAGAGCTGCTAGCCAGGGAGACATTGTCCGGTACAATGGATTGATGCTTCAGCCCCGCCCCATTCAATCTCCGCGAACGAGACGGGGCTTTTACTGCTGGCAGATCGTCTTCGTCATCGGCTTCATCCTCGCTGTCTTCGTCTGAGGCATCCCCTGCCGTCTCAGACCCGTAGTCGGACAAATCGTCGCCCTCTTCGGCCGGGCTGTCTGCTCTTTTCCTTTTGCCAGGCGATTTCTTCGTCACCGTGTATTTGCGAACTGCTTTGCCCCTCTTCGGCTTCGGCTCATATGTGTCGTTGGGGTGTTCTTTCGACTTTGATATTTTGATGGAACCCAGCATTGGCTGGCGACCCCGCGAGTTACGGGTGTACAGGCGAGACATTGGTGATTCAAAGTCAAAAACTCAATGCCTTGTCAAGAAATAAGAATGTAGAGAGTGGATGATAATATGGGGGGGGGGAGGTTCGATGTCGAGGATAGCGGAGGGGGCAGGTGGGCGGAGTGATCGTCCTGGGGGTGAAAATATCGTGCTCAGCACCTTCGTGTCGCGAGGACAAGTGGGTGCCGTTCCGGTGTGCAAATGGGGCAATTTCGAGGACAACAGTGGACAGGAGCTCCTACGCGGGTAGAGCCTCGAAAGAGTAGATATCGAAACGAGGATTTGCTGGAGCTGCTTGACTGGCCACGAGAGAAGACTCCCTCTCCGCAGGTGGGAGAGGGAGCCTCCCGGCCGTCTAGAAAGCAGCGAAGGCCATGAGCAAAAGATGATCCTCGAACGATATAGAAGAAGAATGCTTGGCCGATGCTCTGACAGGTAGTAATAATATGCGGGTGGTGAAGTTGGCTGGGATTGTAGCAAGAGGGAAAAGAGAGGAAGGGAAAAAAAAGGTGAGAAGTCGAGGGCAGAAAGAGGCTTTTGGGATTTGTGCGGCACAGTGCGGTGCCTGCGGTGACTGCGGAGCGAGCGGTGGCTCCATTCCGCCTGGACGCCCACTGCTGGAGTCATTCTACTTAGAGGCACTAAGGGCTCACCAGGCTGGACTAGCTACCTGCCTACTGGGTATGCAGCCTATCGAGCCCATGGACCGAGGCGGGTTGGCGATGTGCAACTCCACAGGCCCTCGCAGAGCATGCACACCGCTATTTATTCCCAGCTCTTGATCGGCTCTAGGTACTCGGGGCATCTGGAGCTACGTAGATGCGCACCATTGGTGACACACTTGCATCTTGGTTCTTGTTTCTGCTATTGTTGGGCATCTGTTGACTATTTGACCTCTGTACTGTTCTGGCTGTTCTGGAGCACCCATGGGCTCCAACCAAAAAGGCTTAACGAAAAAAAAAAAATTTCAAAAAATTATATCAGATGTTTTTCTCCATCCTGCCCCTCGCGTGCCTCAAGCGCAGCCAATCGCTACCCAGACATTGAGTCTTCAGTGACTCTATTGATTCTCCAATGACTCGACGCAAAACCCCTCGTCACGTGCCATGTGAGTGCGACTCCCATAAAATTCTATAAAACTCAAATGTGAGGGAAACTCGGAGCTTGCAGAAAAATCATTCGATCTCAAAATACTAACAAATAGGGAAGCCTCCGGTTACTGGGCACCTCAATCCACTGAGAGTCACTGTTCTTGTCGTTCGCGCTGTTGCCCAACCAAAGCCCCATCCCGAATCATCTCCAGCCCCCCGTCCGGTCCATTCCCAAGGCCAAACCGCTAGTCGCCAAGTTGAAACGGAAGTGAAAAAAAAAAGGGTAAAAGTTTGAGGAAAAACCCAAACCCAAACATCCTCCACACTCGCATTGCCGTCATTGTTGTCATCATCATGATCCGGTAGGTCGTCACGCGTGCATTCTACTTAATCAGCCCAGTCCAATCCCCATTCATCACGGCGCTGAGGCTGCCGTTGCTGTCGACGGAGAAACTGCCCTGGGTTCCACTTCCACTGGCTGCTCTGGCACCTCCACCGCTTCCTTTGCGGCCTGAACCTCCTCCATGCCAGCTTGCACTTCTTGGATTGATGCCCCTTTCTCGGCTGTCGTGGTGGGATATTCATCCGGATGCTCTGCCTTGTAGTCGACGTCCAACTTTTGCACTTCCTCTTCGGTGAGCTGCCGTTCTTTCTCCAACCTGACCTCTCGACCACGTTTATGGCAATACCAGAAGACAAAGAGTAGCACTGCGCCAAAAAGGTTAGTTTAGAAGCGGAAACAGTCGGTCGCCCTGGGGCCTAGAGAAAGCCCTTACCGAACAATGCCAGCGACCATAGCACATTCATGCCCATGAATGCCGGGAACCGCGCCCGGAGATAGTTCATGATCGACCTAAGCGCCGCCGTGATGGCTGTTGGCTTGCCCACCAATTCTTTCAACGAAGGTGTCTTGAATCCCATCTTCTTCGCCGCAGCAGCTGCCTTGCCTGCGTTTTCCATGTTGACCCCGCTCTTCTGCGCCCTTTCGGCAGCCGCCGCCATCATCTCAGGCGCAAACCCCTTGGTCATAGTCTCTGGGAGTTTCTCAATGAGCTTCTGCAAAAATGCCGGGAGCGAATTGAAAGTCTTCTGCAGCTGCCGGTCACCGTTGGTCAATAAACTCTCCAGGTCTTCGTACGCCGTGGGCACGCCGTTGACGAGATCTTTGAAGATCAGGTTGAATTTCTGTAGCAGTTCTTGCGTTTCGTCGCTGATGGAGAAGACGCGATTGTTGACGGCCGCCAGGTTGAGCCGCTCCAGCACGATGGTCATGTCCTCTTCTTCCTGCCTGGCCTCCTTCTCTTCCTCGCTGTCTTCAAATTCGCGCTTCTTAAGACTAGCAGCGATGTCTTCTAAACCAGCAGCGGTGGCCTCGTTCCTTTGGCGCTTGACGTCTCGGCTGTCCCGCCTGAGCCAGCTCCAGGTGGTCTTTGGTTTAGACGGCGCCCCTTGTGTTGCGCCATTTTCGTCTTGCTGGATCATAGCAGGCTCTTCGCTGAGTTCATTTGGAGTCTCAGGAGGGAGAGGGATGTTCTGGGCGCCGTCCATAAGGGCGATCTGGGCATCCTTGCCTTGTGTCAGCACCCCCGGCCGGGCTGGAAGCGGAGGAGGATTTTCTTGAGATGTGATGCGATCCAGGAACTCCTCATCTTCCTCGGACAAGACTGGCGCCTCAGATTTGTGCGAGGTTACAAGGTGGGCCTTGGCCTTGATGTAATTGATATATTCCATTGCCATGACGCTCGCAGACACCCGATTGAAATTATGGGTAAGAATAGTATTTGGGCAAGTTCAAAGGGGCCTATGCCTCAGAAAGGAGAGAATGAAGGTATGAATGGAGACGAAAGAAAAAGGGTATCACACTGTCAATACTGATGAAGAGGATGTCCCTTCTGAAGGTGCTAGGTTGGCTGGGTCCTTGCTGGGTCATATCGAGGGGACTGTTAAGTGGTGTTTGCGCCACATCGACGTCATGGCGAGAAGTTGGCACAGCCATGTCCACCAACAGCCAATCAGTGTCTCCAAAAGACGACCATGCTGCGGCATTGCTCTGAAGGTGACGGCTGACAGCCTTGCGGCGAGTAACCAAAATGATGTAGGGTTTTAGGGAACATGGCGTAGACGTGTAGAATGGAGCACAGATCTTTAAAGGTGTCGGAGTAAGTGACAGTGCATGTTGAAGATGGTCCGGTTCGAGAAGGGGAGCGCATGAGGATGTGAATACCTACTGCTATGACAACAGAAGCTGAAGCGAGCAGTCTTTTTTCACTTGGCTAGAGAGGATCATCATCAGAAGAGGCTGAGAAGATCAGGGGTCACGGGGTCAGCAGTGACTGTGATTGTTGACCTACTGGTACAGTGTCACAACCATCGCCCTTACCCTCAACTTCACCTCACATTCACGTTCACGTTCACCTGCCATGTCCGTCACTCCCAACTGCATGTTTACGCCTACAAGCGACACTGTGTCGGTCATTCCAACACCTCTTTTCTTTGTTGCTCTCCGTCTCAAGACTACGCGCCCTCCTTTGAGTGTTGACCGAACCTTGATTACCTCACACGCCCAACATGCGGGTCGATACCCAATATTTCGAAAGACTCACGGCCCCGCGCCAGATGGAGCGCAGACCTCTCGTCTTCCGCAGTAAGCAATCAAACCAAAACACAAAGAAACAGGCTCCGGCAGTCGTCCACCACCAGAGCGCCCACCGCCTCCCGTACTTCGCACACCAGCAGCTGGATCTCGAGTACTTTCCCCCAGGCAAGTCATCGGGTTGAAGGCCTCCTGAAAGACGGAAAATGCTTCCGAGATTTTTTGAGTCTAATATTAGCAGATGTTGGTCAACCGGTTGGTGGTCCGATTGTGGAAGGTGGCAGAGACGCAGGGAACCAAGCCTGGGACGACGATGATAGTGACGGAGGAGCCGATCTCGAGTCCGAAGCAGAAGATGACCTGGGTCTGGACGTAAGACCATCCATGTAACACCTTCTCTTTTGTTCAGCATCACTGATCACATCCGATAGAGCCACAAGCCCAAGCCCAAGCGTCGCCGCGTGTTCGAATCGGGCAAAATTACCAATGCAGCAGACATCAAGAAGATGAAGATCCAAGGAGGTCGCCCCGCTGTGGCTAAAAAGGTTACCGCGGACCTGGATTCTGATGACGAGTTGATTGTGCGTATGAAAGAGGCTCGATTTCTCGAGAAGGATATCGCGCAAGCTCTCATCGACCAGGGTCGCACCGCCTACAACCCAAAGACCATCGGCACCCGTTGGAGGCGCATCAAGGCCGCCTTGCAAAAGAGGCAGGACGATCTGCTCGACGCAGATTTAACGGACTGGCATGAAGGAGATGTATGTATGAGGAATCGAAGGGGCACACAGACGGCGACTGACAAGCTCGCAGGACGATGTTCTTTTGCAAGCTGTTATCAAGACCGAAAAAGAAGTCAAGAGGCTCAAAGATGACATCGAGTCGAAGAAATGGCGCATGGTGGCTGATAATATGAAGAGAATGAAGGCATGTCCCACCATTGACATGCTGGATGCAAGTCGTACTAACTCTGCGAACCTCCAGCCTGTGGTCAACTTCTCCCAGAATGCTTGTCGAGACAGATATGATGCTCTTCAACATGGCTGCGCTAAACCCACGCCAGAATCGGTCGAGAATCCAACCCCTGAAATCCTCGAGCGCATCAAGTCGCGAAAGGACAAAGAGAGGAAAATTCGAGAAGGCAACCAAATTGCTGAGATGGAGCAGAAGAATGTGGAGGCGAATGGCTGGACTTCGAGGATGCGAACCTATTTCTAGACGACCGAATGGAAGCCACCAAACACACACTTACCGGGCGCATAACGATCGAGTACTCTCACAAGCAGTCCTGACTGGGCGATCCAATATGCCAGGCACTTTCGCATCAACACCGGCACTTTTGTTCTTCGGCATTGCGTACACAATGCCGCCTGGTTAGATGACTCTGGCTACGGTGAGGTTACCAGATCGGACATCAGCGCAGATCTTGGAGGCGGCGCAGCGTTGGCATCGACGTTCGGATTCATCGACCTTGTGTCAATAGCTGGATGGGAATGTACACAGAGGTAGCAGGATGACGGCGTCACAAGTTGGCGATCTCGGGTCTTGGAAACTATGTATGTGCCGCGGCCTGCGCCAGAGAGGCACAAGACGCGTGTGACCGTCGAACGCGGTCAGCTGACAATGTCAACAAATGATCTCCAAGTGATGGCTTTTCCCTGATTGTGCTACCTCCAGCACCTCTCCATCGCTTCGACTGTCTTCCCCGGGGCTATGTTTCGACAACTCACTACTGCAAGTTGCACTGCATGCATGCCTGCAGATAGGCGCAGCCCATCCAATATGATTCGACACTCCATCTGTTGGCGTGGTTGCCTTGAGCCAAGACCTCCGCAGCCGCCTGCGCTGCGCAGTCGTTGTATATGACAGCCCTGCCGTTCCTGTCCTTCTTCCTTTCCTTCCTTCACGCACCCGAGCAGGCAAACCACACGCGCGTCCGGCGATCTTTGTCTTTGCGCAAAGCAACCCGAACCGTCAAGTTCTTCCGTGTGATTTCTGTTGGCTGTTGACCTTCTCTCCGGAGCTTGGTTGGCAGGCGAAGAAGTCATCCAGCGAAGACTTGCGCAGCTCCTCATCACATGCTTCCTTTGTGAGCGCGTCACTCTCCCACCGAAGAAAACCTATCACGCTCTCTACTACCCTCATAGGTTCTTCTGCCGTTCTTTCGATCCCTTCCTTCGCTCGTTCGTGAATCTCTGGATCTTGACAATCAACAATCATTGCATTTCCCCCCCTAATGCCAATGCGCTCTTTCGACGACATGTTCAAGCGATCGTTCAATACCAGGGAAGGTCGCATCGTCAAGTCGAAGACCATAAAGACCAATTATCCCGAACACGTGAAGAAGAAGATGCAGGACACTGTGGACGCCGACTCGCCAGTGGCAAGGTAGGCAGCCGCAAACCAAACAACCGATGGCCGTTTGCGCGCAGACACATATACTGATTTCTACATGCAGCACACTGACGAGTCCCATCGTCACGTTGGTGGTGGGTTGCGAGCAGCGACTCTTCGCTGCTCACGAAGACGTCCTCTGTCATTCACCATACTTCGCGGCTGCTCTGAAAGGCAACTTCCTTGAAGGCGGCTCGAAGAGGGTGGAACTGCCCGATGAAGAACCCGAAATCCTGTCCTGCGTCCTCGAGTTTCTCTACAAGGGTGACTATTATCCTCGCTTGCTGCACAACAAGCGCCGAAATACTTGGGATCTCGAGGACGCCCAGGACCTCATAAAAAATGGTGGCCGCGGAAACAACGCATCGACAATCTATCTCCCCGAAGCTGGCGGCGACGTCCTCAGAGACACCGTGGTGTACTGCGCTGCCGAGAGGTACGGCCTGGAGGAACTGAAACGTCTGTCTCTTCGGAAGCAGGGGTTGCAGTCTGGAATCCAAGTCGACGTGATCTTGCGATCCGCTCGGTATGCGTACGCGCACACGCCAGATACGGAATCGCGACTCCGCGCTCATTACCTAGCTCTGATCATTCGAAGTCGCAAGACTTTCAAGAGGAGCGGAACCATGCAGATGGAAATGGAGAATGGGGGCAAATTGTTTTTCGACCTGTTTGTGGCCATGTGCAATCATATCGATGACATTGTCGAGATCAGGTAAGAGAAATACGCACAACTTGGTGGTATTTGAGACTCGTGATCAGTGAGACAAACAGCTTACATCTTTCGATTTTGACAGCAACAGCCGCTCTCCCAAAGTCATTTAAAAGGTTGCACAATCGACTCCAAGCAGGCCCGACGGTTTGGTGCTATGATGTGAGGTAGGACAGTATGTTTACCAGGGCCGTTGGTATCAACAACGAGTCTTGTGGGACCTCGCCTGCTTTGACAGCAGCAACAACTCCGCTTCTTCTCGAGGTTGGCCGACGACAATTGCTGGTTCATCGCAACCCTACTCCTTCTAATGGCCCTGCTTTAGGCGCAATTTCGGCTTTCCGCTCTTTCAATGGGATTTTGAGAATCTCACGGAAATAATCAACTCACAGTGTGCGACCTACAACTCGCAGCTCTTATGTACTTTGGTTGTTTTCTCGACTCTGATGTCGACGTCTGATATGGTGAAGCTACTTTTCAGACCTGATTCCTGGGGATGGGATGAAAACCTCTGTGTTCAGAATAGGAAATGAGAGATTCGGCCACCTCAAAACAAGTTTTCCAGTGCACTTTTCTGTGAATTGACATTCTACAGCGCATTAGCATGTGACAAAACAGTGAATATCCAGAGTTTGGGCAAGCGTGTGACAGTAAGTCGACATGTTTTTACCTACTCCCTCTTTTATTTTCGATTCTCCCTCACTTGCAATTTGGATACCCAGTTCAAGATGCGGTTGGATCTCTCTTTACCTTGTCTCCTTTTTTTAAATTTCTCAGAATTGCATTCAATCTGCCAGTCACTAGTCTTCTTTCCTGCATTTTCTCTCGGCTCCTAGCACCATACTCTCAATAATCGGGACGTCACAATTTGAGATGTTGCAATGAGCGACCTCTGAACTCCTCGGCATTCATTCATCGTGCCTTTACATCTACATCATCGATATGTCAAGCTCCTGGGGCGAACCTTCTTGGACTGCAGAGGAGAGGGCTCGAAGGTACAAGCAAGAAGCATTATTTGCCTGCTCTGACGACTCTATAAATGAAGATGGAGTTGGAGAACCCAGCTCAAGAGGCACAATCACACGGTATCCCTTTTCGGCCCGGAAGCGACGGAGAACTTCGACGACGGTGTCGTTAGGGCGAACATCGTCTCTGACGTCTCCAAACATGTCACCCCAATCTAGGCCTGCGCCCGTCAAGATCAAAAGGGAAGCCGAAATACAAGCTCTTGAGAACTTGCAAAAGAAGCCACCGGATCAGAGGGTGAAAATCTACGTAGGAAAGAACAATGCAGAGATTGAAGTGGGCCTCGAAGATCTCGGCAAATCACCAATACTGAAGGCTTTGATCAGCAAACTCGGCGCGCCGGGTCCATACATCATGCATCCGAAATTGACGACGGTCAATGCAGACCATTTTCAATCGGTCCGCGAGTTTCTACTTACCGACGAATACATGCCCGCACTTGTCAACAACCCTCATGGAGAGGACGTGCTTCCTAAACAACTAGACGGTTGCACGTCTGTTGACCACTACGAAAATGAAGCGCTCAGGGGGGCACATTTGTATGTTCTTGCGGAGAAGCTTGAGATGAGGACGCTGCAGGCCCTCGTCTTTCGGAAGATCACGCAGGCGCAATTCCACAAGTACGGCATCAAATGTCTTCTTGACTTGGCTATGGTGATGTTCTCGCGACCCCAGGAGAGCGACATGAATGGAAAAGGCAGGTGCAAGCGTGACGACGACGACAACAACTTTGACGAAGGGGATGCGCTGGAGAATTGGCTCGTCGAAGCGTTGAAGAACCAGTTTCAGGCGACCATGATCCATCACGCTCGGCAATTCTTTCGTGTTGCGAATCACGGCGCTTGTAAGAAGCGAGGATTTGGGGTCAGGGTTCTCAGAAGCAAAGTTGATGACTGGGAAGCACTAGGCCCAGATTTCATCGCAAGTGAAGACGATGACTGAGGGCGTGCTTCTCGGTATTCAGTGTTGGACGATACGAGAGCACATCATTGGTTCCCATACTTCTGCGGCAGTGGCATCCAGACTGCGGCGTATGAAGAACACCGACATTCAGCAAGACATCTACACGGCTCTCTACCGAGGACAAGGATTTTGACGAAACGAGCTACTCTTTCCGCGCTTCATTTGCTTCTGTTTTGTCAAATGGGTCTGATGCGCAAAACCTGATATCTTCGGCGGTACTGAAATATGGACATGAGAAATGGATTACTTGCATTGACAAAGATCACTGCGCTACGAGCTGGCGAGGGCAAACCAGGAGACTGCAGCCTTGTCGGAAGAACTACGGAGACGGAGCAAGGGGGGCGCTAGGGTTATAGCCTCGGCCCAATACTCATTCCCCATATTTGTCGAGTCTTCGTCTCTTCGCTTGACCGCCCCGCTATCCTCCCCCCCCTCAAACCCCGCTGCACGTTTACTAATGTCTTTGAAAAAGACGCGTGCTTGGACGAGGATGCTAAGTAAATAGTCATCAGCTTGCAGGGGCAGTAATACGAGAACCCCCTCTATGTTGTCCACATGGAGAAAGGCTCCTTCGGTCGGCTTCCCTTTCATGATATACACTCCGGAGCTGCAGCCTTGGTGGCTTCACTTTGAGAGTTCATGGTGGGACTCAATGTCGAAGTATTCGAGTCAGAAGACATGACACTGACCCCAAGGTTCCATCTATTCGGCATTTCTAGACTTCGGGTCTCCAAGCACGAACCATCCGGCCGTGCATTTGAAGCCCTTTTTGCGTTTATGCAGAGTTGCGACAGAGGAACCCCTCCTTCACCCCTCGTTCTCTGCGCAATCCTGGGACTTTTTGAAGCCCGGGTAGAGAGACATAAAAACCTCTTGGTGCTGGCCTTACTCGCTTTCTCCTACGTCTTCCCTTCCTTCCTTCTTGCAGCTGTCTCTGTCCTGTTCTAGCTCGTCTTCTTTCTTGCCGCGGTGTTGAAATCGCAAGCTTCGTCGCCATGAGTGATCCTGCCCCGACTTTCGATATTCCCAAGGAATGCTGGGGTGGTGTTGTGGTAGGTGGCCTGAAGGGAAGCAGTCTGGCCGAATGTCTCACGCGACTCGATAGAAAAATGAGGGCCCGGACTTCTACGTCGAGGTAGAGAAGGTGCCTGTGCCTGAAATCGGTATGTGTTGCCTTGTTGTTTAGAACCTCCCCAGTTCTCCTGACTTGACTGACCACGCTGTTTCCTGTCCAGGTCCAAATGACGTTCTGATCAAACTCAATGCCACCGGTCTCTGCCTCAGCGACATTCACTTTATGCTGAACGACTGGAATCTTCCCAAGATGTCTGAATTGGGAGTACGATGTGCCGGGCACGAAGGCGCTGGAGTTATTGTCAAGGTTGGCGAGAATGTCAAGGCATACAAGGTTGGCCAGCGAGCGGGGTACAAGCCAATTCAAGATGTCTGCCATTCCTGCGAATACTGTAAAACCGGCAGGGAGACATACTGCGCAAAAGCCGTCTTCACAGGCGGCGCGTGTGATGGTGGGTGCGGGTTGACGTATGCAAGAAGGGATATTGACGCTTCTGCAGGGTCATACAAGCAATATGTGGTTTCGCCAGAGAATTACACTACTGTGAGTTCCAATCTAGGCGTGAGAGACCACAGGCTAACTCTGTTATATAGCTCATTCCTGATGTAAGTGGGCCAATGCCTCGCCCGGAGCCTTCGCATATATTGACCCATCCAAGGGAGTATCCGACTACGTCGCCGGCCCCGTGATGTGCTCGGCGTCTACGATTTACTCGTCGCTCAAGGAATCAGATCTTAGACCCGGTCAATGGGCAGTCTTCCCCGGTGGCGGTGGAGGTGTTGGGATCCAGGGCGTTCAACTAGCTTCTGCAATGGGTATCCGACCAATCGTGGTGGACACTGGAGACGAGAGGAGAAAACTCGCCCTGAACATGGGGGCTGAACATTTCGTCGACTTCAAGGAGGAAGACCCCGTGAAGAAAGTCCTCGAAATAACCGAAGGAGGAGCTCATGGCGTTATTGTGACCGGTACGTGGCTCTGCACAAATTGTGATCTCCCCCCGACAGGTGGCTAACAGAGAGGACAGCTGTACAATCATATCCTATTGCGCTTGACTATCTCGGTGCTCGAGGAGGTGGACAAATCATGTGGTAAGCCCATGTTTACGCCCGACCAGGTCAGATGCGCACGCTGACCCGTCCACAGCATTGGCATTCCCCCGCACGGCAAGTACCACATCGACCTTGATCCATCAAGGCTGGTTTTTCGGAATCAGTCCATCAAAGGAACGCTGGTCGCCAGTTTGGCCGATATCGACGAGACACTAGACTTTGCCAGACGAGGTATGTGCGTGCACGGACAAATGACCATGGCCAAGCTGAAAGTTGTATCTAGGGAAGCTCCGTCTCGAGCCGACCGTGGTCGGGTTGAGCAAGTTCAATGAATCGGTCCAGAAGCTCAAGAATGGGCAAGTAGCTGGGTAAGTTCGGGTCTCGGCAGGAACGGCAAAGCAAAGTGGTCACTAACCAGGCGCGCAGTCGTATTGTGGTGGACTTCAACCTGCCGTGATGGAGCATATCGCTGGTGCAGTGTCGGTCCTGGGCGAACTGGGGAAGATTGCAAATGGCCATTCCGGGTAGAGATGTCTAGACGTACTAGCTAGACGGAGCTAGATAGGAGATATGATTCTGAAACAAGTGTGCTGGCAAGTTATTGGCTGCAGTTGCTATTCCGAGGACCTGCGAAGGCAGCGCTGGGTGCATGGAGAGGAAGATAGGTCTCTGTAAAGTCCCCGCTGCAGTGAGCAAAGTAGAGACAAGGTACCTGGGTGGTTGGTGGAAGTTCTGGTTGTTCTAGTACGCATTTGGCCGCCGTTGAGCACCAGCCACTCACGATACAGAGACGACCAGACCAGGAGACCCACTCGCTTCCCAAAATAGATGGACCAACCACCGCCAGCATTACGCGCCGACCGTGTTTGAGGCCACTCCAACTCCACTCCAAGGCTTTCTTCTCTCTGTCTTGCTCTGTCTTCTCCCTCCATTTTGCCCTTCTGCCAATGTTCACAATTTCCACATCTCGCCTCGCGATTCGCTTCTCTCTCGCCAATGTGCTTCTCCAGCGTCTTCACAGGTGTGATAGATCTCCATGATCTGGCACAACTTCTATCTTGAGCCGCTAAACGCCAGCCAAGGTACGTCTGCTTCCAGCCTCGACCGATTGGGTCGCTTGCATCAGGGTGGGAGCTCCCTTTCTCTGTAGGTGCACCCGGTACTCACCCCAGGAAATCGTGATGATTCACTTTTGTCCTGCTCACGTCCCTTCCTTCTTGAATATTTGTTCTTGATTCTCTTCTTCTGTCCTCGTGCGTCTGGTGTGCCGTTGACACGTTGTTTGAGGCCGTGTGCTGTGTTGTGCTGTGCTGCGCTGCGCATCGTGCATCCAGTTCCTTTCTTTTTGCACTCTTCAGTCTCTTAATCCCATACTTTTGCGCGCAGCAGGCCTGCCCCTTCTACGTTCTGTGAGGATCAGCATAGTCATATATGCTGCGATCAGGCATCCAGCCATGACTACTGCAACGACCTCCACTTCGGCCTTGCAAGGCTTTTCGCTCTTTCCGACGACGGTTCCCAAGATCGCCATTCCAACCCCCCATAAAAAGAATCCAAGCCTACACAGTATCAGTATTGTTACCTCACCGGACAGCGCATTCTCGCCCAATGCCGAATCGGTTGTTATAAAGATGGAGGAGGAGAGGCCGCCCGTCCCTCGATTCCCCGCCCGCCTCAGCGAACAACAACAAATGAGAGAATGCAGCCCTTCTCCAGAAGATATCGGGAGGGCGGTGACCACGTCCTCACCCATCGATGGAAAGACTCCTGCCCAGCCTGTTCTTCCTTCCGCAACAGTGGTGACGTATACCCCATCGTTATACCAGTCGCCCGAACTTCACCAGACATCATCTCCGCAACCTTCGTCATCCCTAGGCACAGGATCAGCAACAACCTTGGTGGCAGCGGCAGCTCCTACAGCAAACATCCAGGACGGGACGCATAATAAGTCTCCCACCGATCCTTCACCGGTCGTTCCCATCCGCTCCATATTCCCCGTTTACAACCCTTCCGTGCCATTGACTCAACAAGTCTACCTCCCGCACCCACCACCCCCAGTGCGAATCTCAGGCATGCCTCTCTTCAATGGCATACTCCCTTCCAGGGAGGACTACCGAAGCAGTCTTTCCATTCCATTTAACACGCCAGCAATAGGGGTTGCTCAGAGAACTGCTCCTGCTAGCGTTCTCAACTTCCCGTCGGACGTGATGAGCATTAACGTGGGTCCACGCATATCAACACAAAGGGAGTTGGAGAAATTATGGGACGCTTCTCACGGAACTGAACCGGGTTGTTCGATAAAGAGTTTCGATCTCGAGATGGCACGGTATTTGCGCTCCCCACTCTCGTATTTACCCTGTTATGCTGATAGTAGCTAGGACCGAGGAAGCAACATTCGTATTCGGCTCCCACCCTTCTCTCCCCTTCTACACCCTCCAGACCTACGACACAAATGAAATCGCCATCTCCAAAACCTGCCCCAGCAAACCTCGCTCACCCATAGCCAACGCCGAATCACCACTCACACGCGACGTGATTCTCTGCCCTCTGGAACCTGCTGCTCGCCGTCTTCCACCCAATGACGGGCTCGTCGCGTTCATATTCCCCAAGCTCGCCGCCCTGCTCGCGATAAACCAATCAGCCGCGCTCGCTCGACAACACAGTCTCGCACCAACAGACCGAGACGATATCGAAGCACAGGCAGTCCGTCGTGCCGCCAAGCAGGAAGCCTGCCATTTACGATTTAACGCGAGGGGCGGGTTCTATGAACTTGAACACCCTGCCATCGGGCGAGCTGCGGTGGGTGGGGATTTTGCGACGCAGAGCCCCGTTCCGAGCTCGCCGACGACGATAAGGAGTATTACAGGGAAGCCGGTGCTGCATATTACCATTTCGACGGACAGCCATCTTCCCACGATCAACGTGATTGACCCGAACGCTGCACGGCGGATAGGCGCAGTCATGACGCCTACCACCACGGCTCCGTCCTCTGCAGGAGCTGGCATGCGTCGATTGTCTACGCTCCCACAGACCGAAACTTCTTTACCGTCGTCAGAGTACCCACCCCTAGCCACACTTGATCTTACCTCCGAGATCTTCCACGTCGACGCCAATGCCATCCTCGAATTGATGCCCAGCCTGTTCAGCGTTGACTGCGTCGTCTCAGCGGTCATGTCGGTTGCCGTCGCAGACGCAGCCACGAATCCCATCTTGGGAGGCATGGAGATCTGGAAACCGAGACCCGCACCGACGTCTCGCCTTGGGACAGGCGCCAGAAGCATCCGTACCCGAGCCGGCAGTGTGAGGAGCCACGCGGGCAGCGTATTTTACGCCACCATCGCGGAACGAGAAGAGGCAGAGGAAGAAGCCAAGCTGATGCGCAGGACCCATGAGGCAGACATCCGGGCGGCGAGCGGCTCGTCGAGATCCAAACCAAAAGGATCGCGGATCTGGTTTGGGCGGTTGTCCAACAGCACGACCGACGAGTCCGAGGAAGACGAGACCTCGGAGAAAAAGTCGCGCAAAAAGAAGAACAAGAAGGCCAAGACCAAGAAGATCGTCGTGGGCGAATTCGACCTGGAAAAGCTTGGCCACTACCAGTCCGGCGACCGGAAGGGCGAGGAGTTACCCGCCGTTACGAGGGGGGTGTTGGGTGGGCTGGTCATGGGGCTGAAGTTGGTGGTCTGGCTATTGACCATGGCCGTACAGGTTCTGGCTTGGTTGCTGGTCCATCTGACCAGAGGTCTTACCAGCGAGAAGTTCTGAGGAGAGGGGGCGCCTTTTCATTGTTCATTTCTTTCCCCCTTCCCGTCTCCCAAGTGGGGGAGACAGGAGGCATCTTGGTGGTGCATATGGGTAGACGAGGTGTTTTTCATTTTCCCCCTTCTCTCTTGGTGGATGCTTTCGCTGCTGCATATGTACATGATGGATACCTATCGACATGCAGATTCCTGGGCTGCTTGGTCTGCGCCCGGCGGGCATCCGAGGGCTTTTATCATACGGGCATCGGGTTCCTTGGGGAGGTAATGATTGATGGACATGATATAGATCGGGAAGTATTGGTAGTCGAGGGGGCCCCGATGGACGGAGACGTCAAAAGGCCATGCATGCACATGCACGCACATATATAGCTGAATGTGCGACGGCAAAGGCACAGGCAGAGGCAGAGGCAGAGAATGTCAGCCTTGAACTCCTTCTCAAAATGCCTGTTCTTCCTCGTCCTCGTTTGACTCTTCAGAGCTGGTACATTGGCACATGGCCGTGTTTGAGGTACTAAGCTGCCTTGTGTACATAACGGCAGAGTGAATATACCACAACACAACATCATACCGCGCGACACACTACGATGCCAGGTGCTTCACCCGACCAACGAAACAAGTGAATATCAGAGAAGTACATAGTGAACGATGAATATTAAACGGTGCACATCACGACCCCGAGAACAGTTTCAGTGTCTGCCCGACCCTCGATTCCATCTCGAGGCCTCCTCTTTCTTATTCACTCCTGTCTCTGTTCTTGGTATTGTTTCTCTTTTTTACTGTACCTTTATTTCATGCTCTAGTACACGCGCACATGCACACCTCCACGCTCTTTCAATCGCCAAACCCCTGATCCTTGAACTGTCATTACCATCACGCACGCGAACTTGAAGCAGAGCAGCAGGGAATCGGGAATCAGGGAGGAGGGGAGAAAGATGAACGCACACGTCAACGACGACGCCGATGACAACGACGATGATGTCTTCGATACACTAGATGACCTGTCTGATCACTCACCAGATGAGGCCAGTGATTCCGACGACTCCGATACTGGTGCTGGGCCGGGTGCTGCTGGGCGTTCGAACAACGCTGCCTCCTCGATCCGGACCGAAGACCACCACCCGTGGGCCCAGCTCCTCGAAGACCTGCAGGGTCAACTCCGCAGCATCACGCTCGAAGCCGAGACGATCCTCTCCCGCCAGCCGCGAAGCACGCAGCTCGCCCTGGCGGCCGGGACCAAGAGTCTCTTCGGCGAGTACAAGCAGTATGGCTCCATGACTCGACTCAAGGTCGGGGTTGAGAAGTTCTTGAGGTCAGGGGATGAGAAAGGGAGGATCTGCTTTGAAGAAGAGAAGGAGGAGGAAGAAGAAGACAGGATGACCGAGGATGGGCAACAATCTCAATTTCAACCTCCGTTTCCTTCTCACACCAAAAGAAGACCGGCTCATTACGGCGAGGCCTTCATACTCCACGACACCGCCGACGACGACAAGCCCAAGTTTGATGAGAAGGTCGATTTTCCCAGCACCACTCGCCTCAGGGATGCTTCTTCCAACCGCGACGACCCGGCGGACGCACCGCAGCAGCACAAGTCCTTCCACCCGCTCCGCACGGTCGATCCGGATTCTGTGCCGTACGTGACGACGCTGCCGTGGGATCCCATCGCGACCAAGATCAGCTGGGCGAACCACGCGTGCTGGCCCAAGGGGCTATTGGGAAACCTGAACAAGATTTTCAGTATTGCCGACGCTGAGGCCCGCGAACGCCTCTTCCACCACGTCTCCAAATATGGGCCCGCGCCGATTTTTCGGGTTGGCCTCGCGCAGTCTCTGAAGAGTGAGTTCGCGACCATCTTCGAGCCCGCGCAGAACCACTACCTGGGCCTCACGCCCGAGACGCGCGAGTTCCTGCGCGGCGTCTACACTCGCGGCCGCGGTGGCGGTGGCCACAAGCACCTCAACCTCGCCGAGCGCCGCATCCTGGCCTCCACCTGCCGCGTTGCAGAGGACTCGGTCCAGATGTTCTGGGAGGACATGGCCGAGGCGCTGAAGAGTTACGAGGCAATGCGCATCTTCATGGCCGCCAGGGAGGTCGAGCGGAACGACGAGGACAAGCGCGCGCAGATGGAAAAGCGCAGGGCAGAGGTCATGAGGGCCCATGTCGAGCGCTTCAATAGGGAGTTTCGCTCCGGCGCGAGCAACGATGTGAGTGCGCGTGGGACTGCGTACTTTACACATGCGACTGCGAATCCGAATCCGAACTTGAGCCACAACGCGAGTGCAAGTGCACAGGGAGCGAAAGACAGATGCACTGCACCTTCCTCAGGGCGCTGATGATTTCCGACACCTCAGAGGGGCTGCTGTATGTACATGAAGCGCGGCATGAACTTTTTAAGCTACGTACCCTCTATCCCCCATCTCTCTCCTCACCTTGGCTTCGTGGCCCTTCTCCCTCTCGCCGCTGAAGTCGCCGAAACAAATGCATTGCCCGCTCATCATACTGTCTGTTCTCGGTACGGAGTATACCCTGATATTTCTTCTTCCCCTACCCGAGCTGGAGCTGGGGTCGGTTTGCCCCGAGTTGGCCAAGGTAGACTTTTCATGCGCGCATATGTATTTTGTCCGCGTGGACGCGAGTGTGGCTGGGCTGGGTGCGATGGACCGAGCAGGACTGCACTCCGAAACACAGAGAGTACTCGTAACGACAAAGATGACAGCAGGCAGTGCTACAACAATACCTCGTACAGTTCAACGCCCCGGGTTGCAGAGAAATTCTCCGCCGAATTTAATACTTTTGGAACCCCGGATTACAACTCGAATGGAAACTAAGTTCATACACCGCTTTTTTCAATATCTTGCTCCCCGCGTTTTTGTTGACCTTCCCCCGCTCCCTTTTCTCTCTTTCTCTCTTTTTTCTCTCTTCTCTCTTTTAACTGTCACTCAAACTCTGTCCAAGGAAGATTATCGAGATCCAGAAACTCCGAAGGGAAAGGGACGTTGGCCTGTTGGAGCCTGAGATCCGCGTAGACGCGTTGAAAATCGAACACCAGAAATGCCCCCATTCGCGAACGATGTGGCGACCGTTTGTCGCCACTGGTACGAATAAACACGTCTCTATTATCCGGTGACGTTACGGCGGCGAGAAACTGACCAAATTTGACACCCTCGGATGCACTCAGAGCCTGCTGTGCCCTTTCGACGTGGTGGTCAATCATATCGTCTTGCCAGCCGTAGGGGCCGAGCTTGATCCGGCAGAGAAGCAGAGCAGCATAGCAGACGGATCGACGGGTGTAGAACGGCACCAGGGACAGATTCTTCTCGCATGCAATCTGGATGAGTCGGACGGCGTCTTCTCTTGCCTGGTAGATAATCTGAACAGTATTAGCAGATATAGGGACGTCATTGTGCAACGCAAAGGACCAGAGCTGAAGCCTCGAGCTCAAAAAGAATATCTCGACGACGTCTGTGGGCTTTGGGAAACGCTGTCGTCGGAGATCGTCAAATTGTTTACCAAAGACATTGATCAGGCTGATCCGTGCCGAGGGCTCAACCAAGCCTGCGGTATTGGAGCCACGGGCTCCAAGCGCATGAGTAGAATCAATCGTGAGGTGGGAGATATAGCACAGATGAGAGAGCTCCCTTGGAACTCCGGGATTATCGCAGGAAGACAATAGTGAGTAGTCCGCCACAACCGTTGCTGGGACACCGCGCCTGCTCGCTTGGATCTGGGCGACGATGAAGGAGGCTAGCCATGTTGTTCTCCTGATTTCTTCGTCGACATAACGCTCATTGGTCTCATTGCCGAAATCAGCGTCGCTTGCTGGCCGATGTAGGCCAATACTGAGACTAATCTGGGTTGCTATTCCGCTGTAAATGAAGGATGAATCCGTCCTCTGGTTGGCAAAAGGGAAGGGCCACATGCACAGGATCAAGATAGCCTGTACCATCTCAACGGTGCTGCCCTTGGCAGGGTCGAGGACATCGGATATCAGGCCACGAATAGGACCCTCGAACTGTGACCGCGCGGTATCGGGGGAAGCCACAGCGCAGATGACCCAGAACAGCGTCGGACATCTCTCATATGTGGTCTCGATGGACCGACTCATGCTGAATGGGAGGTATGGATGGCATCGTGCAAAGTAGATGCGGAAGAGTTCATTGACATGCGAGGCGGCGAGATGGATATCGCCGATATATTTGTCAGCGATGCACAAGCCTTGCAAGTCCGGCACGGATGTGAGAATAGTAGCAGGTTCCGGCCCGGTAGTAGCGGGCCAAACAGTTAAGCTGGGTATAGATTGCGGTATTAGGGAGGTGGAGGTAGGGGCTTGGGGGGACGTGTTCCCCGTCTCCCTTTCGGCGGAGGAGGCGACTCGAGAGCCCGCCAACTTTCTCAGCTCGGCCAGTTCAACTTGCATTTCGGCCAGCTTCCTCCTCTTGGGAGTGCGCTGAAAAGTGCTGTCAAATACGCAGGGGAGGTCATGTTCCTGGCAGCGAGTGCAGCCTTCAGGGCCAGAGATATTGGCGTCGCAGCCGACTTTCCATTGGCGACAGCGAGTGCACGCTTTGGCTTTCATGGTCAATTGGTTTTTGCGGGATCGCGAGGGCGAGACGAAGATTGCGAATTCGGCAGTGGTGAACATTGAATGCATCAAAGGGGGAGGAGATGTTCAACCAGGACTGGGCAAGACTGGGGAATGACATGCGCGAGCTAGTTGTGGGGGTTGGAGAAGCGAAAGGCGGGAGTGGGAAACAGCGAGGCTGAGCCAGACTTGGCATTGCGAGATTCGCACTCCTCGGTATGATGGCGGATTTCGCAGCGGGATTCCCCCTAACCTCTTCAAGTGGCGTGCTAGCATATTGTGTGTGCTGACTATCTGTTCGGTTGATAGATTGAAGGCTGAAAATGAAGCCGATTCTCATCTTTCATGGACTCCGACATTTCGTCTGGGCTTTTACCAGCAGCGTTCAGCAGGTATCTTAACCAACCTGAAGCCTATGCAGGTCGGGCTAGCCTAATTGGGCCATGATGTGGGGCTGTCTTAATCGCATCTCCTGCTCACATACTTCCGGTCGCACTTGAGTGAAATTCTAGGTGACCTTTGAACTTTCAAGAGATACAAACTCGGCTTGAACAACAAGCAGGCATCAATTACTCCGGCGCCTTCTCTCAGAAATACGGCAACCTGGATTTCGACGGAATTTTTCTTTACATCAAGACTGAGAGATCAGCGGCTACTCTGCAGCAAGATATCACCGCCAACCATGGGTCGAGCCACGCTGGGGCTTTATGTTGCTCTACAAAGCACTGGGATACTTGAGATCTCCTTTGACCCAAGCAAAAGCGCGAATGAGTCTTTGTCGGTCATTGGGATCAACACAGACGCCGGTTTCATGCCCGGATGGCTCACTTCCTTTGACGATAAAATCTACAGTATCAGCCGCACCAGCCATCCCGGAAGCGACACCCAGTCAGGTGAGGTTTTCGCTTTCCAAAGGGTACCCGTCACGGCCTCAGCTACCGGTGGAACGGGATTGACGCTTCTCAATCAAGCGAGCAGCAACGGAAAGGGGGGCGTACACTGCAAGGTGAGCCCAGACGGAAAGATACTGGCCGCCACCAATATCACCGCATCAACGTTGTCTATATACCCATTGTCAGATAATGGTGCCATTAGTAAACCCACTCATATTTTTGACTACAATATGTCGGATTCTGGCCCGAAGGAAGCACACCCACATCAAGCCACCTTTGATCCTTCTGGGCAGTTTCTCATTGTACCACTCCGCACCATGGACTGTGTCGACATCTACTCTATCAAATGTCCGCAGCAGGTCAAAAAGGTCCAGAGAATTCCCGTGCCATCACCAGCTGGAGCTCGACATGTTGCCTTCAACCCAATCAGTTCTTCCAGGGCGTATATGTACCTCGTTAGCGAGAAAGACAACTCAATTCGTGTATATGCGTTATACTACAAAGGTACAGGGCCACAAGACCTCACCGTCGAGTTCAAGCAGAGGCTCTCAACTATGGGAAGGGATCTTCCTCCCACCGCCGATGAGCATATGGACCTCGCTGCTGAGATTACTGTCAGCAACGACGGAAAATTTGTCTATGCCTCAAATCGAAACTTGACACGAGAAGGCGATGATACCCTTGCGATTTATTCCGTCGACAGCGACCCGGCACATGATGGGCACCATCTGACATATATTGGAAGCCAAGAGGTACATGGCAAGCATCCTCGAATGCTTGCCCTTTCCAACGACAAGGAGAATAAGTGGGTTGCTGTTTCCAACCAATTTAGTCAAGATATCGTCGTTTTCGAGAGAGACACGGTCACAGGTTTTCTGAAGGATGTCAGGGGTAAAATTAGTGTAAAGGTGAACGCTCCCTACCAGACTACGCCGGACAAGGTCACCTTCGTGAAGGATATAAGCATAGAGGGTAAACTCAGCCGAGAGGAGAGGGCCAAGGGTCGGGTGGAGGGGCCTATGTGTGTCTTGTGGAAGTAGGACTGCAGACTAAAAGGTTGGGGGATTCTCTCAACCATGTTCTCACACAAGACATCCCCGACAAGGCAACATGTGGCGCCGATGGTCTCTTTCACCCCTACCCTTGATATGTTTTGGGTAGAGTGATTCGGTCTGGCGGTTGGCTTGTAATTACTGCAGATGGATCTCCTCGGCTTAAAAATTCACCGCTTTCTGGTGGATGACCCACGACTCGAGCTCTCCGTAGTTCCCAAAGACCGCTCTGGCTAAAAAATATGACTAGCGGAAGCCCTTTCATTGCGAATTTCGGAATACTTCAAAAACTAACAGAACATGTGTGAGCCCCGCGCTAATGCTGCACTCAGGCACGCTTTTGGTGAGACCCCATGGGGTAGACAATATTGTGGGGGGAATTCTGTGCTTGGCGACCGGGTTGAGGATGGATCCCTTTCGGGTCACTCTTAATTTGTTGTATTAATGGTCAAGTTCTCCTTCCCCGGAAGCCTTCTTCAACTTCCCTACCCTGATCTCTTTCGCAGCCCGGTCCCCCCTCCCCTCTCACTGCCTCACTGGCGTCTTACTTGCTAGCTCACTCCCGCCAATATGCCGTCCTTCAGTAACCGGATCTCTGAGGGCGTCAATGGCAGACTCGCCTTTGCGTCTACCATCATGATGCTGTCTCAGATCAATTTCGGAATGGATTTGGTTGCTTTCTCAAACACCCAGGCGATGTCGGCCTTCAATAAAAAGTTCGGCTCTTATAACGAGAAACTGGAACGATATGCGGTGGAACCGTACTTCCTCTCGCTTCTCAACAGCCTCACGTACGTCGGTCAAGTCTTTGGCGTTGTAACAGGCGGTTTGATTGCTCGCCATTATGGACGACGCGCTTCTTTTTGGGTCATGTGTGTGTGGGCTGTTGTGTCTGCCATTCTGCTTGTTACAGCCCAACAGAAAGAACAGGTCTTGGTCGGTCGCATTGTCAACTATATCTATCTTGGTCAAGAGCTTGTTACGGTGCCTGTATATCAGGCGGAAATTGCTCCTCCTAAGATCCGAGGAATGGTTATCGGCACCTTCCAGCTAGGCACAATGGTAAAAGCAAACCCCTATCGCACGCGAGACTTGGACTAACACTTAGTCTAGGTAGGCGCTTTCATAATGGCGTGTATCACCTATGGGACAAGTAAGATAGACACCGAGGCATCGTTTCGGATTCCTTTTGGCGTCTTCTTTGTCATCCCCATCGTTGTTTCCGTTGGCGCCCTGTTTATGCGCGAGGTATGTCTGCTGCTATTTTTCATAACAACCCTATTTAGTCCAGTATCGACTTAACACTCGACTAACTATTTGATGTCCTCTTAGTCGCCGCGCTGGCTTTTGATCCGAGAGCGACCCCAGGAAGCCTTAGAATCACTTCAATTGTATCGAAAAGGCAAATTCACCGAAGAAGAGATCATGGAAGAGTACCGTGATCAGGTGGGCATGATCCACGCCATCACTCACGACAAGGGTACCTTCAAGGAGATGTGGCAGGGAACCAACCTCAGGCGATCGATTATTGTTATTGGTGCCAACATCAGCATTCAAATCAGTGGTCAAGGGCTCTTCAGCAAATATGGCACTATCTTCCTTGGGGACCTGCACGGCCCTAACCCTTTCCAAATGTTTCTTATCAATACCTCATTGCAAATTGTGGTCGTGCTTTGCGCTATGTATCTGTTCGACAAAATCGGTCGCAAGTTCGTTTATCCCCCCTTCGGCATCAGGAGTTTCGAACTAACTAACTAATCATTGCAGGCCACTTTTGATTATTGGGTCTATCATACAAAGCGCTACCTATTTTGTCATTGGCGGCCTGGGCACCATATCCGACCCAGGCCAAGGGGCCAAGATTGGAATCACCGCTATGTTCACTGTCTATTTCCTGGGTTTCGTTTTCGGCTGGGGACCTATTTACCATATTCTCTCCTCCGAGATACCTAGCTCACGTACGTTGGCACGCTCTATTGTTTTTCAAAACTGCTAATGTTGTAATAGGCATGCGAGACGTGACATACACTGTAGCAAGCTTCGTCACTGTTGTCACACAGTTTGTTGTCTCATTCTGCATCCCATACCTCCTATATGCGCCATACGCCGATCTCGGGGCCCAGATCGGTTTTATTTTTGCGCCGATTGCCCTTCTGACCCTCATCTTCGCTGTCTTTGGCGTCCCGGAGTGCCGTACCTTCTCCCTGGAAGAAATTGACCACCTATTCCGACAGAAGGTGCCTATCCGTCATTTCACCAGGTATCAGCACGGCCAAATCCTCCCAGAGGAAGTCAGTAAGGGAGGTGCCGAGAAGCTTAGAGAAGGTCCATCTGTTGAACTGAGGGAAGTTGCGGATATGTAAAGTGAACAAATGGCTATTGTGAGATGGTCTGGAGATAGCTCATGAGGACTCAGGAGCTCCCTCAGCCTTCTCTGCAGGGCCAACAGCTTCGAGTAGTTTATAACCTCTATGGGATATGCCAGTCAGTCAACTAGGGTATCGTGCATCACAAATTCCTTTCTTCGTCTTGCACCTCAACTGGCATCATACTCAAGCGCGTCTCAGAGTCTCCCCAAAGTCTTGGATTGAGCCTCGAGGATTTGCATGGCAATAATGCGGTCTTTAGTCAAGCGGGGAGCATTGCACCCGAAAATGCCTGCATTTCCCGTGGTGATGTCACGAGAGCATGGTCTACCTATGCCACAAACATGAATTTGGCAAAGTCGAGTCTTACACGGTGCTTGCAAGATTGCTTATGGCACTTAAGAATCCGCAAACCTGACAAAGAGTCCTTAGCTCAAATCGCACATTCACTCCTATGGTCAGGCTGTCTGTGTTGGTTTGGCAGGGCCATTTTTCTTCGCACCAGTGTGCGTGATCTAAACCTTGTTTCGAATGATGGATTCCGATATTCATTGCGATATCGCAATGACATCTCTGCTTTCCCTTGCTCCTATGAGGAGTTCTGGATGCAATCTGCGATTGCGGCCTGTTAAATGCTACCAGAATACCTGGTCTCGGAACGACAAGAGCAAGTCATAAAGAGAGCTTTTGTTCAGGTTAGACAGCAGAAGTCGAACAGAAACCAACCCAACACACAAAACCCATCACGTTATAACTAAGCTCAAAATTTCCACAACCAATCGTCTCGAGAATATGTCTCCCGGAAAAACAAAGGACGAACTCAGAATCTTCACCCCTGTTGGCCAATTTGGCCAGGGCTGGAATGAAAACGTCTTTTGGGACACTGTCGAGTCTGGTGTAGACGCCATCATCGCCGATGCTGGCTCGACTGATAGTGGGCCTGGACGTCTAGCACTCGGAAAGACTGCAGCCTCTCCGGAAGGCTACAGGAGAGACTTGGGGGAACTGGTCAAAGCTTGCCACACCCATGGAGTCCGCTGCCTCATTGGCTCTGCTGGCGGTTCTGGTTCCGACGCCTTCGTCGACATGAACACTCAGATTATCAAAGACATAGTGAAGGAGAAAGGCTACCGCCCCATGAAAGTCATCAGTATCTACGCCGAGATACCGAAAGACCTTGTTCGCGAGAAGTTCAAGGATAACCTCGTTAGCCCGTGTGGACAGGGTGTCCCCGACCTCCTGGAGAACGACATCGACACTGCAACGCGCATTGTCGCACAGATGGGGTTGGAGCCTTATGTAAAAGCAATGAACGAGAACCCGGACTTTGACATCATCATCGGAGGTCGATCCTACGATCCTGCTCCGTACGCTGCGTTCTGCATTCACCACGGCTTTGAGGATCTTGGTAAGCACCGTCACTCTTGGCCGGGCCTCGATGTCCCCTTTCGTGAGAGTGAAAGCACTGACTATATATCCATGGCAGCTTTAAACTATGCTATGGGCAAGATCATGGAGTGTGGTGCACAATGCGCTATACCGAAATCAAGAGAGTGTCTGGCGGTTGTCCGTCACGACAGCTTCGACCTCATCCCGTGCCAGCCAGGAGCACGGTGCACTCCTCTTTCAGTCGCTGCCCATCTCTTGTATGAGAAGAGCAGACCAGATATCCTGCAAGGGCCAGGTGGTGAGCTTCATACCCGTGATATGGCGTACGAGCAGATAGATGTACGTACGGTGCGAGTCCGGGGTCCCAAGTTTATCCCACAGCCAGACGGTGAGTATACACTCAAGCTGGAGGCTGCGCGCGTCAATGGCTATCAGTCCAGTTTTGTGGGGGCTTTCAGAGACCCAATCCTTATCTCACAGCTCGACACTTGGATCCCAGCCGTGAAAGAAACGGTGAAAAGCAGAATGTCCACCGACTACGCATATGAGACGAAAATTATCACTTACGGTATCAATGGCGTCATGGGAGCTCTCGAACCGAACAAGAGTCTCCCGAAGGAGGTTTGCATTGTCGTCCAATGCAGAGCACCCTCGCAGGAGCAGGCAAATGAGGTGGCCAACAGGACCAAGATGGGTTTGACTCATGCCCCGTATCCGGGCCAGCTCGCAACTGCTGGAAACTTCGCTTGGCCTATCACTCCTTGCGAAACACCCATAGGTCCAGTACCCGAATTCTGCATGTACCATCTCATCCACAAAGCCGATCCTGTTGGGCTCTTCCCTATCAAGGTGGAGGAGTTCCAAGGATCTAACACGTTTGTCGATACTCCTCGTAGGTCCCCGCCCGTCCGCGGAGGCGAAGTCGCAATTACTGATCGATCGATTAGGTGAAAAAGTCGTCACGAAAGCCGACGCTGCAGTCGCAAACATCAAGACTCCAGCAAAGGCTGTCGGGCAGCCAAGAAAGTATTACCTGCAGCCCGAGCCGCCTGCCGGAACGTGCTATCTTGGAGATGCTGCCTCTGTTTGCCGCAGCAAAATCTCAGGTCCATATCAAGTGACCTTTGACATCATGTTCCAGGACGAGGAGTTGTACAGGAAGGTGAAAGAATCAAATCGACTGTCAGGAGCGGCTGTGGCTCAGCTGTATAACATCCCAGAGAGCGACATTGTTGCGGCTTTGTGGTGGGACCCTGCATGGGCGTTCAAAGCCACCATTCCAAGGTATCGCGCTTCGGCTGGATTTGAAGAGACGGACACACATGGTTCGCAACAGCATGCTCCTCTTCTGTACTTGAGCCTTCCTTGGGGCAGGGAGTAGTGCGTGGTGAGAGTATCGGGCACAAGAATCAATTCTCTACCCATATGTCGAGTTTTGGATATACGAAGCGGCAGCTATCGTCACTTACAAACGCCCTCGTTACATTACGCCTCTCGTCTCGGTTTCTAGCCCGTCCACGGCAAAAGAAAACAAAATCTTGTCCCTTCTTAATTCTCGGGGCCGATGGAACTCTGGTGTAACCACCAGATGAATAAATAAGGAAAATAAGAATATGTAATAATACAAAACAATAAGCCCATTACTATAATCGGAAAAGACCGAAACCGGTTGACGCCGTTACCGAACCCACCCTTCCTTCCTCATCACCTCCCTAGTCCACTCCTCCAACCTATCTGCAAGCTTTCCATCCTTGGCCGCACCGCTCTGCCACCTCGGCTCCCCAAACCTCCTGAAAATTTCGAAATACGTGCCGCTCTGCTCCGCCTTCATATCTTGGCTCGCCGCACAGAACAGACTGGTCCACGACCCCTTATCGGCAGGCCATATCAATCCAAACATGCGTAAGACCGACAGAAGACTCATCATGCGCGACCCGGACTCCCCCACCGATGTGGCGAGGTTCGTCTCAACCAGACCTGGATGCACCGACGAAACCCAGATCTCGCCCTCCCCGTTCTGCGCACTGCGAGAGCCGGGACCGTAAGTCTTATGCAGGGTTTTGGTGTGCAGAATGTTGGCGAGCTTGCTCTGTCCGTACCGCGACCACGGGCCGCTGTCCTTGAGCGATAGGTCCTTGAAATTGATGCCGCCCTTGGGTGCGCCTAAGTGGCCCGATGAAGTGAGGTTGACGACACGCACGCTGCCGGGGGGGAGCATCTTGCCGGTTCGCAGCATCAGAGGAAGCAGGTGCTCCGTCAAAACCCAGTGCGCCAGGTAGTTGGTCTGCCACTGGGCCTCGTGGCCATCTTTGGTCATTTCAAAGGGGGTCGCCATGATGCCTGCGTTGTTGACCAGGCCGTGCAGGGCTGTTTCCAGGGTGAGGAAGTGCTTGGCGGCCGCGACGACGCTGGTGAGGTCCTTGAGGTCCATTTGCAGGAGGTCGATGTTGGCTGAGGGGTACATTTTCTTGATGTTGGCGATGGCTGCTGTGCCCTTCTCTGGGGATCGGGCGCACATGTAAACATGAGCGCCGTGTTCCGCTAGGTGGGCTACGGTGTAGTAGCCTCTATGGTTTGGTGAGATCGGTGGTTCGGGCTTCGTGGTTGAGAGGGGAGAGCAGGGGAACTTACATGCCAGAGTTCCCCCCTGTGACTATGAAGACTTTGTCCTTGAGATTGGGGAGAGTGTCAGGATGGAAAATCATGTTCAAAACGAGTGGTGGAGTCAATGTGGGAAGGTGTAATGCTAAGAAACAGATGATTCAACGTCTTGGATTGCGTTCTATGTTTCTGATAATGTGAAAAGAAGCGTCGAAATCAAGGTGTTGCTACAATCTATATTGCTCTTATTGAACAAGGCCCGAGATATTTGCATACTGGATGTTATTCCGAGCATCAGATATCGTGAGCCAGCTGCATGAAGCATGGGGCTCACTGCCTAATCTCTAGCTCCCGTCCCAATTTCCTAGCAGCTACCCTCGGGAAACCATAGCATTGCGTTTGTTGGTCAATCAAGTGGTGCATGTGTGATGCTGGAACTCGTGATCCTGGTGCCTCGTCCATAATAGCGAGTACTCGGTATTGTGAGCAGGCTGCATGACGCCAGCCCTGCTCAAGTTAGACCCTTTGAAAATGATCAATGATATCGAGCCATTTCACTAACCCCTGGCTGCCCTTGTCCGTCTGCGCCTCATTTGCGGAATACTGACTAGTGCGAGGTGGGCATATCAATTCCTCCGTTCCCGCCGAGGGCAGACTCGTCATTGTGAGCAGGCTGCATAAACCGCCTTGGCCGGCCCAAAGAAACTCGCATCATTGATCACCAATTTCATCATCGCCGCAATTCCAACGTCCGCTAGCATCATGATTAGTACGTATCAACCTGTAAATTCAACAGCGCCCCGCATCCTACTCGCGTCGATGCCACAATTGGCCGAGGTACGTAGCAGGCCGCCTTCAATCACCAAGACGCCATGAGTTACTCACCGCGTACAGGCGATAAGCAGGGAAGACGACTGGACTGGGACCAAGGATGCTGCAGCACGCAGACGGGCACAGACTAGACTCAACACGAGGGCATACCGTAAGTGAGGCCTTGTTTTCTATTTCGTCCGAATCAGGAGTCAGGACCAGTCCGATCAGGAGTACCCAGTTATCGAAGCTACCTGTCCAGTAGGAAAACGCAAAGCCCTAGCAAAGAACGCTGAAGCATCCAGTGCCGCAGCCGGGACACTGATCAAAAAGGAAGCGCTGGTGGAATGCTGGGACATTGAGCAGCAATCGGTCTCCTTCGTCCCAGCATCCCGTATCAAGCAAGTCTACAATGCGAGAAACCCCCTGCTGCCAGATAAGCCCAGAAAAGAGCCGTTTAACATTGTCTTCCCCCTCTGTCCAGACCACCTCATCACACTCCTCCAGTTCAACGCGCTCCGCGCCCTGGCCGTCAACCGCACTCTAATCTCGGGCATCCTCGTCACGCCGCTCGACTGTGATGAGGAAGTCATCCACGTCGTCCCCTACCCTGCCAAGCCCGAACTACTCCCTTCAACACTCCTGCCCACCACCCTTCAACAAACGGTGCCGCATGGCGACTGGATCGACCTGTTCCCGTGTCCCGAGGGACGAGACCGCCTGATCCGGGCCGTTGGCACCTTCGACGAGGACGAGTTGTGGGCCGACTGCATCGGCGGGCTGTACGAGGGCTATCCCGACGACGAGATCGAGCGACGCGGTATCATTGCCTGGTCGCCACCCTGGGACATGACGGGGTGGGAGATGTCGGAAGGGTTTCTGAGGAAATGGGGGTGGTTGCTTAAAGGGTTGCCGGGGTGGTTAGAGGCGACGAATCGGTGGCGGATGGAGAGAGGCGAGGAGCCATTTGTTGATGATGACTGCACGTCCCATGGAACCGTGTGACCTTTGTCTTGTCCGGCTAGTTCTTCGTCATCGGCTGAGCTGGATGTTTATAATACCAAGAGTGGCCCGCCAGTCCTATGGGGCCATGCATGCGGTACTGCGAAATGTTGGGTAATCTGCATTTGGCTGAAGACCTCCTCGCACAGTTCCAAGTTTCGTCAACACTACATGAGAAAGCAAACAATCGGTGAAGTCAGCAGAAACCAGTATCACCATCCGTCCGTCCCATCGCACTGGGCGCTCTTAATCCCTCCCCTTCCACCACAATTTCAACTCCAGAAGCAAGTTTACGAATCCGATTTTTCATTCCTTGTACATAGTCATTGTGTCTACTTTGACCATGGAGGACGCATCCCGGGTCGAGGAAGGAAGAACTTTCCCTCCCCAATCCAGGTCGCGGGGAAGTAAGGTACCCCACCAAGAGACCGTAAGGTATCTGCAATGAGACAATTTTGAGAAGCTGATGATTTTGTAACCAGCGCACTGAGCGGTCTGACGAAGGTATCGGATGGCGTGCAAACCTCGGCCAGTTCACATCGGATCAATCCCCCCCTTCCCCCGGAGAACTCGTCTGTGAGACTGAGAACTATCAAGTTGGTCGAGAGGATTGCTCACTTCTCGGAGATGTCTGTCTATCTGTCCTTTTAGCGAGGTCCTTTCCTGTTTACATAGGCATTTGGCCTATATATGAAGAGAGCCAGTCCTGATGGCTCCAGAAGGACGTCATTCTGCTTGAATGCAATGATGTAAATCGGATGGCGGCTGTTGGCGGTGGCCAGTGGTAAATGCACCCAAAAACTAGCAACAAAACTGGCAATGGCTGGCAAGGGCGATTACGGTGGCGGTCTTGCAAGGCTGACAGCCGATCTGCCTCACAAGCTGCTTCGTACAAGTACACCTGCAATTGGAAGAGTAATGATACGAGTATTCGGTGCAAATACCTGTGCGAGTACATAGTCAAAGCTAGCAGCAGTCTAACCCTCAATCCCTCTTCTCCCGGACGCCCCGTTATTTTCCTTCTTCGTCTTTCGTCGTCCGGAAATGACAATACACCCGACTGTGGGATTACTAGTATGGCATATGCCACCGCAAAACTGCGGCGTTCACTGATAGTCACGACATTCTGCTCCTGCTGCTTCTCCGCCTTCCAAGGACTCTGCTTAGGTCCCCATAATGCAAAACCCCAAATGTCCAATCTCTCTTCCCTCTCCCTGTCTCTTGCGGTCGGTCAATATCTCACAACAAAGCCACTGCGCCAGCAACGCCCATGACGGCCGCCATCACGCCTTGTCCCCCTGCAATCTTCAGCGCCGCAGCACCGCCTGTGTAGGTCGCGTTGTACGCCCCCGTTGGCCTGCTCGCGACCGTGGTCATCACCGTTGTCGTCGTGGTGCATTGTGTCGTCATCATCATGCCCGTCACGCTAGACGGCAGAATCGACGCCGAGGGGGTGGTTGTCATCATGCTGTCCGTGGCGTCGGCGACACTGGTCACCGAAGTCACTGTCCCTGGGACGGTAGTCGTGGAGGCGCCGTCACCGCTGTCAGTCGGGCTGGCGGTTGGAACTGTGGAACTGGCAGTGTCTCCTCCTGCGTCGACGGTGGGTGAAGGACTGGATGAAGAAGAGCTTCCCCCGGCTCCTCCGAGGGCGGCACCGCAGAAGTTCTGGCCGAATACGAGAGCCGCTTTGGTTGCGAACGTCAATCAGCATTTACTTGACCGGGGGTCTGGGGTGATTCTCACCTTGGACATCGGCTGGGGAGCAAGTCTGCGTGACTGCAGTGGTGATGGCGCTGATGAAGGGCTGCGAGCTGCAGATACAGGTTTGGTCGTTCACCGGACACCCCGAGGACGCCAGGGCGGCGTTGGCGGCATCTTGCTATAAGATCCGGGACTCAACGTTAGAAAGAGGATTGGACGTTTTGAACAGGCGGGGCGAGTTTCTTGACGAGAAGAAAAACTTACGGCACAAGCCGGCAACCCGCTCAACGCACTGGTATCCGCAGGTGTCTGAGGTCTTGCAACAGCAACAGCCGAAAGGAGCAATGGGAGCTTGAAGATGGTAGCACGATGCATTTTGGCCACTGGTGGTGTGAATTGAATTCCTGCGAGAGCCTGCAAATGTGGTCTCTATCTTTTCTGCGCGGACGAGATGGGATAGAAGAGGAGAGGGACAGAATGGATAGCTCAAGCAAGGATTGTACCAAAACGAGCGGAGGGGGAGTATTGGTTTTTTGCGAACAAAGGACAAAAGAAATCCCCGAGACAGACAGAGCAGAGAGAGCGTGAGACCGACACAAAGAAAGACACGGAAAAGAAATCATGATGCAGGAACCTGACTATAAAGATCATCAGCGAGCGTAAACATCTTCCGATTGCGGTCGAGCACATTGTGGAATGTGGGCTGTTGTTCTGTAGGCCTCGACAACGGAAGGAATGTGGACGATATTAATTACCTTGAGCGATGGTGGCCTTTGTGGAGAGAGACAGGAGCATCGTCGTTGGATGAAGGAATAGCAGCGCTCAAATGATGTGAAGGTTATACGATTTAACCGCCTTGGACTCAGAATGGAAGCAAGTAAGGGGGGGTAGATGAGATAGATGGATGCCGTTGCTGTCGTTGCCGTGTTCGGTCGAGGAGAACAAGGAATGGCAAGGCTGCGGAATGGCCAAAGGTTTCTCCGAGAGGTGCTTCTCAGTGCTGCTTTCAAGCCTCGCCCTTCGCACCTCTAGCCGCTCAACTGACTTCAAGCATGAGCATCAGTCGTAGGCGCATCCCCTGGGGTCACCAACTTCGGACCCTTAGGTCCAGCCGAGCCAGTGAAGTTTGTGTATATGTGCCACACTTCGTCGTCGTCGACCTCGGTCATAATGACACTCAAATTCGCCGCCCTAGGAGACCCGTGCCCAACGAGGACCCATTTGTGCTCGTCAAAATAACCGTACTGTCCCAGCCAGATTGGCCTGCTATCCCAACAATTATCGCCAGGGACACCGGGGAAGTCGAGATAGTTGTTGTCGGGCAATGTCCCAGTCCAGGTGCCAGCGATGTCGTACCCGTCCCTGGCTTTTGTTGCGTTGATCTGCCAGCCTTGGGGTTTGCCGTACCATTCGTCTGACGATGACTGGAAGCTCATGCTGATATTGCCGTTTCCAAGCTTGGGCATGTCGAAGTAGAATGTGTTGTTATCCTACTTGGTTCGGTCGAGTGCTGCGTTGCCAGGGACAGTCATGCCACCGATGAGCAAAGACTTCTTGAGCGGTTGCCAGGTTGTATCGGGACATTCAGCCGCCGGTCCGCCAGTCAGTGTGAGCTGCAAACATCTCTCAGCTTTGGTCTCGGGAGATGGATGACAGGTCTTTGAAAGAGATCGAGTCCTTACAGTGGTAGTACCGTTGAACCATGCAAGAAATAGCATCATAGCGTCGTTAATGAATGCATCGCAGTTAAATGAGTTTGAACTGGCTCTGCTATCGGTGAAAACGGTGAGTCCTACACTGTCAGTTGCTGTGGACTGGACCCAAAGGACAAGGCGTCTTACTGGCACAATCCTCGCCCAGCACTACTGTAGCAAGAGTAATACCGACGAGGAATACATACATCGCGGGGAAAGCCATTTTTATAGACCAATGACGGGCAGCTCGGTTAACCAGAAAAGACACCTAACTGAGGAACTGGAATGCTCGCTCGAGGAGACATCTAGTGTGCAGGCGAGGTATTTATGCATTTCCAAGTTTGTCACAACGAGGGTGTATCATGACCCGTTGCGGAATGGACAAGCCTCAGCCGCCGCAGCACAGAGTCGACTTACTTTACAACAGGTAGTAGCATAACTCTGGGGGGCTATCTCTCACCGGTTTCAGCGACCCCAAGAAGAGAAAAACGAAACTCGATGCTTGGGATTTGGCTAGTGGAAAGCTAAATGTGAAGCAATGGGTATGACTTAGCCCTAGTTCCTCAAGGTTTTGAGGCCTTGATGCACCTAAGGATGAGCATGTCAAAAGTCCATGGCCGAATAAGCATCGCAGGGAACATACTTTGGCACTTTCTTAACACAGCGGCACGTCTCGCCTATCAACAAGTTACTTACGAGATTGGCGCATTTACCTGCTTGAACTCTGGCCGCATAGCCTGGGAAGGTGGTGCATCGTCGGACGAGGACATTGACAGTTTTGCCAAATATCATGGATCGTCGTCCTAAGGAGCTCTGAGAGTAGACGCGCATCGTTCACTCCTCCGGGCCACCTTGAGCGGTTCATCTCTAAGGCCCGATTGCATACAGCGTCAGCTGCGATTGAACTAGGGTATGCTTTGTTTCCAGCCAGGTAGAGTGCTGCTCAACAAGCTTTACCAAGCAAATTTGCTGGAGAAAGCTAAGAATTGTGTCACGGCCGTGCTGCTAGCCCTGTAAGGCTGACTTGAGCAGTAGTATCAGAGCCGCGACTGTCATTCGCAGCCCAGAAGCGAGACGGCCGACGGCATGAGGCAGACTGCCTCATCATTGGGGAAGTTGCTGGCGTGCTCGGTCATGCACGGGACAGAGGTTCTTGTTTAGCCAGCCCTAGTAGAGTTCGATTATTTGAATGGAGACAGTAGGAGTTTGATGCTGGAATAGAAATGCAGCTTGGCAGTTCAGCTGAAGAAAGGCACGGGTGACTGGGGCCAGTAAAAGGGGCTCTCTCTCGTATTCGCTCCACGATTCTCTGTGGAGTACAGAGGGTGTCGGTCTCGTCGTTTCATGGATCGAAAAGAATGCCAACCTAGTAGTGGTCTAGGTGGGCCATCGGTCTTTTTGGTTGAGAAAAGTAGCCGAGCGTGAGAAAGCTCTGCAGTTCTAGACCTTCCAGGATAAAGCATTTCAGTGAGAGCGGAACACATCAGCTTTGAACAGGGTTTGCAGTAGTCGCTCCAACTCCGCTCTCAGCACAGCAACGCCAAGACAGTTAAGGAGCCGAGGATAAAGCGCCCAAAGCGTACGAGTCACGTGAAAAGGAGATCCGGACTTAAGTTATTCCGTTGAGCATTCCGCCGTCTTCCCCCTCCAGCCATTTCCTTCCTGCTTCGAACTCCCTAACAAGGTAAATACTCATAAAGAGTAGGACAGACGGTCTGCTTGTCTTGACCAAGATGACTTGTTCACCTCTGTCTCGCCGACCGTCGCCCCCGCAGCCCAGATACCGAAGTCCTCCCCTGATCTTTTGCCGACGAGATCATTCAGCTCTCCTTAAGTTTCTTGGACAAGCAATTGGCTCAGTGCAGGAAAGACCCCTTTTGGTGAGAAACAATTCATCATGGACCGGGGCCTGGTTTTAGGGGAAGCAGGCTATGAAGTGCCCCGAGAAACAAATGCCTTGGGCCCTTGGCACTTGTGGTCTCTTTCTGGTGGAAAGCGTCAGACCACCTGTAGCCCGACAGACTGGTAATGCTTTATCCCATAGCGTGACTGTTATTATTATCTCTCTCCGTCCCGCCCGCGATCAGATCCAGGTACCGGGTTCGTCTGATGATTTCCGTCCTCACCAAGGGAGAGTGGAGAAGGACTCGTCCAAGTCAGAAAAGGTGAGCAAGTTTTCTTATTACTCGGAGGCACAACGGGCGTCCGATAGGGCCAATTGAGGAAGCGTGGCAGTGGGTCTTGAAGCCCGAAGACGCCTCATCGCCCCCTGTAAGCCTCATGTACCGCTGGGGGGTTGATAACTAATTGCTTGTCCATCCTCGCCATGCAATTAATTATCACAATTGCAAAATTGCGACAGAGTTAAACACGAAAGACAACGTCGTCATCGTCGTCGCTCGCTGCGGATGGCATTTTCGACATTGCTGCAGACACTCCTTGCCGCCATCCTGTGCGCTGCAACGACATCCGGAACTGTTGTCACGTATGATTTCAATATTTCGTGGGTGCCTGCAAGCCCCGATGGCTTCAGCCGGCCAGTGATCGGCGTGAACGGCCAGTGGCCGCCTCCAACCATCAGCGCGGATCTGGGGGACACAGTCGTGGTAAATGTGCTCAACTTGCTTGGGAACCAGTCCACATCTTTACACTTCCATGGCCTCTTTATGAATGGCACCAACGAGCTAGATGGTGCCGCCCAAGTCAATCAGTGTCCTATCGCTCCTGGTTCATCTTTCACGTATAGATTCAAGGTTCGTACATACAGCACTTCCTCCCCGAAGATCACCCTTGTTAAACAGTCGTGCGTTTGTAGGTTTCCCAGGCTGGGCTCTACTGGTACCATTCCCATGTCCAGGGCCAATACCCTGACGGTCTCCGAGGGCCACTGCTCATTCGCGACCCGGATCATCCATACCGTGGACAATATGACGACGAGTTAGTCCTGTCCGTTTCGGACTGGTACCACGATCAGATGCCCGACCTGATTCCCCACTATCTGCACGATGGAGGCATGATGTCGCAGGAGCCAGTGCCCGACGCCAACTTGCTGAACGATACCCAGGGGCTTCAAATCCCAGTTGTGCCGGAAAGGACATACTTGGTGCGCCTGGCCAACATGGGCGCGTTCGCAGGTCAGTATTTCTGGATCGAGGGCCACACGATCAAGATTGTCGAAGTGGACGGCGTTTATACCAAGCCGGCGGAGACCGCCATGATGTTCCTTTCCTCCGGACAGCGGTGCAGCTTCCTCGTCACGACCCAGTCGGATCGCAACAGAAACTACCCCATGGTTGCTTCCATGGACCCCGTATGCATTTGATCATTCGCCGGACATGTGCTTGGCTAACAGGTCTCCTCTAGAGCCTGACCAACATACGCAACAGTGCAAGTCAGAACGTGACCGGATGGCTGGTCTACGCGCCCGATCAACCTCTACCACAGGCCCAGCTTGTTTCCAACTACGATCCCATTGACGATGTGACGTTGGAGCCATACGACGAAATGCCTTTACTACCTCGACCGGACCAGAGCATCGTCTTGAGTCTGGGAATGTCACACAGTGGTGGCATCAAGTAAGCCAATCCCCTCACTTCTGCCTTCTTCAAAAACTCTACTGCCAAGCCTTTGTTTTTGGCTGAAGGTGGCTGACTTTGTATTCCCTAGATGGTTCTTTAACTCAACGAGATACGCTGCCCCGGAGATTCCATCGCTTTACACAGCGTTAACCAGTGGGCCCTTCGCAACAGACCGCTCGATATACGGTGCATCGACCAATCCATTCGTATTGCAGCACAACGCGGTCGTCGAGATCATCCTCTACAACCACCACATGGTTCGGCACCCGTTCCATCTACACGGCCACAATTTCCAAGCGGTGTACCGCTCCGCCAAGAAAGCGGGCAGCTTTTTCAGCAGCGGCCTCGGGGAGGAGGACTTCCCGAGGGCCCCCGTAAGGAGGGACACACTCTTGCTGGAGCCCGGGGGCTTCATGGTCTTGAGATTCCGGGCCGACAACCCCGGCGTCTGGCTGTTCCACTGCCACATGGAGTGGCACGTAGAAACAGGCCTGGTAGCCACGATGATCGAGGCGCCCTTGGAGCTTCAACAACAGCACAAGGACCGCCCGTTGCCTGCGATCTCGTGCGATGCTGCGGATAGCCACCAGGAAGAGCACGATGTGAGCGCGCCCGAAAGCGAACATAAAACCGGCTCGGAAACGCAGGAAAGCAAGAAGACAAGCAGAAGGTGAGCTAGCGCAGCATTCATTGCGCCCTGATAATCCTCCTCCCAAACGCAGACAGACAGCGCTAACTTGAGCTCTCTCTCCTTCTCTCTAGCACCATGATCTCCGCTGCGGTACTGATGATGGTCATCTTCATCATGGCGGTAACGGGCTTCGCTCTCGCCGTCCGGCTCCGCATCAAGAAACGGCGTTCCGCATCAACAAAGCACAAATCAGTCGCATCGGGTGCCGACGACGCGCAGGTCGAGGAACAGGAGCGCCACCTGCTCGAAAGCTCCACGAGCTGGGAGAGCATGGAGGGTTTTGAAGAGGGCTCAGCCTCAGCCGCCACCATCGGCGGGTCGGCGAAGTCGTCGTTGGACTTAGCCGAAGAGGAGACGGATAATGGAAGGAGGCGCTGATGTTGGCGCGCCCAGCAATTTTCCTCGGGCTAGGGCGGCCAAGGTGTGCAACTTGTATTAACATAGATTGCATGTAACTCCTATGACCTTTTTTTCTTTGTGACTCCGGAGTTTTCTAGGATGGCAACAAACAAGATGGCGCAGCAAAGCATCGATGTACGGAAAACCTGGCTGGAAAGAATATAATAAAACGGGGTCTTCCCTCCTTGATATGTAGCGCCTTTCAGCCTCATAAAAAAGGCCGCAAACCCCTTTTTGCAGCCGGGCACCTCTTCGATTCGTACCAGCATCACCTCAACACGGCAACTTGTTCGGCGCGCTTCGAGGCACACCACGTCGCGCGCAAGGATGTCATCATGGGACACACTCCCCCTTAACACGCTGCTCAGGGAATCCCCCCACCCACACAAGGTTCTCGTTCTGTGAAATCCTGCTGCTGCAAATTGCTGGCGAATGCAGGGACCACCAGCAGCTTTCGGCCGGCCTCTCGTAGCTGTGCATGCCAAAACCTGTGCCTTATACCTTGCTAAGATTGCGGGATAGAGTTGGCCGACCATTGAAACGGGCCTCCAACGACGGGCGCGTCCCGGTAAATGGCAGTGTCGCGAGAAAGCCCAAGATGGGGTCCTGCAGTGAATTCTGGAAACCCCCGACGTACGGAGTCCGAGATCTGAGGAGGAGGAGGAGGAGGCACCATTCCATCACGCCAGCCGTGCCGGAAGGCGTGACTGGAAAGATTGGAAACACCCTCTGCAATCTCATCTGGTGTCGTCTTTCTTTCGAGACGGGCAGGGCCGTCCATCGACGACAGCCCCAAGCCCTCTTGCATTGCGGAATCGTGGGCGGTTCCGGCAGGCTCATCCTCTGGTGTAATTTTCAAAGCATGGTAATAAAAGATCAACATGTCATAGTAGCCTTTGGCAACGATATCGCCTTCCGAGCAATACTCCAGAGTGTTGAGGCACGTTTCCGCACTGGAGAGCTCTTCTTCACACTGGGCGGGAGAGACTCCGTGGAGCCGCTTCTGAGCAACGTGGAAGAGCAACATGGTGCAGGCGCTAAAAGACTGGTAGATTAGCAGCCAGGAGCGCTTGAAGGTCGCATGCTCAGACAGAAGAAGCGCGAAGATCCGAGACGATTGAGTAGCGGCGTCCAGTGCGTCTTTGGCATAGTCCAATGCTTCGGCGACGTCCCCGTCTAGCTCCCATGAATCATCCCGATGCACAGTGGAAAGGTAAAGAGAATGGCGACGGTAGAGAAGGAGTAGCGCTCCCAGGTAGTTGAGGTGAACGTGGAAAGTACACCGTCTTTGCACAAGCGTCAAGTCCTGATCTTGCATCAACGATTCTAGCTGCATGATTGGAGGGAGCTTGCTTAGCCAGTCGACTATCTTTATTTTGTATTCTCGAGTCGCAACGAGACTGAGTTCTGTTGGTAAGAAGACGTCTCGAAGTACGCCCGACGTGAGGATGCAAATCGAGGTCATTTGCGCTTGTGCAATCGATTCAAAGGGCGGATGGCCCTCGAGAACCGCAAAGGGCTCGTGGAGCCCTGGTTGAAATGCCTCCATAATCTGGGGATTTGTACCGAGGGTCGACGCGACCCAGCTGTGGGAGCCCCCGAGTTAAAATTCTCATCTTCCTGCTTTCATAGGACGAGTCGGATGTTTACCTGCCTAGGACAATCAAAGTCCTCAAGACTTTTCTTTGCGCGATCCATTCTTCGGGAGATGTGGACAGAGGGCGTCTGTCGAGGTGGAGTCCTCGAAGCCTGGCAAGTTTTAAGCCGGTTACTTGTCACGGTCAGCTGTCTTTGCACTTTGGTTCCAAAATTGAGCAGCGCTGACGGGTCCACGTCCACGCAGTCAGCCGTTTGTCCATAGCACAGTATATGGCCAAGCAGCAGAGCACGCGCATGCCAAGCACTTCGTCCTCCTCGATACACTCGTCGAGATAGAATTTCGCTGTTTCATAGTACGACTGTCGTAGCGAGCCGTCAATTTCGAAGTCGTCATATTGACTAGCCACAGATGCCATTGCACACAGGGCACCCAGTGAGGCCTTTGTAGCACCATCAGTGTCCATATAGGCTGATTGGAACAGCTCTGCCGCATCCTTGGGAGAAAAAATGTAGAACAAGGTGCCGGTGCAAGAAAAGAAGCAGTCTATCAACAGCCGCGTGATAAAAGCATTTGCCAGTTTGCGATTGTTGAGAATCTCCACAGGAGACGAGGCGATTTTATTTTGGAGCCTCTCTCGACCTACGGGCAAAGAGAAGAGCCTGGCAAGTTGCTCAGGTAGGACGGACATCCTTGGCTAGATTTCTGGAAGATGAGACAAATAGACTACAACAGAGAGACAGGATGGGTGTACTCTTTAAATGCATGTTTTGCGGTGGTGATAGTCTTGCTCCTGTATCAAAGTATATTCCCCTCTAGAACAGGGTGAATAACCCGCCGTCACACGATCTGGTATGGGTAAATCTGGAATCGCTAGTTCAAGGTGGGGAGATCAAGGGAGATGGATCGTCCGGAGTTGGGCGAGGTCTGGCTAGGAGGAATGCCTCGGTCTCATTTGACTGGTTGATCAAGTTGGGGTGGTTGTCAAGCATCGGCAGCACTCCCGCAGCCTAGAACTGTCTGGACGTCCACCATTACCACTCGGTCTCCAAAATGCTCCAAATTGTCGACTCAATGGGTCGGCATTCGCGGTGATGTCAAGTCAAGAAGATTCTTTCACGTGCGATTAGACATCAACATGCATCAGACACATTGCGCTGATGGATGAATCGGACGTAGTCAAAGCTTACCAATGTTGCGTGTTGGGAAAGCCAAGGAGATCCATGAGTGACTTAATAGCCCCGCTGAACCTCCAGAGTGCAATACGCCGGCATTGCGAGACGGTGCTGGCGACTTTCCCTGAAGCCCTGCACACGATCGAATCTTCAACCAGTGACGCCTCGTTATACGACACTAGCGTCGAGCAAAAGGTGAGAAGAAGTAGTCCTCTTCCTTGCGAGGTGCTCGACATGGGGCAGCTGTGTCGGCCTCCGACTGCGCGGCGCTCACATTATTGTTGATGTTTGCCATGTCACAGTCGTAACTGATTGAGGGCGACGCGCTTGGACATTCTTGGACAGAATTGGTCTCTACCATGAAAACACGCCTGTCAACCGCCTCCGCTAGTGGAGCAGATTCCGCGGCAGAGGAGTGTAGGGTCTGATATTCGAGGCCCTTGAGCCATGTATGCGCCCATGGTTGTCGCTTCGAAAGCTCTTGAAAGGCTTGTACCACAGTCAATATGTCCTTCAAGGTCGACGGGAAACAATCGAGATGAATGCGATATGCATCGAGCAGCGCTTGACATATCATGGCATTGATACCCTTCAAGCCAAAAGACCTTTGGTACTGGCTGAAGAGGTCAGTGATCGCCTTAGCAGCGTCTTGACAGATCCGAGTCGCCGTAAGGCTTATGTCGGCCAGGCCAAGAGCCATAGGAGGACGAAATGATTGTAACAAGCTGTCATGGTACCACATATGGACCACGATTACGTGTGCGGATGCCGTGTCACTAATGGCGAGGGCGGCTGGTAAATGGTTGTACCACCCCCGAAACTTAGATTCCCAATGCTCTATATTGATCTTCTCGTGGGCGCCAGAAAGAGATCTCGGTTGGAAGAGGGTCGTGTGCACAATCTTCGCCAGGTCCGCTAGGTAGAACCAGCAGCCGCGGCGGTCTCCGCAGTTTAATGGTGTTGGGGATGGCGTGCAGAGGTGGGTTGCGGCACCTATATCGGTGCTGGGCCGTCTTATCTCGACATCGTCGACGACAATTTGAGAATGCCAGCCTGCGTTGATGGAAGCCATTCTGTACAAATCAGCCACTATTACCCAGTGAACGCTTTCCTGGCAGCTCACTGATCCACCTGAAGACAGACCCAGAATAGCTGCTGCTGCACGGCAACCAGAGTCAACTTGTCCGCTTCGGTCATGATTTGCTCTTTCTCGCTCACTCTCCCCCTGTGAAGACCCAGAAAGAGTGCCATACATGAGGCTCGACTTGAAAACATGCAAGCACGCTGATAGCGACGGTGCAGGTTCTCGATCATTGCAAGAAGGCTCAGTCCTGCTACAGTAGTCAAACTTGGTTCGGGATGTTCTAACAAGAGCCGTTCGGCTTCATTGAAAAATGCCTCCACAGACGGCCAAGGGTCGTTGCCACTCTTGACTTCGTCTTGCAAGCCCAGAAATGTGCAGCCAACAGCCAACACAGCATTCATCAGGGTAGGCGAGCAATACATCATGCCTCCAGTGGCCATATCGGCTCGAATTAGGGACTCGGGAATTACAGGGCAAATGGGGTGGTGGTATGTGAAGTACAGCTCCAACAGGTGACTGATGATCGCTGGGTCTTGGGTTACCGTGGTCCATCGGACCAAGGTTCCCCCACTGGAACTGAGACAACATGAGGCTTGGTCGAAAGGTTGCAGAAGATCATACAGGGAGAGCACAGAAGGGGATTCTTTGAGCCGCGGTAAGTCGTACAGTTGTTCCAAGGGTTGTCCCAAAGTCACAACTGGTTGAGGAAAGACGGCCTCTCCAGCCTGGAGTGCAGCGGAAACATCAGCCCCAGAGCGCAGAGAACGTAGAATTCCGGCCGCTACCGACTCGGAAGAGGTCCGGAACGCGTCGAGAAGCATTTTCAACTCCGTATTGCTCTCGCTGTGTTCTGCTAATAAGGTCTGACGGTATATCCTACTTCGGTGGTCGGTCGGGTAGACGCACTCACGCTTAGCAACCACACAGCTTGTACACGGTTTGTGGCCATCACACTGAAGTAACACTCGCCCTCAGCACAGTGCCGGCAAGAAACTCGGGGGGCTGAAGGAAGCAGGGAGCCACGTACCCTACGCCGCCTTTTTCTGCAGGGCAGGCAAGCAGAGGAGGCATGTGTTCGTCTGTTCGGTGCTCGGACAGGGCTCACGACGAGTGTCGAATCTGCTATATGCGGGAGCGCAGCCGGGCGCAATGGCCGAAAATGGGATGACATTGAGGTGACGGAAGACGTCTGAAGCGCGATCTCAGGCCTTCACGGGGTCGGAATTCTGGCGTTGAGCACACCAGCAGTTGAACACAAGCGAGAGTTATGAACAGGCCACAGCGTTGTTCTCGGCAAGGAACCAGAACTCATGTTCGCCAGGCTGAGAGTACGCATTTATAATACCCTGGCGAGCCGAGTTCGAGTCGTTCAGATTTGCTCTTCAAGGCGATTGCCTCGAGTACTGTAATATGAATTCAGTAGTGTCTTTGTCGCTGGGGCCGTGCTTAAAGCGGCATGAGCTAAGCTGCTGAGGTGCCTCGGTGCCAAGGATACAGAGGAGGACTGGACAAGGCGGCGTCATAGAGTTGCCGAAAGAGGAGACGCTGGCTTGGCATCTCGTCTGATCCTTGATTGATAAGATAAAACCCTGCCATGGCTCTCAATGGGCATTGCCTGCGCCTCTCGTACAGATATTGTTACTTCTGCCTCGTGCAGTCTGTCATGCTCTATGGACGACGCTGTCCTGCCTGAAGAATGTCTTCAGATCCTCCGCATCTCCCTCCAAGCCTCTAGCGGCCTCGTTGACACCCTCGCCAACACTGGCGGTGTCCCCCAGTCGGAACATATACGCAAGATTGTCGCCGCCATCCTGTGGCATCGCAAGTTCATCTTGACATATTATGCATGGATCTTTGTCACAATTGCGGTGTCAAGTGGATTCCGTTTCTATAAGAGGGTCGTGCATCGACGCAAGAAGAGGGATCAGAATGGCCAAGGTCCCATAAACCATGGGAGGGTCGCTGCCAGCCCGTCGCCATCATGCAGCAGTACATTGACCGGGACAAGTACACCGTTTCAGAAAGATGACGACCTGCACAATGGAGAGACGACGCCGTTGCTGGCTCAACCATATTCGGCTTCTCGAACGCCACCATCTCCTCTCAATCGACTCAAATCGCTCTTGATGTTCCAGCCTCGACCCATCCCAGCGGTCACCTCTCCCTCAAATACCCTGCCGAACAACGCCGTCTCCCTTGTCGTGCTCTTCTCCCTTGCTGTCAACCTCTTCTATCTCTTCTACTGCATCCCACTGTCGCTGCCATGGATCTTCATCCTCGCCGATCGAGCGGGTCTACTCTTCGTTGTGAATCTCCCAATCCTCTACTTCCTGGCCGCCAAAAACAACCAACCCACCAAATACCTTACAGGATGGTCTTACGAGGGTCTCAACATCTTCCACCGTCGCCTCGGTGAGTGGATGACTTGCTTCGCCGTTATCCACATGGGCGGGATGCTTGCTGTTTGGTACACCATCCTCCATCCTCGAGGATTATCTCTGCCCGGCTTCCTCAGCACGAAACTTGTTTTTCTCGGCCTCTGTGCCGTGATATCTTATTATCTCATCTACATCACGAGCACCGGCTGGTTCCGCCATCTTTACTACGAACCCTTCTTGGTAGCACACATCGTTTTCCAATTTGCCGCTCTGATCTTCCTTTTCCTGCATTACCCCACGGCTCGCCCTTATGTCTGCGTAGCCTTTGCAATTTGGGCTGTCGACAGACTCCTTTGGCGTGTGACATTATCGTCTAGAAGATTCATTGCAACGTTAGAAGTCGCTCCTGATGGCCACACCGTCCTGGTCCACTGCGACGTCCCCCTCCGCTACCAAAAGCCACCAGGGTTAGGAATACAAACGAACATCCACCACGGGTGGCATCCCGGCCAACATGTCTTTCTCACCGTCCCTTCCATGGGCTTTAAATACCGCTTTCAGGCGCATCCATTCACGATCGCTTCACCTGCTCCACCAAAAATTACAGTGGCCATGAAATCATGGCCTCTCCAACTGACGGTTCGCGCGATCGACGGTTTCTCTCTGTCTCTCCTCCGCTATGCCCGCCACCACCAACACTGTGAAATCGTCCTCGATGGTCCTTACGGCAGCACTTCAGCACTAGCGGCAGCACACTCAGCAGATCGAGTTTGCTTCGTCGCCGGGGGCAGTGGAATCGCTGTTACCTATCCGCTTTCCTGGGCCATTCGAGTCCGAAACGAGAGGAGCGCAGATGCCGGACTGTTCCTCAGCACAAGGACTACGTACAAGAATGGGTTGAAGACGATGCCATCCGTCGTTGCAGATTCCACTCTGTGGATACCGGAGTCGAAGTACACGCACTTCTGGGTAAGGCAGGAGGAGAAGCATGGGAAGTGGATCTGCATGGTTCCGCAAGCGAGCGCGGTCAAGTCAGGCGATGATGAAGAGGCAGAGGAGGCAGGGACTGATCATCTGGATGCAAATGCTCTCGACTCTACTGCGCAAGAAAGACGGCACAAAACGGGTGCTAGTTTAGTTACACGAACCTTCGACACTAGAACTGCCGGCCTTGGATGTGGTCGACCAGATATGCAGAGCGAGATCTACAGCTGGGTTACGTCTGTCTCGTCCTCGGCCGGCGCAGCTGGAAAGTCTTGTTATTCGTCGGCACCATCGTACTCCTCGTCTTCCACGGCACTCGGAGAAGGCACACCAGATGTCTCATCCTCCTCCTCCTCCGCCTCCTTCTCACCATCTTCACCCGATCTTCCAGCGCTACCAAGGCCTGATCTCAACTCTAGAGACCCCAAAGACTGTCGTTTCCCACTGAAGGATAGAGACAGGAACAGCAGCGGCAGAAATCGTGATGGACACAGGGATAAGATCTGCATTATCGTCTCCGGCCCAGACGGGCTAGTGCGCGACGTGCGGAACGTCGCAGCCGAGCTTGTCCGACTAGGCGGCTGGGACATTGATGTCTGGGCCGAGAAGTTCGGGTGGTAATGGCGGCGGCAGAAGTCGCCGGCGCAGCGGAGCCCGACTAACTACCCAGGTACCTACTCGGCTGCCTCTATTTATATAGCTCCCCTCTAGATATGTAGAGCAAGGGGTGGGGCTGGGGCCGGGGCCGATCGGCCGGGTTCTAACTGTGTGGACGTAGAGAGAAGAGGCCGAAAAGAAATGAACCTAGAGATGTAGGCTATAGAGATTTAGATCCAGAAATATGCACATAGACAACGGAAAAGAAAAGAAAGAGAGAAAAAAAGAATCCCCTTCGCATCGATCAAATCATCATTGGCCAAGTCAAGTCTACATAGATAGGAAGGAGATAATATACATCACAACCACGAATAGGGTCAAAAAAAAAAAAAGTCGGAAAGGGATGGCCCACGGGGTGGGAGGAAGAAAACGAGGGGACGGGGAATTGGAATACGAGTCCTGTTTGTCCGTTTCGTCACATTGATGGCTTTTGTTGCGATTGGAACCTACCCAGCCCGATCGCCCCCAGTTCCAAGTCCTCTCTCCTGCTTCATAACGAGTGTTGACGATCTATACTCGTATGTGCATAGTGTCTGTTCATGATGTCGGCCGGATTAGCGGCGGCGGTGGCGTGGTGCATGTCCATGTCCACGTCGAACGGGCCTGCTCCTGGTGCTGTTGACCCAGGCCCAGTCCCGGTCCCTGATCCTCCTATTCCTGCTCCCATTCCCATCTGGCTGCTGCTGCTCGGGTCGTCAGGCAGGCTGAACCCGCCAAAATATTCATCCGCCTGGGGGATCCCCGCCCAGTGGTGCATGGTGCTGTAGTCCCAGCCGTTCATCATCTGGGGTCCGCCAATGGGACTGTCCCAGCTCGTGCTCCAGTTCAGCGTGTCGAACATGTTGTCCATGAACAGCTCCTGAGTGGCCGTGTTCAGGTCATCCAGGTTGCCGTATGTGTTTGCAAATGACACGTCGATGTAAGTGGGCCGGAAAGACGACGCTGCGGATGTCGACATCATCGTCGTTGATTGTGGTAGTTGCGGCGCGGGTGTTGTTGACGACGCAGGCGTGTCCACGGCGTTCGGCAGGTATGTCTCTTGGAATTCTGGTAGGGCGGCAGAATGCCGTTTACTGGCTTCGTACAGCCGGATGATGACTTCCAAAGATCGGCGAGCGGTGGTGGACCAGCCTTGAAGCTCCTTCAGCACCCGCATGGCAACTTCCACTTGATGGCGACTGTGCTCCATCACGTCGACGTCGTGAGGATCTGAGTAGAGCGAGAGAAGCGGAACCATCACGGCTTGATAGAGGAGCCAAGTGGCATTCCAACCGGATATTTGACACGCTTTTTGACCTCGCCAGGTGGAGGCAATGTCACTGATCAAATCCGCACACACGCCGCGGCAGAGCTCAATTGCTGCTTGTCTCTCCGGCGAGAGGTTCTCCCATGTGATCTTGCGCATGGCATACCACAGCAGAACAGGGCGATGGAGAATGATTCGATTCGACAAGTAGCGCCATCTCATCACATTTTTGAGAACAGTGACGCCGGGCGACTCATTGAGATTCGGTCGTGGAGATTCGGCCTGGACAGACGAGTGCTTGTACCATTCTAGATAGAGGGCATCCAAGGTATGGCGTTCATACTCTTCTAGGAGAGGGGAGACGGCAAGGGCATCTTCCATCCTTGTACTGATGATGCAGAAGCGGACGTTCTCCTGCACCAATGCTAGCATGGCCGTCGACTGGCCGATGGCCTCTTGCGGCGGCTTCGCCGTGATGGCGTGGCTCATTCGGCCCATACTTGGCCTTCCCAGGGTGTTGCCGGCCCAAGAATCCAGCATGAACGTACACCACCATATTCTACGTCGCATCTCGATGGAGAATGACGCCTTTTGGACCTTTGCAGGACCAACGCCTTCGGTGTAGTCCCGATGCAGTCCCAACATGGTGGCAACTCTCAAGGTGGCGCCCATCAAGGCATTTGCCTGGTTGGGGATCTGGACGTAGTGAAGGTAGAAGCCGCTTAAGATGGCCAGGGCTTGGACAGTCTCGAGGTGGGCAGAATCCAAGGTGTCCATGGTGAGATGCTGCTTCGCGCGGTTGAAGTAAACATGATGACCCGTGTCCTCTGATGTCCCTGCTGCCACGCTACCCATGGCTAGGACACTATTGAGAAGCAGGAGCCACCTAGAGTCGGTTCTTTGTGCCGCAATATATGTATCCCTGAAGACCTGCTCCTCGATCAAGGGTATGAATGGATGCACATAGGTGAAGTATGCGTTGATCAAGGGAATCTCGTCCCAAGCAGAGGCCGAAGAGGTGTCGACTCTCGTCTGATCAAGCTCCGCCTTGTAGTTCTCCGGAGCCGGGGATGGTTCACGAGTTGGAATAACGCTCCTGTCGGGAGATTTGGTCAGGCAGTCTGGGTCGAGCCAGGTGATGACTCTGAGAACTGCCATGACAGACGATATCCCAAGATAGGATGGATTCTGCTTGACCGACAAGGACAGCATGTTGACGTCGTCTGTGATGCCCTTCAAGGCATGGGTCTTGCGGTCAGAAAAGCCATCATTGCTATCTTCAGGGGTGGGTTGCAGCTGCTCAAGGTTGGCAGCATCAGGATTCAGCGGAGGCGGTTTCTCCTCCACGCTGGGTGTTCGAGGCGAGGGAGGATGAAATGGACTGCTCTTCTGAATGAGCTCGACCAGCCTTTCACGAGGAAGGTCTTTCAGTTGGTCAGGATGCACGTTTGGAAAGAGCTTCTGCAGGATAGTCCGATACTCCTGAAGCGTCTGAGAGATCTTCTCGACAGACCTGGGCACAAAAGGTCAGGAAATGGCCAATTTGGAGGCATGAGCAGTCCTTGTCCTCACCTTCTGGATGGCATCTGTCGTTGTCTTGGTTCGGTATAATGACAAGAGGCAGCCTTCCGGTACCACTGACAGGTTTCGCAGGGGTGCTCGCCGCTGCACCTAATCTTTCTCCGGCGGCAAGGCTCGCAAGCCCTCACCGTGGAGGTCCTTCGTTTCGCGGCCGAATTTGCATTCTGCTCGGCCTGTTCTGGACTGTGGTATTGGGCTGTTTCGAATGTATGGAACATTCTGGGATAGACCGGGCCAGCAAGCTGGCAACCTGGCCAGGTAATGACACAACAACAATTCACGGCGCAGGATTTGCTGCCAATATAGTTAGAGCCAGCTGGAAATGAGCTGGGACTCAGTTGCTCAGCACAACACCGAGACCTCGGACTCTCAACCTCGGGTCGCGGCCAGGTGAGCCAGGACGTAAGTTGTATTGGAGATGAGTTTTCTTGAGAGAGTGTCCCCCCCCCCCCTGCGAGTTGATGATACTCTGATCACCCTTGTGGCCGAGGTAAGTCAAAGAGATCGACTGGGCAAGAGCTAGCAAGCAGATTGGTGGAAAGTGGTAGATTAGACAGGGAACAGAGCAAGGCAGATGCAAGCAGATGCAGATGCGTATAGAGTTCCTTTTTTGCTTCTCCCACCCGACTTGTGCACGCACAGACAGTACAGAAGGTTGGTCAGAACTCGATGGCAGAAGGAGTCAAATCCCCGGATCTAATATCATATAAGCTGCTAGAGACCAGCACCACTGAGCCCGTGCCACGGGCCATAGGGAAGAATCCGGGGAAACTGTGGGAAATAAGATGGGCAATCTTGACTGGGGAAATGGTTAACTTCAACGACATACATGACGGGCTAAGATACCCGGTTTGTCCTAGAGGTCACCAGTACTAGCTCCAAAGGGTGGTGTGCTTGTTTCCCAGCAAGACTAGGGGCGAAGAAGATGGACGGGAAATCCAATGGACTAGGTTGAGAACGATGGCAAGACCGGGATCATGAACAGGGGCGGTTGTTTTGGTCGGGAGGCCCTGGCGTTATGTAACCAGCATTGCATTGACCCGATAGAAATGGAAAAGCTCCAGAAGGAAAAGAAGACGCAGGAGGCAGAATTGACTCGTGAGGTGCATGCAGTAGGGGCATCGATTAGGATGGACCAGGAGCTAAGAAAAAGGCTACTGTATGTAGGAGGAAAGGGAGGGTCAAGGTCTGGCAGTTTGACTGGCTCAAGCCATGAATTTGTCACCCTTGTCCAACCTGTCAAGTTTGCGAGAAGGAGAACAAAAGGGGCGGCATAGAGGACGAGCAGGGGAGGGAGGAGGAGAACGTAACAAGCCAGTGCTGGTGGTTGTGGTTGTTGTTGTTGTTGTTGCTGCTGCTGCTGCTGCTGCTGCTGCTCTTTGAGGTCCTTGGAAGGTTGGAGGAGGGTGGTACATGCAGGTGGTAATTTGATGAGTGGTAAAGTGACAATGATGATACTGGCGTATGTCGTAGGATACTCGGTACAGAGCAAGCCGAATTGCGTAGTTGCGTGTGAGGGCGCAGGAAGGGGCGGTGGTGTTGGTGGTAGAGCAGGAGGACATGGAGGAGGTGGTATCCGCGAGAGATGAGACGTGATGACAAGCAAGGCAACCTGGAAGTCCTCTTGTCCACCGGCAAAGAAACTGTGGGGAGCTGCGACCCTCCTCCATCATTCACCTCCATCACCTCCATCACCTCCATCACCACTATCGCCTCCGTCACCACCATCACCGTCTGCAGCTGCCACCATCCACCATCCACCATCCACATCGGCATCGCCAAACAAACCTGCACCATCCCCACCTGCGCCTCCATCTCCGGCTCATCTTCATCGTCCATCTCATCCCCTATCCACTGGCCACCTCCAATGTCCCACTGTCCACATAGCTGCTGGTCAGGTCCATGGCTACGAGGTACATCGTACCGAGTAGATGATGTTAATATCCATGTCGTGGTTGACCATGATGATGATGATGAGTACGCTCATGCTAACAATATTCAAAAGTCGTGGCAGACATCTCTCCTCCATCGACTCGCATCCTTCCTTCAAGCTGAGGAAACGAGCCATCTCCTCTCGACGGACCTGTCATCTTCCCCCCTCTTGCCCGAGTCTCCCCTTGACCTAAGAATATCGCCCCCAAACTGCATGCTTGACCAGCCTCGCCGAGCCCGCGAATTATTCATTTAGCCGCCATTGAGGCCGAGATCGTCAAGCCACTAAGAGAAGGGATTCCGTGCACCCGTCTACCTACGCTTTAGCCGGCGGGCCCTTTTCTGGCTGGGCGATTCCAATCTGCCGAATATCTCCCCATTGCTCCATTTCGACAACTGTACCCCTTCTGGAATCATACGATTGGCACCAATGGGCTTTTCGTCCGTGCAACTAAGCTCGGCAAGCGACGGGGTGAAAGGTGGTCGGGCGCAACTTTCGTCTGACCATCCTTTGGGAGTCGATCCTTGCGAAAGGAACGAAAAGAAAGCCTGATGAGTTGCCCAGCTAGCGTCTCCGTACCGAGTATACACGGGGAAATCTCTCTCTATCGACCCGACTCAAGCGTTCCATGTACGAGGTAACATCATCACCAATTCCTTAAAGTCCGTGTTTTCTATTCCGATATTCTACCGGCGAACAAGAGAACTTTTGGGCTCCTTTCTACCTTCTAAGCCTCCCCCTTCGTCTGAGTAGAAGATGGTGGGAGGAAAAAAAAGGCCTCATCAGGCTGACTGTTCGCTCAAGCAAGAGCGAGCGAACCTCAACCGCCTCGAATCAATTTTTCCATCGGGCCGACCGAAACAACGTAAATAGCCCTCGCCTCTTTCAATTTGTCGGCAAGGTGCAATATCCGTCTTGGGCTTTGCTCTGTACGCCCTATTATTCGGGCTCGAGCTCCGTAACCTCGGCATGCTTGGGGCATGTGTGCACCTGGCTCATTGCTCCCCAGCCCCCAGGTATGTCCAGTTGAGTGGTGGTTCTCCAGCCTTGAGTCCTCGCACTCGGATAATCTGTTGGTCATTGGGCACCAAGTCAATCGCGCTGTCGCTAAGATGACACCCTTCCCGCTCTTCAAACACAAGACACTTGACCGGCTTTCCTGCAGAGACATGCATCTCGTCACCCACCATTTCGACCTTGACGTTCCGATCGGGAAACTGGAGATATTTTAGAGGCTGCGGCCAATCGGTGTCACGAGCAACCAATGTGCCGTCGACCCAAATCCGCGCGGCCAGGACATGGGGCTCCTCGTGCACATTGTCAACCTGCCCCTTGAGAACGTCGGTAGTTCCGTTGGGAGCGACCTTGACTCCCTTCTTCACAATCCTGTCCTTGATCTCCAGACCTGTCTGGACGGACACGAACTTGACCTCCACATCGGCGGTGATCTCGGTCAGCTTTGCACTGACGACCCACAGCTCCCAATCCTGCGTCCGGGGTTCGCGCGCGTGTGTTACACTCCAGTCGTGGTGGGATCGACGAATTCCGACCGCTACCGGGGCTAGAACACGCGCCATGGCATAGTACGCCGGTTTTCTCCTCAGGTAGTAGTCGACAATCGACCAACTAGTCACCGGCCAGCAGTCGTTGAGCTGCCACACCAGGGCTCCGCCGCAGCGTCGGTCGTCGCCCCATTGCTTCCGCCAGCCGCGATATCCAAACATCAGAGCCTCGCATTGGATCAGCTGGGTCAAGTGGATATACGCCTCGAGCTCTGTTGCCGTCCTCACATTCTCCACCAGGTACGTAGCAATCCGTCTTTCATGACCATCCGCCTTGTTGTGAAAATCTAGCACATGACTTTGGGGGTACAGATCTTCCTCTCTCTCAACAAACGACTTGATCGTCGCAATGTGTGGGAACGCCTCCATGCCAAACTCGGAGTTGAACCGTCCTCCCAATGAATCAAAGATTTGGTATTTCTCCTGCGTCCCGTGCCAGACATTCCACTGGTGCATGTCTCCTACGGTGGGGTCCGAGCTGATCTTGCCGTCACCCCAGGGCGATCCTGGATGGTATGGGATCCAGGGAGCCTCTGCCGCCGAGATTCTCGGTAGTAAGGATTCATAGATGTAGCGTGCTGGGAAGTCAGATTTCAGCCAATGTTCCTCGGTCTTGTCTTCGTAGTCGTAGGTCAAATGGGCCGACTCTTGCACTTGGTAGTCTTCATTGTTGCCGGCAAAAATCACCAGGGAAGGGTGGTGACGGATCCGCCGAACATTGGCCACGGCCTCTGCTTCGATCGACGTGAGTATTGCCGGGAAGCAGGGATAGTTTCCACATCCAAACATGAAATCCTGCCACACCATGATCCCCAGCTCATCGCATGCGTCGTAAAAGGCGTCGTTTTCGTAAATTCCTCCCCCCCAAACTCTAAGCCACGGTCGTTAGCTTCAATCCCATCCATGTGTCTGTCGGAAGGATTCGGGGTTGGAGGGGTCGTGTTACCTGATCATTTTCTGGTTCGCCGGCACCATCAACTCGATCCACGCTCGATACTTCTCGGGTGTCACGTTCGTCAAGAAGCTATCGGTAGGAATCCAGCATGAGCCACCGCAGAAGATGTCGACATCGTTGACGCGAAAGTAGAACGACTTTCCGTGGGAATCAGGCTCCTGGACGAGTTGCACCTTGCGCAGACCGATGCGGCGAGAGTCTTGGTGCAAAACAGTCCCTTCTTCGGTCGAGAGGGTCACACTCACGGTATACAGCGGCTGCTGGCCGTACCCGTTGGGCATCCACAATTGCGGATCGGAAACCTCGAGGTGGGCAGTAGCAGTGGCCTTGTGCCTTCCCCCCAGCGGCGTCACATCGGCCTGGCGTGAAAAGACCTCTCTATCGCCGAGACTGACGGTGAAGCGGACTTGGACAATACGGCCATGATGCTGGTTCTCGAGCCCTTCAACCTCCACAGAGGCCTGGATAGCGGCGAGCTTGTAGTCGTCCGCAATGGTAACACCGGTCCGCAGATCAGCTATCCTGATGGAATACATCTCCAGACGAACAGGTCTCCAAATCCCTGCGCACATGAGCAGAGGTCCCCAGTCCCAGCCCCAGTGATACTGTGCTTTCCTGACCGCCAGACGTGCCGGATCACCGTTGAAACAGATAAACTTATGCTCTGGATGCTGGTCCTTGATTTCCCGGGCTTTCAGGAAGGCCGGTTCGAACTCCACCTCCAAACTGTGGTCCTGGTCCACTCTGGATGATTGAATGGCTTCTGTGACGTCGACGCGGTGTGGCAAGAACATGTTGTCGCTTCGCAGGATGGTTTTGCCGTCTAACCTGACATGAGCAAAAGTGTCCAGACCGTCAAAGGCCAGTACAGCTTTGGAGCCTCGCGGTAGTACAGATGGGTTGGCGATTGTGGTCCGGTAAGTCCAGGATTTCAAACCCACCCACTCTGCCTTGATCTCGTTGAACCCGAGGAAGGGATCATCCAGCCTGGTGAGTTATCTTCATCAGTTCCGGTGGTCTGTCGGAGACGCCAATACGCACTTCTTGTTGTCGATCAAGTCCTGGTGCACAGTGGAAGGAACCTTCTTGACCGGATACCAGGCATTTTCACCAGCATCATCACGCTGCTTGAACGACCACCCCGCGGACAAGTCGACCACCTCCATTGGCACCGGCGTGTCAGCGACCCCGGACATGTCCCCCATCGGCTTCTAGCTGCTTCCAGCACTGTTCTCCAGTAGAGAGGGGCAAGAGGAAAGTATTCAAAACTACAGGCACCAGAAATAACAACGGATGCGATTGAAAAAGATATCGAATGTCGTTTCCCCTCGGGGGAAATAGAGGGAGGAATTCAGACACGGGAATTTGGAGAATTGAGAAAAAGCTTCAACCACCCACACAACACGGCGTTACTGCTACCTATGTACTCCGTAGTTGAAAACCCGCCTCATCCACTTTATCTGGCAAACGGAGACAAAGCCGCAGACGTGAAGATGATCTGAAACCAGAGGAATAGAATGCTAGCTACAGATCCAGACGAACAACACATGACCCTCAGTTTTCCATGGATTGCCCTCATTGAGCGAGGCGGAAGGTGTACCCAGTATCGAAAGCGGCATGGAGAAAGTCGTCGTGGGGGGGCGAGGGGGTATGACGGCATGGCGACGTTAGCCGAGGCTCCAATCGGAGAATTTGTAGTGGTCGCACTAGCACTGATCTGGGCGACGGAGGAGGACAACTCCGGTCCAAACAGGGGAAAGCGTGATTTTAGTTTATCAAGCAGTGCGGCACCGAGCCTCTGTCTTCCCGCGTTGCTCATTGCTGTAGTACGTGTTACTTGGTAGGTAGCAGTATGACTCGTTGCCGTGGATCGAACCCCCAGAGTATCCTGGAGCTCTTCAGTCATGTCATTGCACAACTACCTACTCACTCACAAGATACGCGAGGTGGTCAATCCTCTTGCCAGCCTGTCAAGTCCGTTTGTCACCCCTCAAGGCGGCATTCCAACCCGTTGGACCCCCGGTTTGCCCTGTGCTATGAAACCTCGATTGTGGTTGGCAATGGGCGGGTTCTCTCCAAACTATAAAACAGCCAGCTGACATGGGGACAAACGTCTCCATTTCCGTTTCTGTGCAGGAACTGCCCTCACCGTGTCCCAAATCTGATACTTGCATCGACCCAGAACAGCCGTCTCTCCACGGCACCAAACGACGCTGTGCACCTTGACGGAAAAGAGCTGGGATGGAAATGAAATATATGTGTGTGTGCTGAGGTGATAGGAATAGGACCGGCATCCGAGCATTCACCCAGTGCTGAATCACAACAGCCTACCAGCCCCATGTACCGGGGCCTCCCTTCATGGGCCCTTCGAGCTCACTTGTCACCCATCCACCATAATAGTCGCCTGCGCCCCGTGGGGGTCAGATTGGGGCCGCCATTGAAAGTTTGAGGTTCAGATTGCTCACCTTCCTGCGGGGTGACCTTCTCATCGTCGACGAAGCATTCCCACGGCACGCCGCTGGCGTAGAAGGACAAATATCCCTTGATGTCTGTGAAGGCGGGCGTCGGTGACTCGTAGCTCCATATTTTGCTCTTGACCGTCTGCCCCGTCGACTTGTCGGTCAACTCCCAATACGTGGCCCGACCTTTCCATTCACAAAGAGATGCCTTCTCAGGGATTTGCGCAAGCTTGAAAGAGTCTGAGATGGAGTTTCGGGGGAGATAATATGCTGCACGAGGACATCATTCGCAGTCAGTTCCGACTTGGCTGGGCGGTAATGTATCTGTAGAGAATTGGACCTACTAGGGGGATGTGTAGTTTCCAAGACCCAGTACGCGGATGTGGTGTCAGCCAGAGTCCGTCCGTTCCATCTAATCACCAAATGCCTGGGGGGTTTTGCCAGCAGCGGAGGACGTGGGAAGTTCTGCACGTTCAACTTTGGTTTGGCAGCCATTGTATGTAACGAGGTTAATCGATCTGTGTCAGCGAAACGATGAACCCCCAGATCCCAGACGGACAATAGACGAACCGTTCTACTTGTGTGTTTCGATGACGATGTAGAAGTGTGACTGCCCTACTAGGGCCGATCGGATCATCAGCGATCATACCTCGTACAGATCTCGTAGGCATAGGGCAACGCTGGGGCCCGTACGGAGGAGTAGACGCCTGGTTTTAGCTACCTAGACTCCGTACATACGAGGTACCTACCAAGTAGTACATAGCAAATGCCGATGGAGTCAGCATGTCCCGCTCATATGCTAACATTAAGAAAACAAGGTATATGAATTCTAACTCTCCCCGTCCCTCCCCATGTTCAAGGACAAGTCTCGTTCAATAAAAGGGCAGTACGGAGTAATGTACTACCTAGGTACAGAATAATGTAGTGTCCCCTGGTCGACTTGTCCCACCTGCTGACGGCCCCTGCAGGTCTCGATAACGCCATTGCTCTTTCTTTCAACCTCAGAGCGTCACGTTGATATTAATATCAACATTTCTAGACGCTCAAGATCTTCATGCTTCAAGCTGGCGCCGAGCACGATCTCTCGCGGAAAGGATCGAGGAAGACTCATCTCCAATTCGGAGCTTTGCCTGCTTTTGTTCTTCGTTAGACTTTGCTGCCCCGCGCAAATACGAAGAGGGCGAGAGTGGCCAATTTGCCCTTGTCCCCGCTCCACAAATAAGCGAACACCGTGCCTATGAACCGAGGACGAGGAAGTAGGATACAGCAACACGGTCGGCTAGCGGATATCACCAACGATCGCGCAGCTATGCATCGCCGTTTCTCATCGAGATCGCTTTCTTCCCGGCTGGGACTGGAGATCTTTCCCGTGCTCGGAGACGTCTTCCACCAAGGACCAGACGCAAAGCTCAACAGTCTGCCCCCCTAGGTCGCGATAGCCCCTTCTCTAGCAAGGTTTTTTACAAATCGGGTGGGCGTTACGGCGTCCTCGGGGATCTCGAATCTAGTTATCTCGATCCAAATGGATCGAAATTTGGGAATTGGCCAAACGACCTCGCGGCGAGCTCTGGGTCTGGCGTTAGCGTTTGCCCTAACAAATCAACCCGTTATATCGGGGTCTACACTCGGGCTTCAAGCCTCGCCTCGGCCTGGCAAGCCACCCAAAAAGCATTTCTGAAATCAAAATCCCAAAAGGTTGTCCAGTTTCAACTGCTGGCTTCACCAGAGAGTTCCCTAACCCGTCTCATAGTCACGCAACGCCGCAGACATGTCCTCCCTTCTGCTGAGCGCTGCCAGCGGCGGCATATTCGGCGCTGCCCTGACTGCATCGGGAGTATACTCCCCGTCAGTGATCATCTCACAGCTGCAGCTGGGCAATTTTCATATGCTCAAGAGCTTCCTCGCCGCCAGTGCCTGCAGTGCGTTGATTGTCTTTGGAGCGAATCGAGCAAAGTACGCCAAACTCTCGCCCCGGTCCGATTCCTCGTATGGCTGGTTCATGAGGCACGATGCAAACCTCATTGGCGGACTTTTACACGGCGTCGGCATGGCTTTGACTGGTGCGTGTCCTGGCACTGTCCTTGTGCAGCTTGCCATGGGCGTCAGATCCGCACCGGCCGTGGCTGCCGGATGTATCTTGGGAGCTATCGCCTTTGTCAAAACGGCACAGCGTCTCAAGCGATCGCCACCACCTCCGACAACATCTTCCGGCCCCGCTCAACACAATACCGTCCATGCGAAGTTGGGCCTGTCCGCCAATTCCATGATCCTCCTGTACGAGACTCTGTGTCTTGTGGTGATTGTCGCAGCCACGTATCTGGCGCCCACGCGCGACCACTGGCTGAACCCTATCGTAGGCGGCCTCCTTATCGGCGTGGCGCAAGCAACTTCGGTTCTGTTCACCCGCAAGACCCTCGGGGTCTCTAGCGCATGGGAAGACGTTGGGAAATATTTCTGGAGCGTCGTTGACGGGACGGCGGGCCCTGGCTTGTTAAATATCGTCTTTGCCAGCGCCGTCGTGGCGGGCTCGAAGATCGTTTCTCAGTTCATACCCGCCGTGTCCGAGGCGGCGGCGCCGGAGATCAGTCCTCTTGCCGCCGTTGTGGGGGGATTCGTCATGATATTCGGGGCAAGGCTGGCGGGCGGATGTACAAGTGGACATGGCATCTCCGGGATGGCCACCATGGGCTTGAGCAGCTTCATCACAGTGGCCGGCATGTTTGGAGGGGGCATTATCACGGCCCTGATGCTGCGATGAATGCTCGACCGCATTCTTCACTTGGCAACTCTACTTCTGTAGAGATCGATTCACAATTCACTCGAGGTCGTTCTCTTGAGGCAGTGACATACAATATTCAGCCACAGGCGTGCGCAGAACGTCCAGGGGCAACCACTATTGTGGACAGCACTGCCTGTCAGTAACAGCGATTCACTGTTGGATGGAAGTGCAACGAAGGTCCTCAGGCTCCACTTGAGGACCGTACACCTCCCGTGTCTGTCTGTCCGGTCTGCCCCATCGGTGACAATGATTCACTATCCGATGGATGGGATACTTTCACTTGAGGACCTATACACGTCCCGCATCTATCTGTCCTGTCTACACCCCGACATTCAAACATCTCGAGCTCTACCGTGCCAACCACCACCGCTACAACTGCAACTACCGCAGATCATCAAGAATTCCTCTCCTCGACCTCGCAGGATCTGAAGCTCAACTGACCTTCGTTGCTCCCTCGTTCCCCAAAAGCAAACAAACCAAACCAAACCCCACAAAAAAATGCCATTCCTCAAACTCATCCCCGTTGAGCGGCCTGCCTCCGTCGTACCCAAGCATCTATCTTCGCCCACTCTCATCCCTACTCGCACCTCGACTCCTACGGACAACAGCAACGCCAGCGCCGACGCCAACGGCACCGGAGGAGAAAAGCCCGTTGTCCGCAACGACAACGACTCCGCCACGCCGCTGGCCGCTGAGGCCGAGGACGCCGTCGTCACACGAACAAATGATAATACAGCGCCTGGGTGCGCATTCCTGCAATTGACGCCGGATGCCAACGAAACCGGCGACTCGGCGGAGGTTCCGGGTCAGGCTCCGACGCAAGTTTAGGCTCAATCAAGCTGACAATTGGAGTTTGAAGCGCATGTACCGCGGAGGACGGACGAGGCATCCCGGGAGCGAAGAGGGGAAGAGGGGAAGAGGGGGCGGATAGTCTAGCGATAGGGCCCAGGCAGGAAGGCGCACCGTGATGTGGTCGAAATGAATGAGAACGCGTGGTTGGTGGTAATCAACCCAACCAACTACACAACTACACAACTACACAGCTAACTACAAGTAGATAGCTAGGTAGATGCGTACCTACGGCTGGTTGTTTCGGAATCGCGGGAGTGGGGAGTGGGGAGTGGGGAGCGAGGTGCAGTAGACTTGTTTGTGTGCAGATAGACATAGACACAGGTAGTGGGTGAGGCAGTGAGGCAGCGGGTGAAAGGGGAGTGGTGGGTAAGTGATTGTTCTCAACGACACACAATACGTACAAGCAAAGTATCATACGTATCACAAACGAGGATCGTTTTGTCCGCTGAACGCGGACGCTGACTGGACCGCTTGTTCAACAGCTCCAAACAGAGTCAAATCCAACTCCTTTGCCCTGCTGAATATCGTACAAACCACAGGGATCCCATTCGATGTCTCAAGCTGCCAATATCTGATCCATGTCCGACGTCAAAAAGCAGTCAACATCCACCCTTGTCCTCGCACATGTACACCATCATTCTCTCCCAAGGAAGACGAGGTCAGCACCGCTGCAAGTAATTACTAGGCACCAAGCCAATCCCGCCTCCTTTCATCCCCCTCGCACTCTCCTTGACCTCGGCCTCCCACCATCCATCATCCTGAAGTCGCAATACCGCGAGGATGTCGCCTTTGGAGAAGGAAAGTTCTTCGGGGATCGCTGCCGTGTAGCTGTACATCGCTCTCGCTGTACAAATGTGCCGTTAGTAGATTGTTTTTCTGGAAATTTCATATGGGAGACGAATTATGGCAGATGAAGAGGCGTGCTTGACTTACCATAGTGTAGGATCCGCTGCTGGCGTTGCTCTTGAGCGGGTGGGCCCGCTCGGTATGGTATGGTGGCGAGACTCTTGCTCCTCTCTCTTCTTAGTTCAATATCCATACCCGCTCCGTTTACACTTCCACCTCTTTGTCGGACATCATACCCCTGCTGTTGATACTGGAACTGCTGCTGCTGCTGCTGCTGCTGTGATTGTTGCTGAGCGTACCGATCTCCGCCAAAACTAGAGTTGGGCCGCATCATTCCCTGGCGACTTCTTCCACTGCCACCGGACCCATCATACCGGGTCGTATCTTGAGAGCTCAATTGTATTTCCATGCCGGTGCTTTGTCTAGGCGCTTGATTCACCGGTGGCCCCGCGCCTCGTGATCGTCCATAGGGATTCGGTGAGGCCGCGCGGTATTGCTGAGACTCTGGTCGTCCTCCTTGCCCTTGCCCTCCTCCTGACATCACTGCGGGATTCGGACTGGCTGCTCTGGGGACCATGGCAGGTGCCGGGCTTCTCGAGCGAGGCTGGTATTTATGGCTCTGTTGTGGTTGCGGGCTCGCAGCACGAGGAAGGACACCGGGAGCCGGACTTCGGGCACGGGGAGGATGCTGGCTTTGAGATTGAGGTTGAGGACTCGCTGATCTTATCATCCCTGGGCCAGGACTCCTTCGTCCATCTCTCGTTCCAGGTCTTGATGGCTGAGTGTGACTAGCTCCTCCTTTGGTGCCCCATGTCTCCGTGCGATTCAGCATTTCTCGCTTGGTATGTGCCGGTTGGGGCACACCAAGAGCGCTCTGAGTTCTCCCACCCGCGGTCGGCGCTGGCCCAGCGGTCTCGTATGCCGGTGGAGGTGTTCCTCTCTGTGCGGCCAGGCGAGCTTGACTCTCAGCGCTCAGTACGCCTGGTCGAGTGACTGGTTCCTGGTCAGGTGCAGGAGTGGCTACGCCGTGATACCGATCCACGGCTACCCGCGTGCTTGACTGTTTGGCCATCGCCGTGGCGCCGCCGGAGCTTTGTTTGAGATCTGCAAGTGCTTGTGCTATAGGATCGTGCATCAATTCATTGCCTATCACGGCAGGCGGTGGCATGAACTGACTGCGCCGGTTCGTTGTACTTGCTTTGGGCGTTGAGTCTTGAGCGCCATCTGGACTGGCTACGTCAAAGACGTTGTTGCCCACACTCAATTGAAAGCTGGCTCGAGGATCAGCGGCCTCTTCGCCTTCAGGAGCTATAGCGGCGGCGTTTCGATTGAAATAACTCGGCGCCTGACGTGCTGGGGATTTGGTAGGACTCGACTGCGCGCTGGACACGGTGGGATTCAGATTTATGCGAGTACTGGTGACTGACGCTCCGTTCCAAGTGTTGCGGTTCGTGGAATCGCTCGCCGGCTGGGTTTCTTGCTCCTTCCTGGATTTTCTGCGGAACGGACTGTTCGAGAAGAAACCGGACCTCTTCTTCTGGACGGATTTGTCAGGTGATGCCATTCCAGGGAGTTCGACGCCGTTAATAGGTCCAACTTTGGTTGGCGATGCTGCGCCAGAGCTGAGTTCTGCGCTCGTGAATGAGCTTGGTGCGGAATAGTCACTTTGGTCATCCCTGCTCTCTGGTCGGGTGTTTGAGGATAAGGCAGAACCAGCGACCGACGGTGCATCACTTCTGCAGAACATGGTCATGCCTTCGGTCGGATACTGATTGTGTGGCACTTGCGGAACTTCGCCATGTTGACTCGGCGAGTAATTCGGCGGCACGTTTGGACCTGGTTGCTTGTAATTCAATGGTGGCGGACGTCCACTGTTTCCATTTGACGGAGTCGGCATACCATCCTCATTCGGTCTCACCGGCTCTTCTGAGTGTCGTCGCTCTGGAGTTTGGCTGCTTCTGGCCTTTGTAGAACTTGAATGAGTTGGGGATAATGTTCTGAAGGCGGGATTTGTGGTCCTTGAAAACTGCGCAACAGAGTAGTTCTCGTCTTCCGAAACCTCAGATGCACTGTCCACGTCGCCTCGACAGAAGTTGATGTACCGAGGAGGGTCGGGAATTTCCTGGCCTGTTCCGCAGGTTCTTATGAAGCTGGAAATGTCCTTCTCGACTTCACAATTTTCCAGCGCGAGTCTGATCTTTTCGCAGGATGCGTCATCTGAAACGCACACCGTGGAAGCAATGTTGGCGAAAGCCCAGAGGGATGACTTTGTAAAATCGAGTCGTTCTTCTTCGAGATCTTGAAACTTGTCGCACGCGGATTTCCACTCTTTGTTCCACCGACCTATCGTTTCCTCTAATACCTTGATAGCGGCCTCGTATTCGTTCGAGTTCGTGGCCATGTTGATCTGTGTCTTCTCGAGCTTTGCCTTGTTCTTCCGCTCCTCTTGTCCCATAACCATGTGGCCCTGGGCCAGATATCCCTTGATCCGCAAACAGTCCTGTTCATACTTATCCCGACATTTGTTGACGTGAGCGGTTTGTGTTTGTTTCACCTTGAGCAGCCTCTCGATCCCGTTCTGGATAATTTTACGACGCTCCTTGATTCCGCCTGAAAACGCTGCCAGCGGTTCTTCAAGTTCTGATCTCATTTGCTGGGCGATCAGAGCATGCTGCTTGCCCATTGACTCTGTCTCTCCTCTAGCGACATCCAAGCTGGCGCGTAAAGTCCCCTGTTCAACGCTCCCCAACGGCTTGCGCGATAGGCTTAGGAGTTTTTTGGCATAGTCTTCCTCCAACGCGGCTCGCGCACTGTAAAAGGCTTTCAGTTCGTCGCTTGTGGTTTTGGCATTTTGCATTCGGGTAAGGAGAGGGTCGACGCCGGCGTCATCTCGTCCCCAGAAGTTATTCGAAACTGTCCTCGGCAATTAGATGATGGCCGGGCATGGATTCCTGCGAACACTTACAGCTCAATGGCACAGATGGAGGGGCGCCCACTTCCGACGCAGCGCCTGGTGGCATCATGCCAGCCCTAACAATATTTTCTCTGCCTGTTGATCGGAAGTGCGAATACAGATGTAATTATTGAGCCTGGTGATATCGTAACAATGTATGTCTATTCACAATGCGGCGATTGTAGGGAGTGGTGAAAGCGGGCAGGTTGCATATGCAGGAGAGCCACCACGGTGGTTGAACGAAGTGTTTGGGTGTCCGAATCGGGTTGCCTGCGTTTCCTAGCAACCAAGCGCCAAGAAAATATCCAGCCTCGTTGCGGCACAGCCTTGTGCACTAATGCCTCGCCCCGTTACATTAACCGCCTGGTTCTCGTCCTCCATATTCAGTCAACCTCGAACATAAAGCCCCAGCCCTTCACAAGCCGGGTGTCGACTCCCACCAACTTCAGCATCCCCCAAACTGTCGTGCTAACAGAATCAAGTACAGTGGCCCTGAGCGACTTTTCCCAATACTCCACGCGCTGTGCTGCTCGAACGTTGGTGCAAAAGGTTGTCAATACATGCGCGCCGTTGGCCGCCACATCCATCACCATTTCATCCAAGGTCCTTTCATCTACTTGCACAATCTGGTTGTTGTCCGTGATTCCCAGGTGGCGTTCCCAATTCGGGCTAATATCTATTCCGATTGCTGCATAATTGGAGCGTATCGCATCATTCATCGCTTGGATGTATGGGGTCACCAGCCCTATCGAGGTGACGCCCAAACTGTGCATGAGCGCGTTGAGCGACAGGACAGACGTTGTCACCTTGATACCAGTGTCGGCTTCAATTGCAGCGCACAGCCTCTCATCGTGCTCAAATCCAAGCCATCCGGCAGATGTGCCACACCAGCCGATCACGTCGACCTTAGCATCGGCCAGCAGCCTTGCTGCAGACAAGATTGGTTCAAATTCGAACTGAGCGGTTGCGTTCGGAGAGAGATCGATCGTGGTAACACGAAATCGAGAAAAGTGCACCGAGATAGACAGACCCTCGGAATGTATGGACGAGACGATGGCATTTGTCAGCGGCTCTGCCGCGGTATTCGACGAGGGCACGATAACCCCAAGTCGTACAACTCTCATCGTTGGCCTATTTCCATGATTAGCAGGATGCCCGATATTATACGAGGATATATGGGACCTTACACAAGCGGTCTGGCAGAATCAACATCACCTCTGATGGATGAAGGTGGCTTGGTCGCAGATCCGGAGGGTTCACGTCAGCTTGCCAAGAGGGCTGAGCAGGTCTATCATGCAACCCCCGGAATCAACCTTTTGGGCGATCCGAGCTGACCCAATCCTTCGTACAATCCTCAATGCTACGGCGAACATATGTAGTATGAACTCTGCTGCTGCGGAGACTTTCCCAATGTCAGAATGCACCTCACCTCTCCGGGTTTACTCATTCTCGACAAACGAATTCGCAAGTCTGCCGAAGTAGGGTACTTCGAAATGGTCCAATGTCTCAACATCTCTGTAAGCATGAAGCGATAGAAAGCCGATCAAGAGCAGGTCGATTGTGAACAACATCCAGGAGAGCACCTTTGACCAGGACAAGATCAAATGGAGGACAAAAATGGCCGAGAAGAGCATGCTAGATTGCCAAGCGTGAAACCGCACATAGTCGCTCTTGTGCTCGAACAGGAGGAGAAAGACACCTCCAGCGGGTGGAAGGAGAAGGTATGCCAACATTGCTTCATAATCTACTCTTAGAGGCAGGCTTGTCTCGAAAGCCTCCAAGCTCTGTTCCCTGTGTTCCCCAGCGAATGACGGTCTGGTCACGAAATCGTTTGCAAGGGTACTAGGAGAAAGCAGTGATGCCGTCCCAGCGTTGGCACGAGGTATGGGCTGGATAGGTTTGTTCTGGGGAGGAGGCGACCGCACTCGAGGCGAATCGATGGAAGTGCGAGGAGGAGGTGACAGGGCGCGCTCTCTAGATGCAACTCGATTAATCCTTCTGTCTGTCTGTCTTCACCAGCATCCAATTTGGGTGGTGACAAGCACTCACATTTCTGGCGACGCATCCTGGTAAGGCGCGAAATTCATTGTTTATTTCTCCGCAGTCGGTCGTGTTTCGGGTTCTGGGGCGTCAAACGCGTCTAGTAGGATTGGGGGAACCCGCTGCGGTGTACTTGGTTTGGAGTGAATGCTTCTGAAGAAAGATGTCTTGTGCGAGCGGCTATAGACAGCTAGATGGGTTGGATGACGAAGCCTGTCTGTGACGCAGAATGGGCACTGCTTAGGGCGCAGGTCAAGCAGAGGGAAAAGGGCGCCAGAGGAATCACTTCGGGAAGGCTAGTGAGCATCAGTACCATGACTAGCCTTGCTGCTTTTAAAACTACGCAGCTACCAGTATCTTTGCAGTACTTGTTATGTACAAGTACCTCGTATGCACTCGGTACCATCCTCGGATGCCCTCCTCGCTATGTACCTCGCAACATGGCTCGATGGCAATGTCATCGGAGAAGTTGCAGCAGGGTCTCGCCTATTAGTATAAAACATTTAATAGCCCCGTCGTTCATTGGCGATTCCATCTGGCAAGTAGCTGATCAAGCAACCCAATTCGTGAAATCGATTTGGCGTGCGGAGTGATTCGGATTGTGAGGCTGGTAAGGGTGGTAAGGGTCGTGGTCCTGTGCATGACGCCCGCCGAGGTGGTGAGACGTACTTATTACCCTGCATGTGCGATGCCCTATTAACTGCCACCTGCGTACCGAGTATTCCACTTTCACCCATCAAAGGCATTGCCATTGCCATTGCCATTACCTGCGCTTGATTTGGATGAGCCGAATTCTCTCTTCACTTCCCCTCCGATACAGCGCCTGTGACCACAGTCCGACATGGCTCTCAATCTGGAGAAGCAACTGCGCTTCGTGAGCACGCAGCGGCCCCTCTGCCCTCAATCCCACTGACCATTTTCCTGCAGTACGGTGCTTACCATCATGACCCAGTACGGTTCGAGGTATCTGCTCGAGAGGGAAAAAGATGACTGATGTGCACTCAGGTCAACATTGGCATACATATGGTCGGAGTTCCCGTTATTCTATGGACTACGTTTCTCCTGGTAAGAGACAGACCGTCCATCTGAACGGCATGACGGCTGACCGTGTGGCAGTTCACAAACTCGGGTACACTGATCCAATTGCCTCAATCCATGACCATCCCGAACCTCGAGCTAAACGCCGGCACCCTCTTCTGCCTAAGTTACTGCGGATTATATATATTACTCGAGCCGGTCGCGGGGACGGCCTTCGCCGCATTGCTTCTCGCCGGAACCGCTTACGGACACCACCTAGTCACTGTCCATGGAATGACTGCCAATTTCTGGGCGGGCGCGGCCTTCGTGGCAGCGTGGATCGCACAATTCATGGGCCATGGTGTGTTCGAAGGACGTGCTCCTGCTTTGCTGGACAACATCTTCCAGGCATTTTTCTTGGCCCCGCTCTTTGTCTGGTTAGAGATCCTGTTTGCGCTTGGTTACAGGCCAGAACTGAAGAGCCGGGTGGACAAGATGGTGGAGCAGGATATTGCCAAATATCGCGAGGCGAAGGCGCAGAAGGCGAATGGACAGGCGAACGGGTCTGCTGTCAATGGTCACACCAAGCAATCATAGTCATACCACCAGCTGGCTCGGGAACGACAACGGGGGACGGATGAATTGGGGTGGTGGTGGCGGCGGTGATGGTGGCGGTCCTCGAGGTCGACGACCTCTATAACGACATTCGATTTACTGAGCGCATTCAGGCTATACGACGACGCTATTGATTCCCCTCCGGCATTTTCCATGATGAGCGGCGACATGCTATTCGGTTGGAGTCACGAGAGTTATTTTGGCTGTGTATATGTGGCTGGAGGAAATTCTAATACCCCTCGAGCCTTTTTCAACTCTGAACCGGTGGACCACCCAAAAACGTAGATTTTACTTCTAGATACCTTGAAACAGTACACTTATCTTTTCGCAGCTCTCGTTCGTAACCTGCTTGCTATTGTATCCCTAGTACCTCCGCCTGTTTCTGTACTGGGTACCGAATTTGCCAAGAAGCTGCCAAGAAGTGCTTGGCGTCAATCACCTCCCGAGTTGTCTTTGGCCGCCAAGCCCTTGCAAGCCCCGGCTTTCAGGCCCGAGGCACATTCCTACTGCATCTACGATTATGTCTTCATCGTACATCGCATCACTGGTATGCTCACCGCTTATACCCCTGTTGCCAATGCCAAGGTAAGTCTGATCTGGTACTCCATTCCTATGCGCATTGGCTGCGTTTCTGAGTTCATCTGAACAATCGACTCGACCAGACTCATCATGTTGACAACGTGCTGCAGCCAGAGCCGGAGTTCTGGTACAGGTATTTCACCTTCAAAACCACGACATCAGCCGCCTAGGAAGAGATTTAAATTTCGTCATACTGGCACCAGCCTTTACGACCTTACTTTTGACCGCAATCAAATTTGGGTCGATAGCATAAAGGACGGTAGATATGCCCTGAGAGACAAGTGTTTTTTCTCTTCCGTCATAATCACTGCCTCAGAGAGCCGGCTTCCCTGTTGCTTACCAGAATCTTACGAGCAGGATCGCTTAGATTCATTGACCAAGGTCCGCGCATACGCTTCGAGAGTAGAAGTAACAGTACTGATGCACATGACCTGGACCTCGGAGATCGCCCTGCAACTGGACATACCACTCTAGAAGGATCAGAACGGCAACGAGAAATCTCTTCAACTGCTTTGGACGACAACCACGATCTTTCTCTGGCCGTGGCTCGTTTCAACGCTGGATCCGGCCTTCCATCGACGATTGGCAAAGAGCACACATCGAACACTCTTTCAAACACTCTTTCATACCCTGAAATACCTCCGCGTTATACTGTGACCAGTCCCCTTGGCACAGAGGCGCCACTTCTTCCCCATCATGATATCAATTTTTGCGGCTCAAGCTCGCCGACACAGTTCGTGTGGCCTGCGGCCTTCGAAGCCTACCACTGTGCATCCTTGATGCACTTCTTCGTTGAACGGTTGGCTCCTATGGTACGCGAAAATCAGATTGTCATTCCCCGTTGTGGCAATGTGCAATGCTAAGAACACCAGGCCGATATTGGTGATCCTTTTCGACACGGTGCCCTGTCTGTTCCTCGTAGAGCACGGAACTGTCCACCATTGTTGAATGCAGTACTCACTAGTGCCGCAATAGCCATGTTCTCATCGACAGCATACCGCATGGATGACGGCGTCTGTCAATATCGTGGTGTATCCCTGCCATCACTGACGTACGCAAAAATCTTACAACATCACACCATCTGCGTCACTAATCTACTCGACCTTTGCAATAACTCTGCTTTTGTTGAAGATGAGAATTTGTTGGCTGCTCTCGTGAGTTTGAGGTTTCACGAGGAGATGGATAGGTATCAAACGGGGGTAGACAAAGAGAGGCTTCTCAACTCTCTGCGTTTCGTCCTGAATGCGCAAACGAAGATGGTCCAGCATGAGACCGGGTATGACCCACCGAGACACGGCGCTATCGTGCAGCCCGCTTCGTGGGCACTGGGATATCTGAAAAGCTTCAGACACTCACTGTTTCGCAATGCTCTTAGACAGGAACTAACGGCAGCGTATCTGACGCAGCGTGGCGTCCAATACCCGCTCGAATTATGGACTGTCCTTGACACTCTGGAATCACCTGATGATGAAGATGTAATCTGGTCAGATCGACACTTGCTTCACTGCGCACGTGTACTCAACTTCTGCTATGGGTCTGGTGAGGCCGGTGAAGCAAGCGGCAGAGAGAGATGGGAAGAGCTGAAAAACTATGAAACACGCTGGCAAGAACAAATGCCAACATCCTTCCTCCCTCTACTTCAAGGGGAGTCAAGCATCGCATCCGGCCAGCTTCTCTACCGTGTTTGGTATTTATCGCCCCTGCACTTGACCGCGGTACAATTCTTTGAACTCTCCCGGATCCTTCTTTTGGTCTTGGATCCTAGTGTACCACGTCTGGGTCCGCGTGCGGTCGCTGCGCGGCAACAAATGTCTCGCGAAGTTCGACGCATTGTCCTACATCTCTGCAGCATGGCCGCGTCTTACCCAGAATTGACACCGGCTTGGGTTCAAGCTTCAATGGCGATCTATATTTGCGGTGAATTTTTTACTGTCCGCCATGAGCAAGAGGTACTCTTGAGTGTTCTGCATCATCTTGAAAAGAATCATGGCTGGCCAACCTCCCAGAACGCGGCCAGGCTTAAGGAGATATGGAATTATGATGTAGGCAGACAAGCTTGTTGATATCTGGTTGCTTCTGGATCACAACTTTAACATGTTCCTGTTGCTCTCTTGACCTCAATCTAGGCCAATGCTCGGGATATCTCATATGAAAGGGAGGACTGCCCATGGCCTCAATCACAAGTTTCGCATCGAGTCTTTTAGAAATTGGAGTCTTCAAAGAGAGCTGGGGTAACTTGGCGGGCAGAAATTAGTGATAATAACTCGGGGCCAGGCGGTGCCCCCAAAATCTTTGTCCTTCTGTAGCATGCACGGAGTCCAATCTGGCAATTTTTCTGGACTAGGAAATTTTACTCTAAGTAGTCACAGGGCAGACACCTCCCTCCCCCTCCCTCTCTGGTAACTCAAGCTCGTAAAGACGGAGAGAAATTTTTGCTTTCCCCTGAACAAGTCTGTCCATTGCAGCTCCACTAAACCTTCAATGCTTCGTTGGGTCTCAAGCCGAGATTCAGCTGGATATCCGGAGCCCACTTTGGCTCGTCACCATCTACTATCAGTGTTGGCCAGCAGTTTTGCTCTTGGTATCGCTCTTTGCTTCCAGCTGTTCCATTCTGACGATCACCTCCGGGAAGATTTGCGCGATAGGTTCGAGGTTTTGGCTTCTCCTCTCACCACGAAGAGGTAGCGCCAGGACCGCCATCGGAATCCAGAATCTGCTCGGGCTTCATGACTACGTCACCTTCACTAGGTCTATATGTAAGGACCTTGATTGTCAGGTTGCCGCCCTTCACGCTCCATTTCGCGCAATTTCCTCATCCTCTACCGTAAAGTTGGCACATTAGCAGACATTGAATGCGAGCCGACATTCTTTGTCATTCAATATGGGAAGTATCCATCGTGACGACGGCAACATCCGCCAGAGACCTGCAGGCATCACTACTGTCTTGTTAGGTGACTACCGCATCGAGGGTTTTGTTTCGGACTCTGGCGTGGCAGATTACCTAGGCGTGCCTTATGCTGAAATACCGGCTCGCTTTCGACAAGCACGACGGATTCAAAGCTCTAAGCTTAAAGGCACATATGATGCCACCAGGTATGGGCCCATATGTCCTCAAAATATTGACGTACCGCGCAAATGGCGAGACCACCTCTACCAAGGCATCGTATCATCGGATGCTTTGCTTGCATCTGAGTTTGAGTGTTTAAATTTGAACATTTATACCCCCATCGAGTGCCCAGGACAGCCACTACCTGTTTTTGTATGGATTCACGGTGGCGGATGGGTTGTGGGTGATGGGGGACCAGAGTACGGTAATGTGACCTCCCATCCCCGTCCCACCAGTTGCAAATCCGGCCACAGAGACTAACTCTTCCTGCAGACGGAAATTTCCTAGTACAGCACTCCTCGAAGTTGGGGTTGCCTTTCATCTATGTCGCTCTCAATTACCGACTCGGCTATTTCGGCTTCTCCTATTCCAAAGAGCTGAGAGCGGAGGCAGTTGCAGCCGGTGAAGTTCCATTTGCGAATGTTGGACTCTATGACCAACGTTTGGCATTGATGTGGGTAAGTCAAAGGGAATTTACTTGAGCAGGATTTTCAGTACGAGTCACTTGCTAATTTTTTCTGGCGAAGGTCCAAGAGAACATTCATCACTTTGGGGGAGACAGAAGCAACGTAACCATCGCTGGAGAGTCAGCCGGCGCATGGTCGGTGTTAGCTCATTTACGCTCGAATGCCCCCCTCTTCCGCCGTGCCATAATTATGTCCGCCCCTTCTCTAGCCCCTCAAGGCGTCGAGGGAGCTCAACGCGACTTCGACGGCCTCCTTGCATTTTCAGGTCTTGATGCAACTGCGTCAGATCGTCAGAAATTGGATTGGCTGAGAAACCTGAGCGTTAATGCGCTTCTGAAGGTTTCTCCCTCTTCCCTTATCTTCCCAACATGGGATCCTGAATGGTTTGGTCACGAGGATAGTTCATTACCACTTGACAAAGTCGGCGATTTCCCGAATTGGTGTGAAGGTATCATTGTTGGCTGGACCAAGGACGAGACTGCGTTGTTTGGGATGGTGCGCGGCTGGAACCACTGGTCCATTGATATGATCCAAAATGCTATCCGACTCGCCATACCGGATATGAGCCTGGCTGATGAAGTCCTCACAGCTTACAACATTACAAACACCCCACAAGACGTCAAATCTGCTCTGGAGGGACTAATCCAGTTTACCAGCGATGGTTCCTTTGGATCCTTGATGGGGTCAATGAGATCTTACGCTGCCACGCCAATTAGCATTTACCGATTTGACCAAGTCGACCCTTTCGAGCAAAGTCCCTTCCTCGGATATGCATATCATGCACTAGACAACGTTTTCATCTGCCGACTTCCGGCTGTTGCAGGAGCTGAAGCTCCAATGCAGCTTCGACTAACAGCAGACGCGTATACCAAGTCAGTGTGTGAATTCGTCCACGGTAGACAGCCGTGGGTGTCTTCTAGTTCGTCCCAAAAGATCCAGTCTTTCAACGGCTTCCTGACCGGACTGGTTGAATGGACAGGGCTCTCCCAGTGGAGTGCCTTAGCCACCACGGCAGACAAGGCAGCCATGCTCGAGAGGGGCGCACGTGCATTGATGTCAATAAAGGCGGAGCAGCTATGCTAGCCCTAGGGTTATTTCTTTGTAGGGCTTCCACAGGGGAGAGATTTCTAGAGTTCTCCATAGTATTTGCTGCTTCATTTTGTCTCTGTTGCGAGTCATGATGACTTTCTTTGACGATCCTCTTCTTGATCCTATTTCAGGAACGCCAATGCTGTCTCGGGAACACCAATCTGACAATCTAACTCTTTTTCTAAATAACGATCGCTGGCGGCGTGACAATCTGAAATCGGTAGCAGAATTCACGGGAACCCTTCTTTCCACAGGCTGATTTGTATATCAGCGGCAAGGAACAATCTCAGATAAGGTATAGATACATGGAAGGATAATAAAATGCAATTGTTGAGGCATTGCCCGCACACCACTGAGCACCTGTGCGGTCTTTGGACTGCATTCAAGTTCTGTTGAAGGGCATAGACATGGAACATTTCCCGTCAATTTAACGCCACCTCGATCCTTTGAAGCTCGGCAGCGGTACTACTTCTTTGTATGGGGAGGGGATTAGGGGAAGGGGGTCGGCTATTGACATATAACCCCTGATGTACGTCACGGTAGATCCACTAATGATTGCTACGTGAGGGAACCTCTTCGAGTGCTCCCAGGTCCGGTAATACCTGCATCCACGATCACTGCGGGACTAAATGGTGGCCCATCCCATATCCTAAACCCCACACCACGTAGACAGCTCCATCAAGCGTCCCCAGATCTTCTTACAGCAGACAGAGATCATCTAAAATTTCGGTTTGGACATCCCTCATCAGTTTGACTCAGCTACAAACTCAGCCCCTTTATAACTCTCCCAGTGAGATAAACTCAGTTGACAATGAGTCCTGTAGTGAAGCAGGCACTCTGCAATGCCGAGCGGCTCCAATTGCGGCTCCTGCAAACAGATCAATACCTTGAGGCCAAGAAGCATATGGTGCATTATTGGGCATGCAGCTCCCGCGAGCAATACACCCTGCTGGAGCGTGAAGGGAAAGGAGTATTCGATCTCCCGACTTATGATCCAGAGGCCTTTCAAGTCTTGGTGCCCTCGTCCTTCGGAGATCACAATATTCCCCTACGTGTGATTCAACCAAGAGGGAAGCAAGCTGGTGGGGTATTCCTTTTCATCCATGGAGGTCAGTTTACGCTTCTATGCTAATATTACCCCCAAGGCAGACAGCACGTTACTGACGATATCAAAAATATAGGAGGCTTTGTCATCGGCTCGGCCGCTTTACACGATAACCTCCTTCGCGACCTGGCCGAGCGGACAAATCTGGTCATGGTATCTGTGGAATATCGCCTCGCCCCGGAATTCAAACTGCCCGCAGCTGCGGATGACTGTCTCGACGCAGCTGTGTATCTCATGTCCGACGAAGCGAGGATGAAGATCGGCCACACCCTACAGTTCATAGGTGGTGAGTCGGCTGGGGCCTACCTGACCGTCCAGACGACTTTGCGTCTTCGCGACGAGAAGAGCATTGACGTTGGCACGGCCCTTGCCGGCATTGTGCCGACCTATGGTATCTTTGACCTGTCTCTTCTACCCGGCGTTCGCCTAGGAAGAGAGAAAGTCGGCGACGCTCCTAATAAACAGAATGAGAATTTCATGTGGTTGTCCTTACCAGTGGACGCTTTTGGCTCGTTGGACGAGATCAAGAAATCCGCGTGGTCTCCTCTTTACAATGTCAACCTCCGAGGCCTGCCGCCAGCCACGTTCGGCGTGGGTGCTGAAGACCCCCTGATCGATGACAGTATCTTGATGGCCGCGAAGTGGGAACTCGCCGGCAACGAAGCGGAACTGATTGTATACCCTGGGTCACCGCATGGTTATTTGGTTGTGGACCTAGATGTGACCGCGGAGGCAATTGAGGATATTGTCAAGTTTGTGAAGGCGCGGTTAACTTGAGAAAGCTTTCTATGAGAGCGAAGCTGGGTGTGTGTTGTCGGAATCCTTCTACAGTTTGCAGAACACCGAGAAGTCACAGGAAGCCTGTTTAGGCGTTGAAGATGATAGACGACACTGGAGGTTGCATGACCTCATTAAAGTCTCTATCTAAATTCCAATTAGCTACTGGTCCTCATAAGCATGTTCAAATGCTGTAAGGATACGTCGAAAGATTCCTACAAGCCTGGTGACGAAGTCACGAGCCTTAGGAGGCTCGAAGGGTGCAGTTCCAGCCTTGGGTCGAGGATACTGGATCGTCTGATCAAAACTCTTTGGTCTGTAGCAGGCCGACTTCAGTGTACAGAGAGAGTTTGGACAAGCGAAATTTCGAGTTCAGATACCGACTCTTGAGCCAGAAACAGCAATATTTCCTTATTCAGTAAGCCGACTAGCGTCCGAGCTCCACCACGAATAGGAATAGGTAGCAATTGCCGTCAGTCTTGTATTGGGTAATTTTGTAGACAACCGGCTCCCGCTATCAAATGCGGCCGAACCTAGGCCTCGGTGCACCTCAAGTACTGTACCAACTTGGAACATCGCTAGCCAGTTAGGCCATGCCACAGAAATCGAAGACGAGCCTTAGAGCTTTTGTCTTTCATTTACCGGCATAACACCCGACTGGCTCTCTAACTTCTCCAGGAAAGGCTATGTCGAATCGTGGGGACTCCAGGAAAGCTAGATCGGCGGAGGAGGGCATCAGACACCCTCGCTAGAACAGTCGAGGCCAAAAAGATTCATCCCAACGCTGGAGCAGCCTCAGGCGACTGGCTTCTCCACTTGCCCTGGGACAAACCCAGGCATCAGCTGGGGGAAATTTCCCCGGCCCTCACAGCGTCTCGTCTCAGCTCCCGAGGCGCTCTATATCCGCAAAGTTTACAAAGACCTCTGAGTCTATATAATAGGATCTAAAAGTGCAGCTTAGATCTGGTCTACTCGAGCTGGAAGTCAGACATCATGGCAGAACAGACATCGACTATTGCCACAGCACCCAAAATGGGATTTTGGAAAAGAAACTGGAAGGTCTGCGTCTATTGTTTCATTGCGTCCTTTGCTGCGACAGCCTTCGGGTTTGACCAAGGCACAGGCGGAGGGTTTCTTGCCATGCAACAGTACGTACAGATACAGTATCTACCGAGCTACAATACGCTGACAGTCTACGATTTATAGATGGCTCAAGGACTTCGGTTATTATGACTCTGAAGAAGGTGTCTACAGCATCACGGCCGGCTCTACCACCGCCATGAATGGAACACTCTGCGGATCTGCCTTTCTCGCAGCCCTGGCCTCGGGCAGGATCGGCTCACAATTTGGCCGGAAGATTGGTCTCATCCTCTGTGGCGCCGCCGGACTTATCGGGTCCGGCATCAGTATGATACCTCACTATGGAGCGCTGATCGTCGGCAAAGTATTCATCGGAATATCTATGGGCTTTGCAGGAAACTTTGCTATCACTTACTGGAGCGAGACTGCACCTGCGCAGATCCGAGGCCTTATTGTCATCATGTACCAATTTAACATCAACCTTCCCAACTTTATCGGCGCCTGCGTTGACCAAGGGACGTATCTGCGGACTGACCGGTGGAGCTACCGCATCCCTCTCTTCGTGACCATGTTTCCGCCTCTGGTGCTGGTAACCCTTGTGTGGCTCATCCCTGAATCTCCAAGTAAGTGACAATACCTTGCTCGATATAGCGACTGCGGGTGCTTACCTGAACCCAGGATGGCTTGTGACCCGTGACAAGTACTCCGAGGCAAGAACGTCCCTGGTGAAAATCCGTGGCAAGTACGCACGGGATGACGAGCTCGATGCAGAAATGAAAGAAGTCATCGCCTTCACTGAGCTTGAGAGGTCTTTGGACGCGTCGACATCGTACCGCGAATGCTTCTCTGGCACTAATCGACGACGAACCCTCATCGGTATGCTTTGCATGGGAGGTCAACATATGCAGGGTATTGCATTCATCTCTGGGTAAGCTCTGCCACTCGCTTTGATGTTTCCGAATTCTGACAAGCCTGTCAGGTATTCGACGTACTTCTTCAGCCTAATCGGGTTCAACGATGCTTTTGTCATCACCGTCATCATCAACGCCTGCCAGGTCGCGGCAGTGATTTTCGCCTTCATTGCGGTGCGATTCATCGGCCGTCGCATTCTTCTCATTGTGGGCGCGGGCGTGTGCGCTGCATCCATGTTCCTCTTCGCCATCGTCGCCCAAGCTGCTCCGGGCAGTGACGCGGCGAATAAATGCATCGTCGCATTCATTTGCATCTACGTCTTCAGCTTTGCGGCCACCTGGGGTTCAATTGGTCCGATTGTGACCGGTGAGGTTCCTTCCAACCGCCTCCGATCGAAGACAGTTTCTTGCGCGCTTTCTACCAACTGGTTCGGTGCTCTCCTTGTTATTACCTCTATTCCCTACTTGATCAACAAGGACTATGCCAATCTCGGGACCAAAGTGGGGTTCATATTCGGCCCACTTGCAACTATTGTATTCGTCCTGGCCATTTTCTTCCTCCCTGAAACGAAAGACCGTTCCTTGGAGGAAATTGATGAAATGTTCATCAATGTATGCTCCAATCTCTCTTTTGGAATGCTCAAGTTGGCTGACTCTTTTCCAGCGCGTTTCCACACGAAAGTTCAAGTCTTACATATGCACGAAAGAGGCAGCCGGCGTCGATATCATGGGGAAGGCTGGTGTGATAGAAGTTGAGGATGTGAAGAAAGTGTGATGAAGGCGAGCTTTTCTCAACGCAGGCCAGAGGAGCATACAGTGGTATAATGAGGGTCCTTTTATTGCTGGAATCGGGGAGTGTTGGAGTTTGAATTGAGCACGCTGGGTAATAGCACCCGAGGCATTAACACCACGGTATCGCTGCCCAAGTTTGCACATACTTAACTATACTCGCCATTCCTTTTCCGTCGATTTGACTGAGGCCCGTGAGTCGCTCGCTGCAGCCTGAATACTGCCTAACAGCGTCGTTGTACATATTAGATAGATTGGCCACCGTTTGGCCGCAGCCAGAACCCGAGGATTCAATCTAAATCGATCCGAGAACAAGGGCATGCAATACCAGTTCCGCATCCTCGCACCAACTATTAAAATGTGGCAATCATGAATGTCATGCAGAGGCTGAGAGGCAAAAGCTGGAGCTCGATATCGACTGTCGTGACCGTCTTTACATTTCTTGGCAGGCGACGACGGGAGAATCGGCCTCCTGCATCTACATAGCTCCCCCAAGCCCGCCATGACCATGTTAGAATCCCTCATATCTTCCATTGAGTCAACATCTGCGATCTGGACACCGACAACTTCTTCGACCGCGATGAGTGACCAACCACAACCCTCGCTACCATGACATTTTCTGCTTGTTCTCTTGCTGTCTGCGTGCTTAGGCACTGATTGTGATTCTCTCCAAGAATGGCTAAAATATTCTCTAGCTTCCAGGAAATTCTGTCAACAACAATCACAAAGGCTTTCCAACAGTGCACTTTTAAAACGATCCTTATTCACTGTACCTATCCTCCGTGACTTCTCACTCATGCCCAAAGATACCACTATTTTACCCTCCTCTGTCCTCGAACAGTACCGGTCCTCTCACTCGACTTCTTCCAGCCCGCTTTCGCCCATGCGCACCACCTGCGAACTAGTTGTATACCCAATAAGCAATATCAGCCGTAAGAGAAGATTTCCTGATATCTTGCCACACATGGCATCCGAAGATATTCAGTGCCTATCTGTCGCCGATAAGAGGAGCACCCAGCACAAAGGCACCGAAAATCTTGCCATCCACAACACTTTCATCCGTTGTTCGTTAGCCCTTCTCACATTGAAAACCACGGCCAGATTTAACATGGATGGGCGTGTATGTTCTAATTTCAAGGAATATAATAGTCAAGACCGGTCCGTAAGTTCACCTCACTGAAGGGGCAACCATAAAATATGTCGCGAAGAACACTTCTACCCCAAGGTATACTGCCCTTTCGTCCACAAGAATCGCGCCTACTTTTTGGTGGAAAGGAGCCATGGTGATGAGATACCAACGGTATGGAAGAAGCTATCCGAAGAGTCTCGTGACAAAGTCTGTGAACAGTTAAAGCAGGTGGTGCAAGAGATGCGCTCGCTGAAACCGCCGCCCCAGACAGGAGTCCAGAGCTGTAGCGGCGGATCATTACGTGACTCTCGAAATCCACGCTCCTATCCACGTTTCGGCCCATTCAAGACGATCAAGGATTTCCATGTTTGGCTTAGAGACGGTGTACAGCTATCCGAGGCCGAAGACCGAGAAACGACCCAGACCGGCAGGATATTCGAGATACGATGACCGCCCAGGATAAATCATGGCCATCACCAGTCTTCACCCATGCCGATTTGAATCCGTTTAATATCCTGCTCCGTGGAGACCGGGTTGTTGTTGGTCTGGTTGACTGGGAACTGTGCGCATGTTACCCACATTATTGGGAGTATGCATCTGCCTGGGTTGCTAGCATGACGAAGACAGAGTGGCAGACTTCAATTCCTAAACTCCTTGGACCATTCCCCAAGGAGCTGAAAATGGCGGCTACCCGTCAAAAATGGTGGGGAGAGTTCTGGAAATATAATGAGGGCGGCCGGAGCTCAACGATATAAAGTATCATTCTTAGAGGTGAGTCGTCTCGCCTCTCGTGTAGAATAGAGATATCGTACCCTGGGTAACTCGCGACTTTTGCTAGTTAGACCTTTGAGGCATTATCTCTCTATCCGTCAATAACTTCTCAGTTACCTTAGGTCTCAATAGGAGCGCTGAGTCGCTGAAGCGACCCTGAGCAGTCTTTTCTGCAGTGTAAGACCTCGCGGTCTGTTCCATTTGCTGCCAATCTAGCCCTGAAGCCCTGCCAGTCTTATCATCCTTTGCTATGGCCGCCAAAGCATTTACGCACTAGCTACGGCATCTCCAACCCGGATCGTTCTGAACTATGAGATGCTCCGAACGATTCCGAGAAGACATTTCTAAGTTCTCGACCTTCCCAATCAGAACACGGACGAAAAGGGTGTTGGTGCTTTGAACATGTTGCACCATAAGATCCTCGTATTCCCATAGTGTGCTAGGTCCAGTTGGGTTGAAGTCAGGTCGGTTTTTGACATGGCTGCGTCTGCCTGGCACCTGCGAGTCATTTTTTTTACCCCGAGACCGATCAGGAACGCTCAGTGATATCTAGAAATAGTATCAGCGGCCGCCGCTGAGATGCAGTAGCGGGTGGGAGCGATGCTCGTTATTGATTTGGGGTAGAGTCACATGATAATCGATCCTTGCTCCCCTGGTATCTTTCCGGTCTACGACAATGCTTTTGCAGGTAGTGGCTTGCTAGTGGCTTGTTCAATTCGGATGAGCTACCTCTGCCGTGTTGCTGCCCTCAAATAGACTTGGTAAGGAAGTACTTAGTAAATATATGTATGAGTGGACCGCCTCGCCCGAGGGGGTTGAGCACAAAGCGGCGGCACGCCGAGTCCAAAAAAAGGGTGACTCCATGTCAACCACATGTCCTCGTCTTTTGATGCCAAGCTTTCGAGAACTACACAAAATGTCTCTGGAGAGGCAGTATAACAAATCTTGCTTCTCGATCTGATGATGCACCCAGAAGCACGGGTCAAAACACTGCTCGACGCGCCTCTAAAGTGGAATATTCCCCTCGACAAACACAAGGTCGCAGAAAATAAATCGCCTGGAGATCGCTCGCTATTGGAAGGATGGGTGCACGACAAAGTCGATGATTCGAGTCCTTTGCCTAGGGAGGAAACCGCAACGTTCGTTGGTCCCGCCGCGCCCTTTCGAGCAACAATTGACAACGTGATAGATGGCAATTTCTACAAGGATCAGAGCGGGGGGATCCGACCTGCAACGGAAGCCGATCAGTAATGATTCCAACAACCGACGAAGAGTTTAAGTTGGCCATCAAGGCATTGAACTCTTCGACCAAGGCGATTGAGCGGCGCACGCGGGCTCTCCACGCACAGGAAGCTCACCTAAAGCACCTCAGGGCCGTTGAAGAGGCTACTAATGCACGAAAAGCCCGACAAGAACAATACCTCGACCGAAACTATGCCGCCAAGGTGCAGCATATCAAGTTCGCTGTAAACTTCCCCTATCCTCTGGCCGCGGCCAAAGATCCAGTCAATTGCTAACGGGTACGCAAGAATGAACAAATTTTCGAAGCTCTAAGGTCAGATCTTCGAGCCGAGATTGATCGTACTGCCAAAGACGTCAAATCAGCTCCCGCAATCGTCACGGGAATTCTAAACTCAGACGACCGCGTGCTTTCAGAGTTCAATGACCTCTTATCCTTTGGCGTTCAGCAGGAATGCCCAATCAACCTTGATGCATTAACCGATCGAGTGAACAGGCTTACGCGCGCCTTGCAGTATTTCCGTGCGAAGGCAGTCAAAGATCATCTTGATCGCACTTATCTGGAATCACTTGGCGGCACAGACACTGCCAGTAATACTCAGGCCGTGGCTGATGGTACGGTCGACGCCGTTCGAGAAGACCTAGGTTCTCTGTATTCAGAGATCGATGATGTCGTGGGGATGGTGGTGGCTCAGGAACATGGAAATGCACTTCATGCTGCTCTCCAGAGTGTCCGGCGGGTGCGGAAGCAGGACAACAGAAGGCTCAATGAAGAGGTATGGTCCATGGCACTAGTTCATTTGATAAGTTGAGAAGTCACTTACATGAAAGCCCTACTTAGGTCTATGCAAAACTTTGCTCTCTTACAGAAGCACTTGTCAATCTTTCAAAGAAGCTGGAAAACCTGCAATCTCGACGACTCAGCTTGCACGAATTTGACATGCAGCTCAAGTATTTTGAAACCAGCGCTCACTCTGATACAAAACCAGTTATCGTGCCCTCCGGTGGAGAACCGAAAGATATTGTCGCCCCGGCTGCCATGGCTTTGGTCCAACATCTCGGTCTCTCTTCGGGAGGCAGCGATAGCAAGATATCTGATGTCTCGGCAGTTACGGGCCAACTCGAGGACCTCACTTCGACTTTAGGCTGTCAATCGGCAGGGAACATCCTCCGAATCCTTCAGTTATCGGAACAAGCGGCTGCAAAGGGACGTGTGGCGGTACAGCGTGCTTCGGATGCGGTGGCGTCGCATGATTCACACGAGATTGAGGTGCGTGAACTGGAGGGGATGATTGCAGCTGCGAAGGCGGAAATGGAACGAGTAATCAATGGAAACCACAACTAACACGACTCGATCTGCCGACGAGGACATCTCGCAGTCCGTCCAGTGCAAAAGCCTGCGTCAATGGGTAAGATCAACTACACCTAGAGGACATGCCTCAAGACGTCGGGTGTTCGGCCCACTCATTCCCCATGCGCATAGGGCTCATAACGATTCGTGCTCTTGGGAACCTTGCACGTATCCCTGAAGGACTGTAGATGAGGATACGGCGCAACAAGCATCACTAGCCTAACACTGTGCAATAAATTTCTCCTTCTAGACTTACATACAGACGGCCCCGACTTCGTGGCTTCAACCAGATGTAAAAACTAGGGCATTCACTTATTCTTTCGACCAATGCTTCACCGGGCAATACCGGGCCCACTTGATTGGACGTTCATCTCTGCGCAAGTGTCGGAGTCACGGCTCCTGCAACGAGTATCATTTGCAGCGATCTCGTCTATTGGGTTTTGGATGTGTCTCAGCAATTCAGGCGGCTTGAAATCCATCCGGGTTATCAGATTGAGAATGCGTTGCAGTTTACAGTTCCAGCAGACAGAAAAAGTTGGTTCGTCGTTGACGCGATCTATTGTTAAAACACAAACTCTAGTACGGTTCATTCCAAGTATGGTGAGATACGTATGTGCACACATTGAGCGAACAAGCAACAACGGCACAGATCGATCGATGATCAAACATCCTCTCTGACTTTTGGCAACACCCGTGGCCTCCCGCTTGTATGCCAGTCGCTCGGCTCCCGCCTCGGTGTCGCCATCGTCCTCTGCTCCTCTTCAGACTTACTCCTGGTAAAGCTCCGCGTCATGGTGAAGAAGCCCTGCCTCAGAGACAGCGCGGCGCTCGCAGCATGGCCGTGGGCGTGGCGTCTGACTTTCATGCCCTCGGTCTCTTCTTCCTCGAACCACCCGGCGGCGCGCTTGACGTACTTCCAGGCCTCCATCCCGCTCACGAAGACGAACACGCAGACGATGGCGGGGGCCCATTCCCAGCTGATCCCCTTGTGTTTGAACACTGACGTGTTCAGGCCAGGGATGTAGACGGCGGGAAACACCGAGAGCGCACCGATGACCACGGACCAGAAGAGGAACTGGTTCTCCCAGATGTCCTGGAAGAAGGGGAAGGCGCGCGGGTCGTGCGGGTTGATGCGAAACATGCTCCTGCGCAGGGCCTTGAATTCCCACGCCGAGATGAGGATCAGCCAGGTCAGCTCGGCGAAGACGGCCGCGCGGGCCCGGAACACGACGTCGCACGTGTCGTTGTACTTGCGGTTGCAGTCCCGCCCCAGCCCGTCGGGGCCGGGCCCGTAGACGATGAAGACGAACGTCATGAGGCAGCACGTCCCTTGAATGGTGCCGTACACAAGCATGTCCGTTATCAGTTCCCAGGTGAAGACGCCCTTTTTGTTGTCGTGCGGAGGTCGCTCCATAACGTCCGGCGACGCCTTTTCTCGTCCGAGCCCGAATGCCGGGAACGAGGATGTGAGCATGTTGATCCACAAAATTTGCAAGGGGGATAAGGGGAACACGGAGAAGCTGGTGTCGTCTTGGAATCCCAGGCCGCAGATGAGGAGGATGACTTCGCCGACGTTGGACGTGAGCAGGTGCAGGACGAAGCGCTGGATGTTGTCGAACATCCGGCGTCCTTCCTCCACGGCGTTGACGATGGACGCGAAGTTGTCGTCCGTGAGAACAATGTCGGACGCAGATTTCGCCACGTCGCTGCCGTTGAGACCCATGGCGATCCCTACGTCGGCGAGCTTGAGAGATGGCGAATCATTCACCCCGTCCCCTGTCATGGCTGCGAATTTGTTCCGTCGGTGCAGCGCCTCGATCATGCGCACTTTGGTCTCGGGCGCGCAGCGGGCAACAACCAGAGGCAGAGTGGGAAGGGCGTCAATCTCTGAGTCGCTCATCCTGTCGAATTCCGTGGCAGTCTTGACAATTGCGGCGGCCACGTCAGCCGGGAGGGTACCCATGTTCTTTGGAATGATGCCGACTTCCTTTGCGATGGCGGTCGCTGTCGATGGATGATCGCCTGTCAGCATGGACACGGTGATCCCGGCGGTAGTGCAGGCCTGCACGGCGGTTTTGGTCTCAAGGCGAGGTGGATCATATAAACCTGCCAGACCGAGCAGACAGAGATCCTTCTCAACAAGACCCCGGTCAACGTCCGAGTGTTCGGCGATTTCCATTGTCGTAAATTTCCTCGCGATGGCTAGCACGCGCAGACCTTGCTCGGCGAGAAACGTCATCTGTTCGAAGATGGCTTCCTTCAGTAAAGCGGTCATAGCTTGTTCGTTTTCACCTACACCCACGGCCGTGCACAGGTCGATGATGCGTTCGACTGCGCCTTTGGTAAAGATAATGGAGTGGTCCTCACCAGCCTTGGTGTACACGACCGACATCCGCTTAATAGAGCTGTCGAATGGATACTCCATCTTCTGAGTCCAACCGTTTTCTTCTTCGAGGGTTCTCTTGCCGTGGTTGAAGCGGTGTGAGAAGACCTGCAGAGCAATCTCTGTCGGATCGCCTGCTGTTTTCCACATCTCTTGCCCATCCTCGGTGACTTTACGAACAGTGGCCAGGTTGCAGAGAGCTGCAGATTCCAGGAACGCTTGGAGTTCTGGTGTGACTTCTAGATTCGGTCTGACGACGTTATTATTATCCAGTTCCACGGATGCCTTTTCGGCGTCTTTCTGCACCACTTTCTCGCTCGGTAAATCGAACGAGATGCCGGCAGTGCTACGTTTGCGATCGAAGGCTTCTTCTCTTGCTAGTCTTTCTGCCTCAACTTCCTGCCGAGATTTAGGTGCCTTTCCCAGAGTGATGGTGCCTTCAGTGGGGTCAGAGGCGTTGTTTGAATTTTCCACGCTGTAGATGCCGACACTGGGAATCCATGCTTTTCGAGTAACCATCTTTCCCTG